AGAAAAACATAACATTGTCAGGGAAATCTTAGTATTTCCATTTAAGTGATTAATATCAAAAGTAAACATTTATATGAAAGTCTATTTAAGAGGAGGAATCACCCCAGGGTGTAGCTGAAGTCTTCGAGAAAGTTTACTTTTAAGAACTGTAAAAAATGTAAAACCATTACGAATATTAAAATCCTTAAAAGAGCCGAATAAGTCATCTTAAAAGGTCACAACTAGAGAGCATATGATAAAAAACACAAATTGATGTCCAATTCTGATGACATTTTTTCCCTCGGTGCCCGTGTGTGTGTCACTTTCATGCAGGGTATCAATAATGAATGAGCCAAGACTTGCGGAGTCGTTTCAATTGACTTGGCCCCGTCCATTAATAATCCAGAAGGCATATAAATCAATCATGCGACAAGCTGATAAACATCCAACAGCTATCCAAATATGTATTTGAGTGCTTACGCGCAGTAGTAGTAGTAGTGGTGTTAGTATCCGCCATGGCATCAACCGTGTATATGTGTTTACACTAAAACACGTCAACATTTGTGCAGGACAGCGAACGTGTCGAGTAATTCGGGTTTGTCTGCAACAGCATTTATTGGATTTTATGCCAGTCGGCGAAGGAGCACAGCTGGTTGCTATTTTTAGTTATCCGTAGCTGCGCAACAGTTGGAGCTGAAGCTGGAGCTGGTTCTATTTATAGTCCCCTAAAGAGCAGTAGGCGAAAAGCTCTTCCGCAGGATAATTCTGCTTTTGCATGGACATGACGGTCTTAAGCCACAGAGATAAATATAAACATTCTAGATTGAAGGTAGAATTCGATTGTATTGGTTGTACAATGTTGAAATATTATTGTATTCCAAGTAAATATGTGATATCCAAGGATTCTGAAGAAGCCTAAAAGCATGCTTCGACTTTAACTTAAAACGGGGTTTGTCTATGACTTATATTCACTAAGACCTCTTTTACAGCTCTAAATTTCAATTTTTGGTCACTTAAAGATAGATTTAACTATTCCCTAATCTTAAATATTTCATTTCCTACCTTTAGCAACGATTTAAAAATGCATACTTCACTATTTCAGTCCCTTGAAAAGTCCTAACTAAGTTTTACTTGGATAATGACAGCCAACATGCTTCTACACTCCCATTCACGTGCATGTAGTTGACAACTTTTTGTAGGAATTGCACAAATTTTAAAACAAATCTCAATTATAAGTGAAGGGAGCCCATGACAGCTCTTGACTTCTCCAGCATACTTTTACCGAGAATTTCCATTCAGCTGGTAAGTATGCTATGGTTAATAAACAAACCTCCTCGCCCTCTTGGCTGGATGACAAATCCTTGGTTCCTTGAAAGGAACATTTCGCTGCCATTCTCGTGTTGTTTGTTGGGCTGCATCAAAATGCCAGTGCACCTGTTCCAGAGCCTTCTCTCCACTCGGCTATAATATGCAATGTTTTGCCTCCATTCTGCTCTACTGGTAGTGGATGGTATGCAATGCTTCTTTGCATTTCAAATGTCTAGAATGGAGCCTCAGAGTCGGGCTTTAAGTGCCACCGCCCACCACCCAGATGTTCAGCTGTTCCCCAGTATTCCTTCTACTTGCCTGCCCTTAACCCATTTCATCGTCTCTTCCCTATTTTACTTTTTTTTTTATATTTTTGGTCCGCACAATTACACAACAACAATAAAAAAAAAACGAAAAGAAGGTAGCAGAAGCTTTGCTCCGTAATCAGAAAAACGTAAAAATTTCTACAAGCAGGTAACGAAAATATTTGAAATTGCTTTTTGCCTTTGCCACCCGTTTGAAGGACCCTTCTTCCACTTTTTTTTACCCATAGCCTTTGCTTTGGCATTCCGTCTGCCTAATGGCGTATATTTTTCTTCTTCTTTTTTTCTTCTGCTACTGCTTCAGGTTTCGGTTTCGTCCTGTTTTATTTATTTTTTCCTGTCGCTTTCCTTCACGCTGCCACATCTTAACGATGTTGAGGACACATCTTCGTTGACATTTTTTGTTTTGCTGGAACGCAGCGTCTTGATAAGGTTAATTGCCCATTTCTGTCATACCCTTCATAACTCAATGGGCATGCTAATAACTCCTTCAAGGACTGTCTCTTTGATGTGAAGCAACTTCAACTTAGGGTATTTACAATTCGATCTGGCCATGAATAGGTTTTTGCTCACATATCTTACAGTCTTTTGGCTGTCGAACATATCGAATTCTGATTTGACGCTCATCGTCGGCGACATAACACAAATATTTGGGAACACAGCAGGCGACAGCATTTTGCGACATTTCTGCCAGAGGTCATCGGAAATTGGTAGGGGCATCGAATCCCAAAGAGGGGTGTAGGGGCGAAACTTGATATGTGAATATCAAGCTTATGAAAGATACTTATTGTCGCATATTAGAGCAATATGAATTGAATACCCAATGTAAGTGAGCTCATTGACATGGCAACCTCACCGAGTCTTAGTAGTTCAATACTAAAAGGTTCAATAATGTCCTTTTGGCCAGCGGACGTTCACGAACTTAACAAAGCCAAATGAGATCGCATTACTAATGCGTTTGATTCACAAAGAATGTCCAATGGTTGGAAAGTTACAGGCATTTCAATTGTTTTCTCTTAGTTTATAAACACAAATATTAGTCTTTTAAGGCTCATATAGGTTTAATAACCAATAGTTAAATCCAAAACCATAAATTCGCTTACACAAATGTTGGTATAAAAGTGACTAATGAATTCCTCTAAACCAAAAGATTTCTCCTAAAAATTAAAAATAAACTTGTTTCTTTTCCCTTTTCCGGATTTTCACATGGCCAACAATTTGTTTTTTATTAGATTTCGCTTTGTTCTTCTGCATTTTTAGAAAAATCTGAAAGCAATAAAGCTGTGGTTTTGCATCTAAACATTTTTGTTTGTTCTGCAGCATATGCATTTGTTTTTTCTCTGGGTGAAACCCATTCCCTAGCAAACTGACCACAGAAACCACAACAATTGCAGCTGGCAAACAAACAAGAGATGTCAAAAACAATTGGAATAACCCTGAAATAAAACCAACAGATTGCCCAACTAACAGCAATAAACTAAAAATGATTACGACTAGGCAAAAGTTGTTCTGTCATTAGAAGCAAACCCAGTTTCTTGGCAATTACTGTCGAAGAAGAATGAAATGAAGAAAAACAACTTGTTTTTTAACCTTTATGGTAAACAGCAGCGAAAAAGGCAAAAGTCGTCAGAAAGTGATTTTAATGAAATGGCCGCGAAAACCTTTGAAGTTTTCCACATTCAATTGCCGAGTCTAAGGACAATATTTCAGGGATATTCGGATGAGGGGTTGGGATATTTTTGGTGGAGCGTTGCCAGGACAAGCAATAAGGCACAAACACACAAGTAGCACACAACGAACGGAAGTAGAATGGAAATTATGATAAAAAGTACGGAAGTTCCAGTTCCAAATACTGGACAGTCATTAAAATGGAACTGGAACGCCAAATTATGTAGTCAGAGAAAAAACAAAGTTAAATAAACAGTGAAAACAGAACGCAGCTCACCGAAAGGGTAAAATATATATATGTCTCGATGTTAAGTGCTTCATTTAATTAACAAAGTTGACATGAAAGCCAGGGCCCCAAACCATTGTCATCCCGCACTTCGTTCGTTTGTTCACGGTTTTGGCCTTTCAGACAAATACCCTAAGTAATGGTCAGAGGCTATGTCCTTTTGTGAGAAGTTAAACCAACTTTAAAGATAATTCCTGAAATCAATTGTCATTGCCTGTGATGAAAAGTTTACTTCGCTTAATAAATGATTGCTTAGACAGGATATTAATCATCATGAAGGGCATCCAAAAGAGTATTTATCTTATCCCCTTCTTCACCTTTATCTTGGCTCTTAATTGTTTGCCTTTGAAATGGAGCAAACTAAGCAGATGGCACCACTTGGTCCACGGCACTCATACGCCAGGTGGGCCGCAATGGAATTACTTTGGTTAATTTGATTTGAAATTTGCATTTCGATGGAAGTGCACGTGTGGTTGTGTGTTTTGTTGACACGGATTTTGCATAAATTTAATTAGGAATCCACGGCTGAACAGTTGCCAAACTGAAGTTGAGTTTTAATTAACTGCGGGAATAACGAACAAAGCCCCTCATTCGCCTGTTGCTGTTTTTGTTTACGTTTTTTGTTAGCATATGGCATATGGTACGGATGTGTGACGGTTGATATTTGTTATTCTATATCACCGAACACTAGGCCACCCCAAAGCCAGCCAAAAGGCCATAAAAACAACAGCTGCACATTTCGCAGAGACACACGAGGGTAAATGATATAAGGCAGCAAATTGGACGACATATTCCCATATACGAGTAATACGCGTAATACTCGTGTACGTGGCCATAATAGTTTGCCGCGATAAGGAAGCGGTCATTAAATGCGCCCGAGGCAACATCATCAAAACATTACGGCCATCTCTCGTTTTTGCGTCAATATTTGTCTTTTTGCCATGATTAAAGAAAATACCCATTACGTATACGCCCCGGCCTGCATTCGACTTTACGGGGATTTGTGTTTTTTCGCTAACCAATTGCATTGCATTGACTGAGAGTGGGCATAAATATTGATTTGCACGAAAATTGCATAAATACTTTATTGAAATAATAAAAACAGATTTCATTCCCACGCGAAACGCAATTTTGCGCCTTTCTGTCGGATTTTATTAGCCATGAATCAACTTTCAGCTGGACATTCCCATTTCCCAATGGCCCTCAGGTGTTAATAGTATATATCTCGCACATACATATGCTAGCCATGAATAATTCACAGAAGTGTTTGTGGAATTTACAAGCATTAAATTAATAATGAAGACTGGCATCAATAATTAAAAACCAATGAATGCTTTGCTTGTTATCATTAATTGCAACTGTGAATGTCACTGGCAGACTGTCGATTTATTAACCATTTTCCGTGAGAAATAGTGAGAAAGAATTCAAGGACTCACCTGGTGAATGGGACTCCTTTTTGCCCGTTGCTGTACCTCTCGAGTTCCCCTTTAACTTTTATGGCTGCATAAATTGACACGCTGCTCGCTCGGTCTTGACCAGAACTCGGAATTTCTGATGCAAATTTCAAATGGAAGTTGCTCCTTCTTTTGGATATATATATATAGATATATATTTTTTCTGTAGTCTGCTTGCCTTTTATGTGGATTTTTTTGTAATATTTATTTTAGCATAATTTTCGGTTGTGCACTTTTCGTTTTACGTTTTTCGCATTCCGTTTCAACTTGAACAAAACATTCAGAAGCATATTTAATGGGGCATGACCAAGGCTGAGATCGTAAAATAAATGGTTATGTTCTGTGGCCCCCAACTGCAGTGTGGTGTTGTGTAGTGTCCTCCGTTCCGTGTCCGTCTGTCCATCCTAGATCCTATATGGATATGGGTATGGTATGGTGTCCTATGTGCAACAGTTGTCGGGTGTGTTTTTAGGAGGAGTTGGAAAAATGGTTTCGAGAAAATGGATTTTTATTTTATCGCCTGGCAATAAAAGGCGAAACTGCACGGCCGCGCAACAGTTTGCAATTATGTGCAAATGCAGCGTGACATAAACGGGCGGTTCCCCGACGTTTTAGCCCCTCTTTTTATCCTTCGTCCTTTTTAGCTGCAAGCAATTTGCTTTTAATTGCTGCACCCACCTCTCGCCCCCTCTTTGCATTCACAATTTAATTCATTTCAATTTGTTTTAGTTTGGTCGAGTTTAGTTTGCTTGGCTTATTCGTTTCATTTCGCTTCGTTTACGTTTCATTTCATTTGGCACTCGCGCACTCACTCACTTTCACACAATGTCGTTGGTTTGGTCTCTTGGAGGATTTGATTGACTCCCGTTTGTCTGACTGGGAGATAGATGTGTGCTACTCTGGTTCCTCGGCTTCCGACTTCTGGACGTCCTCTGGTTCCGTTTCCGTTGGTTGAATGAAGCTACTACCTTCAGCGACGCCTGCCAACAGCGAACTGAGCTGCTCCAGTTTCGGGCTTCACCTTATAAGCCGTGCATCCATCGCACTGTTGCTGCTGTCGTTGCTGCTGCTTCTGCTCCTGTGCTATCCTTAATGCGAGTCCTGCTTGCTTGCTTGCTGCTTCCAGCCAGCCGTTGTCCTTTGATAAGAGCTGGCGTTGGTGTGCGTGCCCGAGAGAGCCCGAGAGAGAGTGTGTGAAAAGCTCGGAGAGGGGTCAATGCGATGTTTTTTTGGCATCGGGTTTCCCACATCCCAACTCTCTTTAACGAAGCTTGAAGGGGAGTTCAGCCGTTAGAAGCATTTGAATTTCAAATTCATTCTAGTGGGTTTTATTTCTAAAATCTGGAATATTTTCTATAATAAATTCAGAATACATGTCATAAGTTTATGCTAAAATGGAAAGACAAATCTACTTCTGCTCCTCAGCAGTTAGAGAATTTTCAAAAAAGGTTTTACAACTTATTAACATTTTTTTCATTAAAAATGTTTAATAATTTTAAATGTTTGTATTTATGCGACATTGTTTCATAATAAAAGGGTAAAATAACAATAATTGAATATTATTATTATCGATTTTTAGTTTTCGAAAAAGTTTACAAGTTTTAAGTTTAAAGTTAGAATCTAAACAGCTTAAATTAAATTAAAAAAACCACAAATCTAAACTTAAATCTCTCTAACAATAAAATATAATTAAAAAATAAATGTCAAAGAGCTAAAATTCTAAAGAACTGCCTTAAAGAAAACCCGTTTTCTCCAACATCAACTCCTGTTACATTTTTTCGCAACTTGATAGTGTGGGTTGGTCATGAATGAACTTCCTCCTGTTGCATATGTTTTTATGGCCAAGGATGGCTAAAGGGGGGCGTGATTTGGCCTAGAAAAGAAACATAGAATCAACCCAAACCCAACCACCCACTAAGACACACACACAGGCACGTACTCGGCTCCCCTCGCCGTGAAGTTCAAGATGAAGGTTAGCGCCGAAAACTCGAAAAGCTACGGAAAGCTTTTGCTCTCTCCAACGCCAGCGTTCTCTATCTCTCTCGCGACCTCTCGTTTTTTAACATGTTGCTCTTGTTCGCTCCGCTTCGATTTGTTTTGTTTCCTTTTTTGTTTTCCACCATGGCGCCCCAAAAATTATGATGAGCTCCATCAAGCGACGGCGCTTAGCGCGCGTTGGCTTCCTTCCTGCGCTTTGGCCACTCACCACCCACCAAACACCACCCATCGAACGCCATCTACCACCGACCACCCACCACCCGCACCTGCTCGCCACAATCCGCACCGTTCACATCCTGCTGCCAAAGATTACACAAAAGGAAAATGTAAAGAGGCTTTTGGGTTCTTTTAAAAAATGTGTAAAAAAGATTTTAAATTTAATTTTTGATAAAATAGTAGCTTAAAATTTAAATTACTGATGAATTATATTTTAAATTATAAACAAATTGATATATATCTTTTATCATTTAAACAATTTCTAGCATTTTTTTAAATTAAAGTACCAAAATCCCAATCGTACTTAGAAACCATTGTTCGGCTAATTTCTGGTACTTCCCCTAAGCTGTTCACCTTTTTTCTTCCTGTACTCGAGCCATTTGTGTGTCTGTTGACTGCCCGAATCTGAATCCGTGCAGAACATAACGCCACGACGACCCGGAACCCCGCCTCTCGCCTGGTGACCCAATTTCATGCCTCCGCGTGCACGGCGCTCAGAAATGGAGACAGGAGACTCACAGCCATGCCAGTTGGTACATTGGGAGGCAGAAATGTCCGGGATCGAAGGCATTTTCCATGCCCACAGATATGCAGTCAAACCTTGCGCTTGATTGGCTTGGTTCTTTGGCATTTGTCGGCCTGTATTCCGGATGATGGAGGTGCGAATGCGACACATTTTTGCATCATGCATTGTTGGCAGGAGGAGTCAACAGTAGACGGCAGACGGCAGTGATTGATTGTCGGTTGTTGGCCAAAATACATACCATAGTGGATCTGCATTTCCCTCCCCCCACTTTTTCGACAGGGAAAACTGCTGCCATTGGCAACGTGGCATCAAAATTAAGCTGCTTAAATAAGCGACAATATCAAGGAGGTGAACAAGAGTCCTTTGCCAAAGGATAGAGGGAACTGGGGTTGGGGTTATGAAGGCAAGTACGCCGTAACTAACTATTCTCGTTGCTCTCTTGGACTGTGAAAATGATAAAAGTTTTCTGCGTCTCTCTCTGGCTTGCCTGCTATCTTTTCTTAATTTGAGTTGGGCCAAAGCATCCAAAGTTGTTCGCTGTCAATGATGTGAACTTTTGAACTTTGATTGGTTACCCTACACACACACACACATACACACACACACAAACAAACAGGCAGTCTGATTCTGCTACCCATAAGCCAGGATTGTACACCTTTCAAAGCTTTAATTTTTGGCTTAACCAGATTTTAGTTGAACTTTTCAAAGCAGTGACAGTAAATAGTTTGATTAGTTTTGAAATGAACAAAGCCGAGATTAAATAAAATAATTGGAAAGATAAATATTTAAATTATTTAATTTAAAATAAATTATTTTATCACAAAGAATTACTAATAATTACCCGTTTAATCAACCCATTTAATACAAAATCTCAAACATTTTCTGAATGTTTAAGCTTCGGAGAATGCAAAACATAGCAACACAACGTTGCCTGATTAAAAATCCAAATAAGCAAGCGAATGCCTTAAATACCCGACCAACTTGAATGGAATGTCAATGATATCCTTGGGGAATTTCTACAGAATGCATCCGCCCCGGCTTCATTAGGCTGCTGGCAAAGACAAAAGCCCAGGTGCAGCCCACTGCAACCCCATTTTAGGAGCAATCTGCATTTTAAGCCCAAGATAAGTCGGCTTAAGATGTAATGGAAAGAGTAGACTAAAAGGATGGAATGCAAATTAAATGGGCAGGGGAAATGGCAAGACAGTGCGCTTAAAATGCCACTTATTTTTAGCCCGGCCAAGTCAACCGATACAAATCACTTTCACTAATTATGCCTTCACACCAATGGTCGGTCAGTTATCTTACGAGTTCGACTAAAAAGGCAAAGGACACGCAGGAAACCAAGGCGAGAGTCAAGGGCACAGCTGGTAAATGAAGTTTGCCTTGTTTTTTCTCAGCTATCGAGGGTAAAATGCACAAGTTCTTGGAAAAATAGTATAAATGAGATCTATCGAACTGTGAAAGGAAAGGGTTTTCATTCTTAAAGTAACCAATTTGCCAGATATAATTTAACTTCAGTCGCTTCAGCTCACTCACTGGGACATCTTTCCTGAGAAAAAAACCAATAAATAAAATTGAAATGAAAAAGCATAGCACACATTTGCGGGCAGTTCAAGGTGCGCGCCACACGCTGCGACAATTTTTGGCTGACCAAGATAAAGCGAAGCGATAGTCGGCCAAGAGTCCAACTAGCCATGTCTGGGGCATTGGCCACTCCCTGGAATCCAGTTGTCTGCTTTCGGGGTTTTTCTTTTTCTTTACTGCTCTTATTTTTTTGGTCAACCACTGAATGTCCGACTTGCTGGGTGCGCCAACGTATATTTGCCACCTGAGGTCACGAAAACGTCGCTTACTCTGTGGCTGTGGCTTAGTTTAATTAAAGTTCTCTTGAAAATTCGACATTCGACATTATGGCATTATTTGCTAGCCTGTCTGGGCTGGCTGGCCTGTCTGTCCTGTCAGCTGAATCGTTCAAACGGCGAATTGAGTAATTTATTTCTCCCTAGGCAGCTGCACAAAAATTTTGCACACGTGGCGTATGCGTGTTGTTCGCCTTTAATTGTTCATGCAGCGCTTGCAATTTTACTTTACGGTTTCATACCCAGTCCTTCCTTGCGATGCGGCATGTTTATAATTTTATTGCCTAAAATTGAGATTTTTGTCTCTTTTTTGTGTGCTCTCGTCGTCTGCAAAGTTTTGTCACCTAAATCATTTAGTGGAATTTCGCTGGAGCTGTAAACCAGACAACATTAAACGAAGTGCCCGGTAAGCACCAAGCACCAAGCACCAACCGCTGAAAAATGGTTAAAATTTAGCTCTGCTCATTATGGAAATAGCCATAAAACTGGTTATACCGCCGAGGTATAAGATATTCAGTCTGGAAAAATATTGTTATTTCGCAGCTTGAGGAGGCAAGGCTTTAAAGGTGGCGCCATATGGAATTATGTTTTCAAGAAAAAGATCTTTACCAAATGAGGTTCTTTTCCCTTAATAACTTCGGGTTAAGCGGAATACAAATTTCCTTTACTTAAGATTTTGTTACAAATCAATTCTGATTAAGGATTTAAGCTCATATGCGCTCCTTAATCTCCATCACTTTGCTGTTAATTGTAAAGTTTATTTTGGCCAAAAAGGGAAACAACCCACATGACCATCGATTCGCAGTTTTGACAGCTTTCAAGCCGCCCTCTGTGCACACACAGTTCGGCAATGTTTTCGCTCATTTACCAATTTGCAGCGGAGCTGTTTGGTCTGGTTTGCGTGTCAGGTATATTACCCACTCCCATTGGCCCAATGATGATCGATGCGTTGACGGTGGCGTCCAGGAATTATGACCGCCGATAGCGGCAGCACGCACATTTCTAACTGGCTCGCCGGTGTCCTTGCCCTTCGCCATTTTACCTCGGCGCATGGCTCGCATGGAAATTGGTAATATTCACTCAATTTATTGACTAATTGCATTTACACTAGCTAATGAAAACGCTCAAATGCCAAATAAAATGGCGAATTTATCAAATTCTCTCACGCGGCGTCCTTCGTTCGGTTCGGACAACGAACAACAGACAATGGGGCGCATGAGTAATGGCAAATCAACGTCGCAATGTGGGCCGAATATTTGAAATGCTAATTTATAAAATGGTCTCCGCTGATTCGACAATGATAAAGAGCCCCGCCTATCGCCCAACGCCCAAGTTTAGCGGTATTAGGTGCGAAAATGTAATTTACGTGGAGATTAATAGAAAACTCGTTAGTCTGACTTCCAAACAGAGTTTTTTGAGGCGAGCAGCGATTTAGTTTCGTCAGGTGTATTGTTTCCCAGCGACGACTGTCTACTGTCAAATGAATGTCGACAAGTTTTTGCGGTCAGGGAAATGCCTTCTTCTACCATCCTACCTGCCTGTCGCCCAATCTTCTGCAGATGACAGCCAGAGGAGGATAAAATGCAGGCAGAGGTAACTCGCACTTCCTGACTCACGGCAACTTTCCAATTAGAGGCTATAAAAAGTTTACCCTGCTGCCTCCTAAATAATTGAATTGTTTTGGCCATGTCCACATGGCTATCAACTGCTTGTTTTTGACTTTTGAAGAGCCTTTTGTTATTGCACAACACATAATATTTTATGCACTTGCAGCCAGCTTAATTAGTGCGAATTCGAGAAGCTTTCCCTTTGGCCAACTTTCATCAGTTGGCCAGTAATTGGTTCTTTGGCCTCGTCAGCATTAAAGTTGGCTTAAATTCAGCACTGAAAGGAAAATCTAGTAATGGAAAATATTTATATAATAAAAGAAAATATATTATATGTTATTATTTAATGTTTTTTGGTAAATTTATATAATATATATGTTTTTTTACGTTCTACATTTAATACCTTAAATTTTATTTAAGTGATTTTATCCTCAACTGAGATCTGCCAGCTAATTAGAAAAAAGGGGTTCTGATAGGGGACTTGCTGGGAGGATATCCTGCACATTATGTTTTCTGTTTACCACCTCCGTGCGGCTCAGACAAACATACAGATGAAGGTTGTTTGCAGCTCGCATAATCAAGGGGCTGGGGGACAAAAGGCAAACACGGAAACAACTTGTTGCAACTACAAGCCGAACAAAGTGGGTACACACACATGTGAGTCGACACCAAAGGACACAGGTCCTGTTGATCAACTGGGAAATGGGCACTGGGAGCTGCGGGCGGAAGTGGGCTGGAAGTGCGAAAGGACGCTTGGTTCAGATTATAAATTATTTATACTGTTTGCCGAACAGGTAAAGAGTTTCCATTCTGCCTGGGATATTTGTTCAGATCCTTTGGGAGAAAGTGGTGAAACGAGCTGTAACTTGCGAAAAAATTCGATTTCATCAACAAACTACTCGTTTTGCTTAAATTAAAGTCCAATACATATATATTAAGTACGCTTGACCTTGTTAGCCAATCAATTGCCAAACAAAATTCAATTAGATTGCACATTTTTATGGCGCAAACACAGGAACTCGATCAAATGGACCCGCAGGAGTGGAGTCCATTACAACAATCGTTTTTACATATTGTAAACAGGACAAAGCACAATTGTTACTTGCACAAAGGACATGTACACACACACATATACACATCGAATCGAAGGAAAACAATGTCCAACAAACAAACAAATGGCGAATATGAAATGGGTTGGGTGGTGTTGTTGTGGGGTGGCGGGGTATGGAAATCGAAGGTGAAACCGAAGGGAAAATAGCACGCTGTAATAATTGAAATTCTGTCGCGCACAGCGAACGAACGTTCCCGTTTCCGCTAAGCACCGGCAGTCAGAAGTGGGCACGAGCCCACTTTTTATCCCCCTGCCCAACATCCTCATCCGCTATATATATGTAGTAGTTACCTACAGTCCCACGCCGCCAAAACCAAATCAAACTCGAGGACGTCAAGGGCTCCTCGCTCCTGAAACATTGTAATAGAGTGGCGACAGAAACAACAGAAGCTGTGAACAGCCCAAATGGGAAGCCTTTCAGTCGGCAACTTTGTAGGCGGATTTCCCCGAGTTCCTATTCCCCGTTGCTGTTGCCTGGCTATTTTCAGTCCTATTTCTGTTTCCAAGCGGGCGATTGCGTCCTTTATTGTTCCGCCAAAGTGTCATAATTGTTTTCATTTGCACTCTCCATTTATTTAAAGTACCTTTTCGTGAGGTTTTTGTTTCGAATATAGCCGCATACATTTTAGTATTGTCTCTGTCTAACAAGTTCTCCAAGAACCCACTCCATCCCTGGTATCGCAATCAGCTGTTTGCCGGCAAACTGATTTGGTTTCCCTAACATCTTCTCGACTTTAAGATCTTTAAACTGAAATATGCAGCGATTCATGAAGGTATTCAACCAGCAAACATGCAAAATAATCGGCATGATACACGTGGATGCGCTGCCAGGTGAGGGAAGCTCCACAAAAGCACAAACAACCGAAAACCAAATGCTTTTAATCTGGAACCACAACATCAGGAACACCACGATACACCGGCAACTGGAAACAGACGATTGAGAAGGCTGTATACGAGGCAAATCTCTACAAGAAACATAAACTGGTAGAAGATTAATAAGTACTATGGCGTTTCACTTAAATTTCTTTAATATCCTCACAGGATGCTGTGCTTATAGAAAATATGCATGATATTCCGTATGTACCAGAGCGCCTCCTGGGTGCCGAGATAGTGGCTTGCATGACACGACTGGCATTGGCAGTGCGGGAAGTGATCCCCAAGGAAACTCCTTGTGGTGTTCAAGTTCTTGCCTGCGGCAATAAGCAAGCACTGGCTATTGCCAAAGCCAGTCAGCTGCAGTTTATACGCAGTGAGGGATTCGTTTTCGGCCACGTGGCGGATGACGGTTACACGGATGCTTGTGCGGGGGACTTGTTGCGGTATCGCAAGCTAATCGATGCAGAGGATGTACTGATCTTTACAGATTTGAAGAAGAAACATAGCTCACATGCTATTACCGCTGATGTCAGCCTTTTGGAAACCGCCCATGCTGCAGAATTCTTCCTCACTGATGGGATTGTCATCACAGGAACAGCCACAGGTCATGCAGCAAGTCCCGAAGATCTGCAGCAGCTATCCGGCAGGGTAAAGGTTCCCCTGATAATTGGCTCCGGGGTAACCAAAGATAATATTGGGAGTTACTTCAAAGATGCCCACGCAGTCATAATTGGGTCACATTTCAAGCGGAATGGTAATTGGCTGGAGGCGATTAGTGAACAAGCAGTAGATGATTTCATGCTAAAGATTTGTCATCTACGACGATCAAAAGGATAAGCTCTGTAAATGATTTTATTGACGTGTATAAATGTTTTAAATGAATAATGGATAATGTATACGATTTAGTTTGAAGTCATCTAGTTCTAGAATAGATTGGCAAAGAAATCATAAATTCGCTCACGCAATGAAATGGGTTTTTGTGTGAGAGCCCCATCGTTTGAGAATGCAAATGGTTTCTGGTCCAGTACCGGAGACACTGCATCCAAGGTGTCGTCAAACTTGACCCGCTTCTTTTGTGGCGGCGAGCAGATCTCCTCCTGATTCCTTAAATGTGCAGGGAACATATTTTCTCCGTTAAACAAATCCTCACGTTTTACAAATGTTGGTATGGTGTTGTCCACGTTGTGGGCCCTGAAATAGGATTTTGAGTCCGAGTAGCGGCTGGCAAAACCGTAACTTGGATCGTAATCATTGATGGGCACCGGCGCATTGCTTCGCTTCAGGATTCCGCGAACATTGGCCACTTTGTCCCCGGTAGCAATCTTTTTGTACAGTTTAGAGATGCGATTCTCTTTGCAGACCGACTCTCCAGCTCCCCCCGGCTGATGGCGCATCTGGACTGTAGGGGGTGGAGGAGGAGGAGGTGGTGCAACACGTTTCACGGATATAGAAGAAGTGGTCGTTCCGGTTATGTTTGAAGTCGGAGTTCTTAGAACGCCATTGGGCACTTTACGCTTGCGGGGAAAGCAAGCACTTTCCTCTGTTTCCTCATCAGAATCTGTGCTGCGATTTTTGTTCCGGAATACAGTTTCATATTCCTGTAAGAGATTTCAAACGTTAAGTTTAGGGTTATTATTTTTATTCGTTGATACTCACACATTTGCGTTTGTTGGGACTCAGTACATAATCAGCTCCGAACTTTTTCATGTCCTTTTTACGTATGGGCGTCCTTTTACTCGAGTCCTTACGTAGGGTTTTTCGGCACTGAACGTGCAGATCTATAGCATCGCGAATGAAGCCCACCCAAGTGCGCGACAGCTGTACGTCACCGCTGCCAAAGATAATGCCGTCACTTTGGCACGTAAGTTTAAAATTCCCCGGTAGCATTTCATACACTTTGCATTTCTTCAAGGGAAAAATACAGCAACACTCCAGGGAGTTTTCCACGACGGTATTAGGTGCTCGTTCCTTAATCATCTTGCAGTACATGAATATATCCGACATGAGCACACAATATCGTTTGATCTCAGTGCCCTTGTGGGTGATCTTTTGCAAAATACCCTCCTTAATGACTCGCCGCGAGGGCTTCACAATGTTGGGCGTCCGGTTTACAAGGGAGTTTTGCAAGTGAATAAGATACTGGGTGATTTCTTGCTCCTCCACACAGGTGTTTATGTGACTGGCGGTCGCCTCGATTTCCTTGACGGATTCTGGAAGGATAATATTATTAATTAAATATTGGCATAACTTTATTCCTAGACCATACATACCCTTTAAGGTTTTGTAGTCCGCATCTGCAGGACTTGTGTATAGCAAAACTTGCTCTAGAAGTAGCTTATACCTGGGAACCCGCTGTATGGGCACAATCATTAGTGAGTTCAACTTCCGCTGCACCTCCGGTCGACTTTCGGTCTGCTCCAAAAACTTTCTGAACACCGGATTCTTACTGATCAAATCCTGAATGATAAACAAAGCACCGCGATAATCGAATGCGTACACCGAGTACAGCTTGAAGAAGGGAGCCATTTTCAGGAACGCCTGGGCCACATTCTCCATATTCGCCTCCAGTTCTCGCAGGAATTCTCCGTTCAGATTGTGAATCATCTCGATCTGACCGAAGAGCAGAGTGTGATTGGAGCAATCGATTATGGCCTGCTCTTTTAAAGGCCGCACAAAGTAATTCATAAGTAGCTCCAGCTGCTCCAGATAGGACTTCTCCGACGAGATGATCTCTTGGATAGCCTGCCGCCGGAATCCCAATCGTTTTCCCGATTCTGGATTTGGTGATCCAATCGGACTGCTGTTATTGCTGTCCAGCATCGAGCATACTGCATTGTAAATTTACTATTAGGACCTAATCACCTGGCGAAGCCTGAATTTTTTGCTCACCTTTCCTGCGGGACTTGGCTGTTAGGAGATTTCTCTCCTGCAGCACTTGACGCAGCTCCCTACTAAAACTAAGCGGTGTTTGGGGGGAATGAATAAAACCATTTCCGTATCCCTTCTGCCTGGGCGTAAACATTTTCCAAAACAGAGTCTATTAGGAAGATCTTAAACCAAACGAAAACGACGCCACACCTGTTCAATTTAAACAATCGCCCGCTTTTGCAAGGTGCGGCCACACTTACTTGTGTGAGACCGCATTGTCGAGGGGAGATTCAAGACTTTCGAATGCGACATATAACTTTAGCTATAAAGAAATTAAAAACAAATAATTTTAATAAAATTTACTATCAAAAAATAAACAAAAAATTAGATATTTTTAACTACTTTTGAAACCTGCTAAGGATTTTGGGCAACCATTTTCCTGCTTTTGCTGCATGGTCACACTGCCATAATTATTTATTTTTATACGTGGTTCGTGGCCCGTTTAGATTTTAATTTAAATGTTATATTAGCTTTCGGTGCATAAAAATGCATGCAAAGCTCAGCGAAATGGAGTTGCGCATAGTGGCGCGACTAAATGAGGAGATCGGAAAGGATGCCAGCCGGCTGAATCGAGCCAGTCACCTAGTTAGCCACTACAGGGAGCGCCTTCAACTCTTGTCACAGACGGTGAGATATTAACTTATAAACAACACTCGACTTTTAATACACATACACAAACAGCTGGACTACGAGGACTCCCAGAACGTGTCATGCTACAAATCTGCCTTCCAATGCCAGCAACAGGTCTGCGAGAGTATCGACTTCGAACTAGAAAAGCTGGCCCAGTTCGGTGCCAAGCTAAAAAAGAAGCTGAAGGAGTGTCAACCTGCCTTAGAGGGCGTAGCTGAGGATTTGGGAAAAGTTCGGCAGCTACAGCGTTTGACGCAGTATCTTCGCCTGGTTCAGGACATTCAGGAGATCAGCGCTGCTATGGGAAGTGCCATCAATGGCAAGGATGAGGCTAAGCTGGTTAATATCTACCTAACCCTCTACGAGGGTAATGATTGCGAGCACAGCATAGTGGGACGTTTGCATGCCGTGCAGGCACTATCTCTGAAATCTTTCGCGGAACGCACTGCCATATACTGGCACAAGCTTCTACTCAAGCGGCTTTCCAGCGAATTCGAGGCTGTCCTGAAAAGCATGCGCTGGGCGCATATGGAACAGCAGGCCCTCAACTATTCACCCTCTCGGGACACTAACAAGGCCCAGCTTCTGGCTGAATATATGTTCCTGATCAAATCTCCCGCGGAAGAGCACGCGCCTCTGCAAAGCATCACGCCCAGCATCGTGTGTCAGCCCATCAACCAAGTGGTGCAGCTTCTGCTAGCGCCCTATCGTCAGCGATTCACATTTCACTTCACAGGAGCAAGGCAAACGAATCGATTAGACAAGCCGGAATGGTTTTACACGCAGATACTTAACTGGGGGAAGGAGACACATTTCTTTGTAGGAAAAACATTCCAGCCATCAGCAATAAAAGCTGGCAAGCTAGACTACAATCTTAGGGTATGCATTCAGTACTTATTAACTTTTAAAACATCCTAACTTTGATTTTCCTCTAGCTGGAGTTCATGCGAGGCCTGGTGCAATTGACTATTGAGAAACTAGCGGTGGACATAGAACAGATTGCCGAAGACGAAATACTATTTGCACATCTGCTAGATGAGACTTTGGCCTTTGAGTCCGAGCTACGAGAGACATTTGGTTATCCGGCAAGTTTTCCCAGCGCTATATCCGTAATCACGCAGCCCATGTATTTGCTTCGATGGATTTCACTAGAAGAACGATGTGAGATAAGGTCGTTGTCCTCGATTGTTGTTATTAAATAATGTACTTACTTAGTTTGCGCGGAAAAAATGGATGACATTCTACAGGCGGAGACGCCGTTCCAGCTAATTGATCCCAATACATACGAAGACGACCTGAAAATCCCAAAATGTGCGGATCAGTTCATGCGACTGCTGGACGCGATTAAGGACCGGTACTATGGGTTGATTCAACCCGGCCACCAACTGCAATTTCTCCATTTGCAGCTAGAACTGATCGATAGCTTCCGCCGACGCCTGGTCCAGCTGCACAGTAGTGGAGCCGTGCCGAGCATTCCCATTCTAAACGCAATCAACTATTTGGTAATGGTGCTGCGCGAATGGGGAGAGAACGTGCACTATCTGCATCTGCATGCGGTCCTTGCCGGTCCAAATGCACCGGAGATTAATTCGGTGTTTGAACATGCTGTCGCTGAGCTGGAGCATTGGGCCAAGCAACTGATGCGGAATCTGGCCACCAAGGCAACCAATGAAATGAAAGCAAAATCCATGAGCTATCGTCATGATGCTTGGCCAACAATGCCGGAGCAGAACTGCCGGGAACCCTTTATTCTCTCTCCCAGTGGCGGCGAAATGTTCCAGGTGCTGGTCACCCTGCTACACAATCTAGAGCGTGAACTATCTGCCAATCTGTTCAGCCAAACTCTGCGCTTGATAGCCCATCAAATCGATGACTTCATGCTCGAGAGCATGGTAATGAACACGAAATTCGCACCTGCGGGGGCAGCGCAATTTAATTATGACATGACGCGCAATTTATTTGCGCTATTCGGACAGTATACCCGACGTCCAGAGCTGCTCTTTAAGAGGTGAGTCATCTCGAAATATTTTATAAATGCACAATAAACATAAACCTGACACCTTTTACATTCGATTCATAAGAATACACGATGCGAGCAAGCTGTTGACGGCGGCACGGGGAACGTCTTTGTTACTGCTTGAAACGTTGCGTAGTAATCAATCAGTGGAAGAGAAAACGAAACCACTGCGGGAACTGAATGTGCTAAGCCTGGATAGCAAACAGTGCATTGAAGTTCTGGAACGGCGGACGGACATAAAAATGTTTTAAACAATGGAAAAAATTGAACATAGCTAAATATTTGTTTTATTAAAAATCCTTGGTTTTATTGGGCCTTAGAGATTTTTGTAAATTTATACAACGATTATGCGCTGGATTTTTGCTAAATAAACTTCTTTAAATTTAACTGAAAGTTAAGTAGAAAATATGTTTGTTTCTATTGTAAATATATTTGAAAAGAACTGTAGTTTTACACAATTTTATATTTTCAAAAAGTGCATGTTTTTAAATATAGTATTCAAGACGGAGATTTAACTAATTTGTATTACAACAGGACACATTTTTGAACTCGTGAAAATGCTTGCAACGACCACGTTGAGATATAAATTCAAATAACGTACATATTTACAATTAAATACCGATTCTGTGCCCTTGGCGTAAGTCTTTAATGAGTTTATGGTAAATATTAAACATTCACTTTTAGGATTTGATGTTTAGTTTAATTTGTAAAACGTTGACATAATAACATGCGGTAACTTTAATAATAAATTTCTCTAAAAATACATAGCGTAAAATAGCGGCCTGATCGGGCTTGAATCGCAGATAGCGCATTTGACACATCAATACTGATTCACGGCTGATCAGGGCGTATTGTATATCCCACATCCTCGGTTGGCAAACAATTGCAGTTAGTAAATACCAATTTGCGACTCGAGACGCACATCACACATCAACATCACATCGTGGACCAAGATCATGGCGCATTGCCCGCAGAAAATAATTTTATGTCTACACTAAATAACCGATAATAATCAGATCAGCGGGTGTCGCTCGCTTTTACTTCCCATTCTATTCAAAGTTCTGATAATTCTCGGCACTGACAAACTGTGCCCGCTGTTGAGGGGTCATGTTGAGATTACCGCGATGCTTGTTATTGTAAGCCCAAATGACTCCGGTAGCGATCAGGGCAATAGTCAGCCAGCCCATAAAGAACAGCTGCAGCCACATGTGTTCGCCGTTACTGTGGTCCACAATGATTCCTGCCAGGATGGTGATGACGGCTAGTCCAAGATTTTGGATAGATTGACAGAAGCCATAGGCTGTGCCAAGCTGATATTCTGGAATGATAAGTGCCACCAGAGGCCACAAACTAGCAGCCAGCATGGAATACGAAAGTCCCATGATGGTCATGCCCACATAGGGTGTCAGTTGGGTGAACGTAAGCAGGGCATGGGCTCCGATAGTGGTCAGCGTCGCAGTAAACACCCAGGTCACATTCCTGCCCAACTTGTCGATGACAAAGCCAAAGATTGGCGACGATACTGCTGCAATTAGATATACCAGCGAATCCACGGTGTTGGCCTCTGCCGGACTGTAATGGAAGCGATCCATGAAGAAGTTCTGCCCCAGGGCAATAAATGGAAAGATAGCCACATAGTAGGCCACGCAAATGATGGAAACCATCCAAAAAGGTGGTTTAAATGAAAAGACGTCTGTGAGCTTGGGTATTTGTCCAGACGGATTGGTGTTACGCTCCAGAATCCGCTCGGCCCGCTTGTCCATCCAGCCTAGAATTAGGGCGCAGATCATGGACATTACACAGGTTAGAGTTGCCAGCAGCAGGACGACGCCCAGGGCGGTGTGCCCTTGGTAAAAGTTGCTGACATAGTCGTAAATGGGCTGCATCACCCAGAAGTTAACAGTACTGCCGAATCGGGCCACCGACAGTTGCAGACCGAATACCATATTCAGTTCCTTTCCCTTGAACCAGAGAACGGCATAGCTGTTCTGGGCAACTGCCAGTGATTCGGCGCCAATGCCGAAAATGAACCGACCCATAATCATCATCCAGAAGGCATCCAGTATGCCACCGCAGGCAAAGGTTAACTGACCCACCAGCAGAATCAGCATATAGATAACTGTGCCCAGGCGAATTCCAAAAAGGCGGTCGATCAGGAAACCGCCCACGAAGCAGAGAACGACATTGGGCCAAGAGTAAATGGAGTAGATAAGCGTGAACTCTGTGGAGGTCAGGTTAAGATCTCTCTTGAAATCTTTCTGCAGCGCTCCAGGATTGTCATAACAAAAGTAGGACCCGAATCCCAAGAGGCACATGAAAACCAGCGCCATAAACCGGTGACTTGTACTTGAGGGCATGCAGCAGCCGCCAGAGGGAAGGGTTAGTTCATTATCCCGACGGTTGCCACGAACGGCCACCTCGTTCTCCTCCACAGGATTCGACACCTCCTCATTGTCCACGATGCGTTCCTCGTCCTCGCGCGCCATCGTTACTCAGCACTCAATTAATCCGTACTGACCAGTGATTGAAACGGAATCTCGAAGAGTAGTGGGCGTATCCACGAAATGTATGATAATCTTTTGTTTTTCCGTTACAGTTTTTTTCTCTTTTTTGCCGTTTCTGCAAAATAATTATATCAATTTCTGCAAACGGGCGAGTTGAACTCTTCTGCTTTGTCTTCGCTTATCTCGTTGCTTTTGTTTTTGTTTACTGGACTCGCACTAGTACCCTTTGTCTAATGATAGTTGTTGTTGCCTGCGGGGTGTACTTTTAGTTGTCTCTGGGTTCATCGGTTATCAGCTTTCACACTCCACTTACATATGAAGTTATGCAAATACCGTGTGACGTATACACCCGCACTTTATTGCTGCTCAAATGAAACTAAATTGTTTTCTCTGCATAATTAGCGTTAATTACGCATATACAGTCGACGGGCTGCCAACTCGTTTGCGGCTAGGGTTGTCGACAACGTATCAGGTGCATGAAAACAGCTGGGATACGGAGCGGTAGTAAACAAAGAGGGTATTCTTTATCCAGTTGAATCACAAATATTATGTTGTATTATGTATGTATTATTGAACTCATAATTTAAAAATTACATTTTTCATTATACTACCAATAACTAAAAATACTTCAATCTAAGTAATAGTGGGTGGCAAAATTAAATAAGTTCTACTAGCCCAACAATAGACGAACACCCTAAATATATAAATTTATGAATGATTTTATAATGTTTATAACTTACTTTACTACTAAATTACAAAGGAAACTCATTTATTTAGTTTGCCATATATTAAATTCTTCTTTTTATATCTATTTAGTTTATTACATTTTAACGTGTTTTGATTGAGACGGTCTGGCAACCCTAGCTCAGCAACGCCGAGTTAAAGAATATTTTCCTTACTTTTACCAGGTAAAATGTTTTTAATTATATAATCCACTGGCACTTACAGCGATGGACTCCATTGATACTACTAAACGAAAGCCAAGACGCACCCACGGCACACCATCCTATACGTACCGCAATCGTTTTGCCTACGCGCTGTTGGCCGCCGGAACTGTGTTATTCGGAATTTGGAAGTGAGTAAAATTTTTATCTCTGATCTTTGATCAATAAGGTTCTAATTAATATATCTTATAGTCTAACGCCGATTCAGCGTATTGCCAACGAAAAGTTTTATCAGGCGACGTCTCAAACGGAGCAGGAACGTGACAGAAAAGGTCTCTTCGAGTTTGCCGCTCCAAGGACTTCAAAATTCATAAAGGAGGCGCTCGAGGAAAGTGAGGAGCAAAAAAACAAATAATGGATCGCAAGACACGCCGGGCGAACTTTAAAAACTTACAGCTTCGGTAATTTTATTTTAAACAAGAACAATAAAATGTACTTAGTCATCTAACAAAATACTTGGTTTTCTTTTCATTCCAAGATCGGCACGAAGCACCAAAGCATCTATTGATACACCCCACTTTATTGACATACCCGAGGATTCCCCGTCATCCCCATCTGTCATTCCTCCAGAGTCGGATACTCCTGAACGCAAAATCAAACCAATACGAAACAGCAATGTGTTTGAAAAACCTGGTCCCAAGCCTAAAAAGGCACCGAAACTCAAGGGAAGTAGTGCATCATCAACGACTGGCTCACGCCGAGGACGCGGGAAGAACAACCAGCCTAGTATCAGCAACTTCTTGAAGAACGAACAGATCTTTGCCGAGGTGACCGCCCAACACTGTATGGCGGATAACTTTAGCCCAGATGACATTGAAATGGCGCTGGCGCTATCAAAGTCGGAGGCTGAGGCTAAGAAGCGGGGATGCCTGCGATTGAACGATGAGAAGGATGCGGTAGTGGACCTGATTGATGATAAAGTGGTGTCAACGGAGAATATACGCTTAAAACTGCAAAAATATGGCTTTCGGACAGCCGCCAAAGAAGGTAAGTCTCTAGATTGAACTTAAGTCGACATACTATTCAAAAATTATTGTTTTATTCAGATTACAACTCCTTAGCGGTCCTTCCTGTGTTGGCTGGAAAAGGAGGTAGACGTGGTAAATGGGCCAATAAGTTCACTGCCCTAACCCTACGGAATCCTATAGTACAACAGAAGAAGCTGGAAGAAAAAGTATCTGCATTGCTAGCCCAACAAGTGCGCACCAAGACTCTAAAAGATGAAGATAGTTTGGTACCGACTTATACAGTGATTAGTGCATCGCTGCAACAAATCAAGGCGGAAAGTGGATTTAAAATCCTTCGAGAACCGGACGAAGGAGAGATAGAAAACTTAAATTTATACTACGTAAAAGACTTAATTCAAGTTAGCCAAGCACCTGCTCATCACCTTCTCAAAAATTGGGCTGCAATACAGGGACGAGATTTATCTCCAGAAAGGGAAACACCTAAATCGCGCCAATTAAAGCAACAGTTGGAACGGGTCTACGTGGAGCTGGAAAATCATTTTGGGGATCAACAGAAGTTGGAAGAACAAGTAGATGAGTTGGAAAATCTAGTTGCAGAAAATATGATTGAAGATGACTCCAAAATTGGTGATAATGTGAAAGAAGCGACATCATCAACTAGCAGCAGTCCATGCAAGGAACCGCCAGATAAACGACCGAAAACGGACATGGATGATAAAGAAAACCAGAAACTGCAACCAACAACTAGTAACCTTAGCGTTCCAATTCAGATAACACGTTGCATCTCGCCAGATCTCTTTGCTGATTCTGATGATGAGCAAGATATGTCAACAAGTGCCATTTCTAACGAGCCCACAAATGTTAAGGAGCTTTCTTTAAAGGTCTACAAGAATGTAAGCATATATTCCTCTTCGGAATCCCCAACTCAAATAACAACCTTTGAAGTTTTCTCCAGTGATGAAGGTGGGAATGTTGATTATTTATGCATTAAAGTGTGTTCTAATTAGCATTATAATTTGTTTCTAGTAAAGACTGTTACCAACGCTACACAAGGGAAGATATCTTTTGAGGGTAGGTAGTTGGTGCTAGTTTGATGAACGAAATTGTATTTTTATAATATTTTCCAGATAAGCCAATAGATGACTTCATTGACCTTACCCAAGATTTTGAAAATTCAATATTTAGTGAGCAAAGCCCCAAAATTACAAGTCCAGTAAAACCATCTGCATCCGATTCTAATGTCGACATCTTATTTGGCGATGTGGACATAAACTTCAGTTCCGAAAAATCATCATTTCACCTCGATATAATAACCACTCCAAACGACACTAAACGGAGTTCGAGCTTTAATGACATAAACTTTTCCGAAAACTCAATCCGAAGAAGTAACAGTGTCTCAACGGATTACAGCTTTAAAAGTCCGTTGAATTTCAAAATGAACTTGTCAGCTGATAAACTCTTACTGCCTGTGGCTTCTCCCTATGCCCACTCGGAGGCAAGTATAGATCTAACCCAAAATAGCAACGATGAAAGCGATGTGATTTTGCTTTCCGATGAGGAAATTAATTATTCGATATGGAAGTCCAATAAGACGGCAAAGGCTTTGGATATAGAGAACGAAAGCTCAGATAGCAGTTTCTCTTCTCCGGTAACCAAAAAGAGAGCTGTTCCACAGTTCCGAACTGAAAGTGATTTGGATGATTTTTTGAAGGCATTTTCTAACGATGGCAACAGATCAAAAAGTTCAAATTCGCCCAACAAATGTTCTCTTAGCAAGGATCGAGCTGAATTTGGAATACTGGATGCTGAACCGTCTCAGCCGCTTAGCTCATTCGAGCTGCAAAGTCCCATTGAGAATAGTGATATCAACTGGGCAGAAGCATCCTTTTTGGATCCTCCGATAAAGCCCTTGGCTCGCAGGAGCAGTCACAAATTTAATGACCTGCTAGCGAAAATAAGCAAACCTGAAAGTAATTCTGATCTCGACTATGATGAATTCGATCAGATGGTCTTTCAAAACACAAAAAGTGCGTCTGTTTCTGCGGAAACAAATGACTTACCCAGTGGTCTGGATCTTCTGTTAAGAGGGGAGATTAAAACTACAGCTTTACCAGAGCCGTGTGCTCCTAAGGATCAACCTCAGATTGTGCCTGACCAGGTAGAGATAGATGGAAAAGTGTACTCCGTAGGTGTTTGTCATACGCCAAAACCAGATTTCGCTACTCTTTCGGAATCGGAGATTCTAAAGCAGCTTTACGAGTATGGCATTAAACCACTAAAACGCAAGCAGGCCGTCAAATTGCTAGAGTTTATCTATAACCAAACACATCCTATTATGCAGGCCGCTCATATTCGAGACTTACCACCTAGATCGGAACTTATTGCCCGATCTAAGTCAACTCCCGTGATGATGGAGAAGCCCCTGTCAAAACTTTTAAAATTCACCACTGAAGATTCCTTGACTCCAACTGAGTCGAAAACGGAATTCAAATTTAACGATGCTTCAGGAGAGGAGCTGCTTCGTTTTTCCCAAACGATTCCACCAATGCTTTGCAACGACTTTGAGACCTTTGTCATGCAAACGAACGTATCTAAGAAGACTCCACAGCCACTTGTTCCACTTCACATTGCCTGGCACAATCTTCTGTGTGCCAATCCTCAGCTGCACGAGAGCGTCCTTATGTTTGAGCCCATCGATTTACAGGAAGTGTACTTATATTTAAAGCACTTGGGTCACCGGTACGATCCCAAGGATTTAAAGAGCTTTTTTGACCAACGCTGCATTATCTTTCGTTATGAATTGGCCGCTCCCGGTAAGCAATCGGAACGTCACGTGCGGAAGCAGCCAAAAAAGACGTCTAAGAGGAATTAGACTCCAAATTTATCTTTTCTGCATCAAACCAGTTGTATTCCTTTCTAGTTATACGCTATTCCAAATTCTTTGTAATTATTTTCGAATATATTTTCACATAGGACATTGTTATTTAGCATTTAGTGATTTAAATTTATAAACTAGAAATTTATTCGTCTATGTGGATATCGTTTATAAAACCACATCGTTTGAATCCCTTTTCCAAATAGCTTTACAATAAATAATGAATTTCTATATTTTTCGGGGCCGTAGATTTATTTAATGCAATTTCAGAATTCAATATTAGAACACTAAATGGACAAATACAAATATATAAAGTTTGCATTAACTGTTGTACATACAAGACACATGTTTTATAAAATTAGAATATTGAACAATATTAAATGCAGCATCTTTAGACTACCCAAAAAGGGTAAATAGCGATTAATTTTTAATACAGTTCGATCTTAGGGAACTAAGACACTTGGACGGTATACTTTTCTTAAGAGTCTCTACATTGAAGGCACATTTGTCTGATTGTGATTAATGGAATGGAAACGGTTCAAACAAAACTAGTTGCTAATGAAGCTATTTGTACTGCATGCAAAATTGATATGTTTGTTGGGTGCAGAAATGTTAGTGGGGTCTTATAGCAGCTAGGATTGATTAGTTTTCAGGGGAGATATATAAGATGCAATTCATAACATTGCCGGCACGTGAAATATGTATAAAAAATATAAACAGGGGTGTCCCAAAATTCCAAGATTATTTTTGGGAAGAATTACCCTTCGGTTAGAAAATATTTACTGAAAGGGAAAAATTTTAGCTTGAAAGGTATTTCTGAGACACCCCAAAAAAGATTAGGCATAGCTTATCTCATGCTCGTACGTCTTTCCCCGCAATTCGTCGTCGTCAGGAAGTGCGTGATGGCGCAATCCGCACAAACGGGGCCCGTACCGCAGCATGACAATAATTACACCCACAATAAACAGAGCGACGGCGGCCACGGAGGGATAAAGAAAATAAAGAGCCATTCCTACTTAGATATCGCTTTCGCGCTTCTGCAGCTCCACGTATTCTTCACGTTGGCGTTGCTGGTGCAGAGTGCGGCCCTCTGGACGTGGAGGACGCTGGTGCTGCTGCTGGTGATGATGATGAGCCGAGTGTACGGGTTCTAAGTCGTCAACGCCAATCACAACGTCGTCGGGAAACACTTGCTGATGGGTTGTGGGCTGGAAAAATAAAAATTTTTATTTCGAATATTTATCGATGTTTCTTTCCTATATTACTAAATTGTAATGCCATTTTAATATGTTTCTAAAAGATTTAAAAAAAGAGATTAAAATAATCAAATCCTAGTACTTTTTGAATTTTTTTTCATGATGAATTATGATTTTTTCAAATAAGATACAAAACGACAGGAAAGACAAGTTTTTGAAAATCATTTATATCACTCACATGAATACCCTGGAAATAGGAAGCGTCTTTTAGCTCGGTGAAGTCCAGTGGCGGTTGGTTATGGGGTGTGGCAGACCAAATGGAGACCAACCAGCGGTTTCCGGTGTGTCTGTCCTGCCAGTACTTGCGGTGCTTGGAGCAGCAGCCGAGGATGATATTTAGTATGATGATCGTGCCCAGGACAACTGTGCAAATGGCAATAGTCACATAAAACGGCGAAAAGTCGCCGTAAATGTGGCCGGTGAAGTAGGGATTCTTTTCGTATGCCTTGCGTTCCTCTTCGATTGTTGACATAGTCTTTTAGGGGTGTGGTACTTGAAAAAGCGGTCAATAGCCTGCTGCACAAGGCTCAAATGTCTAAAAACAGGAATGAGTAACGAAATGAGAAAGCGGTTCCAACCACCACGCTGCTTGACACTTGCACCCCGAAACCAATTGCCACCAATTCCGATTCCAATTTGTCATATTGGGCGTGGCGTCACCAAGAAAACTTAGCAGCAGCTTCTATTATTCCCAACTTAAACGTGGATTGTACTTACCATCTGAGCACGATTGGAGGTAACTGAGATTGGCACAAGTCCCATTCAAATGTATTCGCTTTCCAGAGCTGTGAAACTGGTAAATTTCATTCACTATGCAGCTATGAAAACAACGCCCAAAGCCTGGCTCATTTAGACAGTGGTGGCACTTCTTAGATTTTCTACAGTGTTGCATGCGATCGATTACTATTTATCGATCGCAAATGCAAAATAATTATTATATAGCATACTTATAGGCAGACAGTATTTATTTATGTAGATCAAAAACCTTAGATGCAAATATTAAATTAATATTTTATATAAATATATTTTTCCATTTTTTTTAATGTATATTAAAAATGACTAAGAATAGAAATTGAATTTCAAAACAACAACGAAACTGTACCTGATCGAATTCAAACCCACCATTGAAGAAATGAATTTATCAAACAATAATTATCTATATTTTTGAAATTACCGCGATCAAAATATGTGAAAATAAACGTATTGCATATAATAGGGTAAATTCAGACCCATGATTGAAAACAAATTAAATACGGCGCCTTCGTGCCGCTTGTAACATAATCGCATTTGCTTATCAACTATTACAGGTTCCGAAGCATTTCTAACTCAAAAATAATCCAGCTATTCAATAGCCGATTTCCCCGATCACTGGTCGTAGGTCAGGAAGTTATCTAACCCGGTGAATTGGCGCGCCAAAGCCCGTCCATCGTCGGTGGGCGTACTGAAGGCAATGCTGTCTTTGGAGATCTCCTGACCGATCACCGTGTGACACTGGACGACCCGCAGCAACTTTTTTGCAATTCCACAGCGACGGTGAAGGGGAGAAACCCATATACGGGATATGCCACAGCTGTAAGAAGAAAAAACTTAGAAGCGTATTTTAAAGCGAAAATATACTGATCCTCACGTGGCCGGGTAGCTCTCCTCGCTAAAGTAGTCTATGCCATCGACCTGGATGAATCGGTGGGCTTGCGAAAGGGGCTGCACCAGGCAGAATCCCACAATCTGCTGCTTTCGAACTGCTATGAAGGCCACAAAGATCTTTGGCACAATGTACGAGGAGTAGCCCAACTCTTTGTCCACCACTCCGATGAGATCACGGAGTCTTTCGAGTCGGGCTGCCGGAGCGCGTTCAGTGATCCGTAAGATGCGACCATCACTGGCCCACTCCGGATAAACGGACACAATGTCCTCGTCAATCCAACCCTTGAATCGCAGAACGTGAATAGAGTTATGATACTCACGATGCAGCTGCTCCTCCTCTGGTTCGTGCACGGTATACACCAATCCGCATTGCTGACATTGCCGAGCTCCAAATGCCTTTTGACCTGCATCGATCTGGTATTGACTTGATCCGCCAGCGGCCGATATCAATTTCATCGAAGTATCCGGCCGACGTCGCGTTGATTTCTGGGCAACGGGCTGCAGGCGTTGCGTAAATATGGGAAATAGCCTTGGTTGAACTTCCTCTGTTACTGGTGGGTTCTGTTGTGGTGGAACATCCAGCACTGGTTCCGGTAGGGCTTCTGTCTGAGCCATATATGCAGCTTCTTCGCTGTTTACCACCATGTACAAATCGTCAACAATCCGATTGGCCTCTTCTTTGTGGTTGTCCGGGTTTGCGATAAAAATCTCAAAATTCTCCTCAGTGCAAATGTTATTGCTAATGAGAAACTCTAACAAGATTTTCTGCTGCTCCACAATATCAGGATCATTGGTTTGATAAGGCAAGCGCTGACGAAATTCAGCAAAGGGATCAATTTCTGCATACGTTTCTGGCGCATATTCAATTATATCTGGTAAGGGATCCATTTCCATGGGTGTGTCCTCGGTTTTCATGGAGGCAGACTCCACCAGCGGTTTTGATTCAACAATTTCGTCTATTACCGTGTCGTCCAAGTTTTTCAAGATTGCATCTACTGTGGCCTGCTCTGCTGAAAATATCGTGGACGATTTCACTCGTACTTGCCGTGGCTTTCGACGTGGAGTTTGGACCAGGGCGATCTTGCCCTGACTGACGCTGGCTCGGATGTTGTCCGTGATTCTTACCTCCATGCAGGTGCTGCTACGCCGACCCGACTTAAAGAATTTACGCTTGCTGAGATCCGGTGGCTCGGCAGTATTAAGAATGTGAGTCGGCTCGTGGCGAATTATCGGTATGATAGGCTCTAACTCTATGGCGGGAACGTCAATCAAGTCCTTATCCTCATCCTCACTCAGGTCAGAAAAGTCTGCAGATGTGTTTCCCCACACAGTCTCTGGCATATTGTTATTATTTTTGGCATCGTCAACTTCAATCACACTTAATGGTTTTGCCATTTTGATCGGATCCCTTGCACTACGTAAGATTTGGTGCACCTCCTCTACCTTAGCTCGCTCCGCGCGCTTTGTAGTGATTAGGTTCTTAAGTCGTTCGTTGTTCAGAGAATTGAGAATGTTATCCAAGTCGCTGGTTGGCATTCGGTTGGACATTCCGGATCGCTTCCGAATTTTGTGGCGGACTCCATTATTGATACCCAAGCGTGGACGATAAGTTGGCGAGATTTTCATTGACCGTCGTAGCGGGCCCTTAGATGTTGCAGACGTCCCTTTTGGTTTTGTAGCAGTTGATCCACTGTGGGAATAAAAGGCCATGGTGGGAATGCTGCTCTCCAGCGTCATCTTTCGCATCTTGCTCTGTGGCGATCCAGAATCGGACTCCGCTGACGACGCAACCTTAATTGGTAAAGTGTCCATGCTCACTCGCTTTTGGGACATAGGATTTAATAATACCTCATCCGAATAAGGCGCTTCTGCTGTATAATTCATAGACCTGCTTTCGTTTTCTTGATTCTTTTCTGTGTCCTTAATAATAGAAACAGCATCGTTGCTAGAATCTGAAACTTTAACTAAAGACTTTGTTCTTCTGGGGCTTTTTCTTGGGATTACTGTTATGGTTTCAAGAATTGAAGTGTCTTCTGTTTCCGAACTTCCCACTTTATTACATTTCGTATTTTTACTTCTGCTTTCCAAGCTGTCCGATTTGGTCCTAAATGCGGGCACTTCGTCAGCAGACTTTATTGTATCTATTACCTCTGCAGGAGTGTTCATCTGCCTGCTCCTAGGTGTCCCTATGTGAGGTTTTGGACTGTTGCTCTTCATTTTTAATGCTCGAATGTTACTATTTCTAACTATTTCTTCATTCTTTCTTGATATTTTCCTAGCAGGAGGCTCTTCATCTTCCGAACTAGACTCATCAACTGGGGATTTCCGTCGTTTAGTGCTGGTGCCCAAACTACTTCTTTTGTTTTTAACGCTGTTTCCTTCGCCAGAGGTATTACGATTGTGATTCAACGATCTCCTTGCTGTTCCTGCTACCTGTTTTGGAATTTGGCCATTCATTATCATAGCTGCAACCTTGCACAGTCTTTTTTGGAAAGTTTCTGGTGATGAAAAGTCTTCTCCATTCTTCTGTGCACTGAAGGTACGCGGACTGCGTCTGCATCCGCTCTTGTTCTCTTGCATGGTACTGGGTGTGGTCCGCGGGGATGGAGAGCCTACGGAGGAGGACGTGGGCGAAGACATCGATGAGTCCGCTCGCTTTCTCTGTGTCTTGGGTGTACGTGGACTGCCATTACGGCTGTTGCTGCTGCTGTTGCTATTCAAACGCATGGTGGCGGTAAACAATTGAGGCAGTTGCTCTGCCGCGCCTCCCAAGACTCGTTTACCACGGATTTTCTTGTTTTCCTTATTGGTTTCCGGACTGCTGTTGGAGCTATTTTCCGATATCGCAGTACAACTGGCGAATAGACTCTTTGCCTGTTTGTTTACTGCCACATGGGCCTTCAATGGCAAGACACCAAGACTGTCAACGTCCTCATCCTCGTCGTCATTGATCTTTCTCAGTCTTGAGACCGGACTGCCAAACAGTTGCCGTTTCCGCTCCGAGAGGCGCGGGGTGGGCAAACGTTTGGCTCGCATAGAGCTCCCACTGTCCGTAGGCGTCTCCATGAGCGCAAGGAAATCTTTTATTTTGCATTAACTTTGTCCGAATTCGCGCTTTTTTGTAGATGCCTAGTGTAGTGAATGATCAACCTATTGACGGTATCCAACACTTATTAACGCAACCAGCTGTTAGAGGATCTCCAATCGGTCATACTGATATTGTCAATGTTAAAGAATATTAAAGAATCCATCTCCATTTGAAAAATTGTCTTCTGAATATCAACCGAAAATTTAAATTTCTATAATTTATATTATTTGGGTTAAGAAATTTAAAAAACACTTTTAAAAAGAAAAAAATCTTTTTAAAATTCAAATGAAGTTTACTTAATCGAGTTCGTTTTTATACATTTTACACGTTTCCAACTTTCAGTTAACATTTGGATCTATCAGAATTAATGTGACCCTGTGAATCTTCGTTTTTTATTGGTATTTGGAATGAAATTCCGTTAAGTCACACTTTTCTGCTTGTCTTACTGTCATACTGCTGTAGAGATCCAAAAATTGTGCCGAGAAGTCCGGAATGACATATCTGGGTTATAAAAAGTAACATATTGAGCTGTACCTTATTTTTTTAATTTGCAGCCCCGGGATATCAGGTAAGTCCAGCCCCTCATTATATGTACTGCATTTGAAAGCCACGCCAATGAAAGCAACGAGAACCGTGAGAAAATGTGAACTCTAGCCGCCGCCATCTTTTTTGTGTATGCGTTAGGGCAAACGCCAACGCTATTAAGAAAAAAAAAACGCAATTTGTAGAGGTTACTGGTAATCGCGCTACTTGTACTGCTGCCTGAATGTTTGCATTTGCTCGTAATAGTTGAAAAAACAATGCCCTGTTTCTTTTTTCCCTTGAGGTCTCGCGTTGTCCGCCGCCGTCGTCGCCCAATCGCGATATATTAAAGAACAATATTTCCGACGCAGCCGCCGCCGCCGCCGCGTAGATAGCCATTTTCCGGGATCCCCCCACCCAGAGTGCTAGAAACGATATAACCGTGGACGACCACGCTGCGGAACCCGCTGCCGCCATGCCCGGAGCCGGCACGTTCAAGTTGTTCATCGGGAATCTCGACGAGAAGACGCAGGCCACCGAGTTGCGGGCGCTCTTCGAGAAGTACGGTACCGTCGTCGAGTGCGACGTGGTGAAGAACTATGGCTTCGTTCACATGGAGACCGAGCAGCAAGGTCGCGATGCCATACAGAATCTGAACGGTTATACATTGAACGAGTTTGCCATTAAAGTGGAGGCGGCTAAAAGTCGTCGGGCGCCTAATACACCAACCACGAAAATCTTCGTGGGAAATCTAACGGACAAGACGCGGGCGCCGGAGGTGCGGGAATTGTTTCAGAAATACGGCACCGTCGTCGAATGCGACATTGTGCGCAACTATGGTTTCGTCCATCTGGACAGTGTCGGTGATGTGCAGGACGCCATCAAGGATCTGAACGGTCGCGTCGTCGATGGCCAGCCTCTAAAGGTTCAAGTGTCAACAAGTCGGGTCCGGCCCAAGCCGGGCATGGGCGATCCGGAGCAGTGCTATCGGTGCGGAAGATCCGGGCATTGGTCGAAAGAGTGTCCGCGACTGTACGGCAGTGCCGGAGGCGGACGCGAGCCGCCCTCACCGCTCAGCGCTGGCGGCTACAGAGATCGCATGTACGGTCGTGATCCGTATCCGCCGCCACCACCGCCGCCGCCGTTCCTGCGTGACCGCATCATGGATGGCTTTAGGGTAAATTCAGCAACCATTTGAACCCCGATGAAATCATCCATTGTCCATTTATCATGATCTTGTTCTGCAATTACTAATGTAATCACTGTTTTCCTACCCGCAGGACTATGACTACTATGACCGCCGCTTTGAAGACTCACGCGATCTATACGAGCGTCGTTACCAGACCTCACGGATGCGTGACTTCCCGCCGCCGCCAATTTCGCGCCGAGAACCCATGCCCCTGCCGCCCCCCTTGAGTGGCAGCCTGCGCTCCTGCAGTGTTTCCCGTGGATACGACACTATGTTCAGCCGTCGCTCGCCTCCTCCGCCGCGCAGCAGCAATGGAATGAGTCGCTACGGGTAAGTACCACAAAGAATTTCTATGACTAAAGATGTTACGATTACTATTGGGGGAATAACCAATTTTGCTTTTAGGCAAATTGATTATAAATTTCTCTGCCGATTTCAGCAAACATTTCTAATCGGTTGTTATCCATTGACTATCAGTTTCACCACTCATATTTGAAATTTAGTACCTAGAAAGTTCTTTGTCAGCTTGTTTTGATGATGAAACCATAGATGAAATATTTCATTTTAAATTAAAAATATAATATAGTCAAGTTTTAGCCTTTGTTGAAAAAGTTTCTCATTTTTCTCTTCTTTTTTTCAGCTCTCCCACTCCTCACGGCTACGAGGACTTTAGTCGCGATGCATTCGACGAGCGGATGATTTCATCGCGCGGAATGCGTGGTCCCTCACCTCCGGGTCGTCGATATGCGCCCTACTGAGATGAGTTTTACTATAACGGCAGCAGCTGAGTGGCGGTTGCACTACCGATGCCCCTGCCCATGTCCCTTCCTATGGCTCATAATCTATATCATACACCCAGCAACCAAAGGACGGCAGCTGGGGATTGCTGGCTGCTCTGCTGGTCGCCAGCGGCGTACACTCACCAACTACACCAACAGCATATGCTGATGCCGACGACATTTGCACAACTGTGGATGCCGCCTTGGTAAACCACGCATATTTTACTAAGCCTAAACTAAAACATAAATCATATACTTAAACAAGAAGATGGCAACACCTGTCGAAGCATCCTCTTTATATGCAAATGCCTAAAAGACTAGACAACGACGTGCTCCCCCACACATCCATATATATTCGATTGATCAGTAGATTTTCCGAGTACCAATAAAAGCATAAACAGTCGAAAATATGCAAAAATAAACGACGTTTTTTTAAAGCTAGTTTAAGGGGCAGTATTGCAACGATGTGTCTTAGAACTAACAGCATTCCATCAGCTACGTGTGAGTCGTGGATTGGTGCCTGCTGTAATTGCTGGAAATAGGCTCTTCGGGCGAGTTGTCGTCCACTTTACTACCGTTGTGCTTGTTTAGTTCTTGTAGTTCTACAGGTGTGGCTTCGAAAGTTGGCGGGATTAGTAAACGACTGGGGAAGATAATAGAATGCAATTAATTTTGAGGAACCTCTTGTATCAAATGTATCTTGACTCACTTGCTGCACTGCAGCCAAAACATTGACAGAAGCATCATAAACGAGGTTATGCCGAACGTCCAGACTGTGCCCAAACGGGTGTAGACAGAGCCGACGAAGACTGGACCAAGGACACGTGACAAACAACCCGAGCCGGTCATCCAGCCCATCCAAACGCCCTGTGGTCGAGGCCCCAGAACCTTTGAGAATATGGTCTGGATTAGAGTCACCCCAATGGGATATCCCACTGAGGTGAGGGCGAATCCAATGATAAATTGCGTCAAAGTCAAAGCTGGCAGCTCGCCACACCAAGTCTGCACTGGCGGGCAACCCAAAAAGAGTGGATCGCTTTCGCTCAGATTCAGACTGGCATTAAAGGGCTGTGCCAGTTTGGGAGGATCCGGACCCCAGGGCACGAAAAGCACTCGTCCGAGAAACATCAGTGAGAATCCACCCCAGATGAGTACATAACGTTCGGCAAAGAACTTGCACATCGGTTCAATCAATACAAACGTTCCCAGGGAGACAAAAGCTGCGACGGTCATCATGATGCCCATATACCAGAGTGCCTCGTCGTTGGACCAAGCGAACATATCCATAGTCAGGGATGTGCCCAATCTGGAAAGCGAGATAGAATGTTATTTGAGTTCCGGATTTTCTTATCACACATTGCAACTCACGTCTCCAGCAGTACAAAGTTGAATACCAAAACAAAGAAGGCAACGATCAAAGTCCAGGCGGACAGATAGTTCGGCTTGATGGCTTTCCACGTTTCTCTCTCCGATGTGCCACCCTGCAACACCATCACCTCTCGAGCTGCAATTTTGTGTTCCTAAACAGATTTTAGTTCAGATTTAACTAAACCAAAAATTTAATTGAACTTGATTTTCACCTCGAAAACACCGGGAAGAAACATCAAATAGTTTCCTGTGCTCATTAGAACATTGATCCATCCGGATGCCGTGTACATGTTAAAGTGCATATTGCCCCAGAGCCAAACGTATCCCTTGTCACCAAGCGGGGTGACTGCCGCCTGTAGAGTTGGACCAATAATGAAGCCTAGGACCTGAGCTAGTGACACCATTGAAACAGCGTGAGTCCGTTCGCAGACTCGCGTTGCACCAGACAAATACGATCTGCATAGAGCTATATTCGCCGAGCTCACTCCGATTAGGAAGCGCGAGGCAAGCATCCAATACTTCACATTATTCGGACGCAATTCCAGCGATGAGTATATTCCGCTGGCCATGGTAAACAGCGCCAGCGAAATGAGCAGGGGCAGACGAATCTTTCCCAGCTTGTTGCCCCACCAGCCAAAGATCGGGCTGAAGATCATTTGGCCCAAAGGATTGGCAGCGACAATGAGGCTCATGAACTCCTTGCCCGCACTGGGATCTAGCTGAAGAGAGATTGGCTTGAAAAACAATGAAATAGTATGCCTATGTCCAAGCCCACCTTGTTGAGGTAGGGCCAAATGCCCGTGAGAATGATGCTGAAGCCCAGCGCCATTAAGAACATAGTGAAGTAGATGATGCGGATGGATCGCCATCGCTGTTTATACTCCTCCAGAGTCTCCAGGCCATCGTTTACATCCTCTGGCAGTCTTTTGGTTTCAAAGCGAGCGGACACTCGTCGGACAAACTCCATGATCCGCCTGCTGATTTGTGTGTGTTTGGTGGGTGAGTTGGTTGTGATGGAAGTCTTTCTTGAATTCACCGCCACTGAGTCATTCTGTAACTGGATTTGAATGAGTTATTAGTCTTTTGTATACGTACATATATGTCAGTTGGGTGACTTTTTTCGAATAGTAATATCTTTAATATTCCTTGCTAAGGCCCAAAGCTTATATTTTTTCAAAAAACCTAAATATTTTATTGCGAATTTTGTGCTTGCAAAACTTTAAGTATTTGGTGGATTATCTGCCAGCTGTGATTATCCTCCGAAATACAGAAGATATGGGAAACAGTTGACCGAACTTATCAAAGTAATTTCGAAAGATAAAGGCAATCGGTGCCGAAATAAAGCTATCCGTTGCCATGTGCGGATGTGTGTTTCTTTAGTAAAAGTCACTATCACTGTGAGTACGCCTTTGTTTTTGTTTATATGTCATGATAAGGTTTATACAGAACCCGCCAGTTTATTACATTATTGTATTTATCAAAGAGAAAGAGAGAGGAAGAGAGACCCAGACTACCTTCTTGTTTGGCTAGAACAGGGCCCAAATAGCAACGTTATGAGGTAGGCTAATTTAAACTAAGCTATGCCAAATTCAACAAGTGTTTTGAACTGTTTTGATAATGCAACAAGTGCAGCGATTAGGCATATCGATCAGACTTATTCACTTCCTAGTTTCTCAATGGAAAGTACGCCTTCATAAATCAATTCCAGATTGAATATATTTCCAATTGATGCACTCAGTTCTGAAGAGGGGCCAGATTCTCGTTCTGGTTCTCCAATCACGCACGCACACAGACAGACATCTTTCGAATACTAGATATAAAATAGCGACCGTTGATCTCTGGTTGTTTTCTTGTTGATTTTGTTTGCTTGACAAGCTACTTTGTAATCGCACTCTTTTCTATGATTTCTAATTATTTCGGATTTTAAATAATTATTTAGCCCGCACACGACACTTTACTCTTTGTTTTTTAGTGGCTTCTTGATTGTTAGTCTCTTTGTCACTCTCTCTATTTTTGTAATATTTAACCGTACACATCACCAAAGGCGCATATTCTCTGGCTCCTCCGCTCCCAATGGCAAGATACATATATATTTTTCTTCGCAGTAAAAACAAAAAGTAACCCCCTACCGCGCGTCCTCTCTTTATAATCCCTTTGTGGGGCTTCGAGCGTGTAAGTAAATGCACCTTCTACCAATTGGGTTCAGTTCACCCAACTACCTGTTGAACAGCGACAACCACTGCAGATGAACAAAACTTTTGTTTACTGATGTGCTCCCTAGACTGCCTAGACCTTTTCCGGCCAAGTTGGAAGCCCGACTGACGCGTTTTCGTTTAAAAAGGTTTTTTTGAAACCGACCAGTTAATTTTATAGATACATTTACATTTGTTCTCTCTTTATGCTTTCCCACTCTCGCTCTTTGCCTTTTGGTAGCGTTAGTGAGCGCGTCAGTTGCGATCAAAATGTTATGGATGCACTTATTTATAAGAGAAATATTAAGTTTGCGAGAGAAGCGGTAGTGGAATGGCCATGAAAACGAAGAAAAAGACGATCTGCGAGAGAGGAACTGACTAAAAACGAACTGTTGTTGCCAACAAATGGAATGACCGTCGAGGTCAAGTAAAGAGAACCACGTAATTTATGTTGTCCCCTCCTGAAAGTATGCACTTAATTTTTGATAAAATTTCACGATTTAGATTGTTAACGGTATTATGTAAATCATATCGTACTCAAAATTAACTACTAATACTAATATATAACTATGCACAATGTTACGTCTGTGCACAATGTGTTACGTCTTAAAAATACACAACAAAATATGATAGAAAAAGTTAGGAATATTGAATTGTATTACGGTTTAGTTCTTCGAGTTCCTCTACAGATTCCCCCTGGCTTGCTGCAAGCGCATCAGTCGTCGCTGTCGTAACCAGGGCAGGAATAAACCCCCTCGTTGCAAAGGAAATGGGTCTCTGGCTGTAAGATCCATTGGAGCAGCAAGGGTCACAGCTTCCGGTACGATCTCATTTCGCCGGACATCGCGGAAGGTGGCTTTTGGCCTTCGGGGTACACGCTCCTCAACCTCGTGATCATGTAGCTTCTTCTGTGGCAAGACTTCGTTTCTAATATTCAGGCTAAAAACATCGCCAGTTCTGGGATCGGAAGACAGGTGGCTTACTGTATCCTGAAGTACCCTTGGAATTCGCTCAACGACCTGTAGGGCGTCGCGAAGTGGACGAATCTCTCGTTCGGGTTCCTTGCGCAATTGCTCCTCGGGTGCTTTATTTTTAGATATCTTACGAGATAAGAGACTCTTCCTGTTCTTACGAGATATTTGGTCCTTTTTAAGAGGAGCGGGTCGAATAAGAGAAGCAGCCTGCTCTAGAAACCACGGCTCTCTGCGAGCTGGTTCTTCCAAAGCAGCCTGCCGCTTGAAAGCAGACGGCTTGGACTTTTGCTGTTGTTTTTGGGCTCTGGAGCCTAAAGGCGAGGGACGCACCAAGGACCCGGCGAAGTCATTGAACCACTCCAGGTGCTCAACAGATCTCTTCTGCCGGATCATCCCCTGCTCCGATGCCTTGGAAGCGGTATCCAAAGCATTGGCTGTGGATGGATTGGCAGATTTCGTGGATGGCTTGTAGATTGTTATGTTGGATCGACGATTTCGTGGTGTTTGACCCGAAGCGACACTCCTAGTCACCAACTCCCGCTTTTGTTCGAACTGCTGGGCGTTACGCACAAATCTATTGCTACTCGGTCCTTGGATAACTATCTCGAAGGGCGGGTTCAGAGTCTTGGCATTCATCTGCATCGTGCGGATACACTCTGTATCCGAGTTGTCATCATTACACTCGCAAAGGCACTCCTCCCCGCAGTAGAAACCCAAACAGCCGCAGTGCTCGCAAAGAGCCTTGCAGTTCTTCTCGTACTTAGACTCCATGAGGGGATTCACCCTGCGGCTAGCTTTCAAGGTGGTGGCCACTGTCGATGGAGATTTAGTTGTCGTAGAGGGTACAACATTCGCTTGAATCTGAATAACTGCCAGTAAAAGTATCACTATATAGCCGCATAGGCTGGTCTTCCGTATCTTTCCCTTCATCATTGTGGGTGCTCCAAGTTAAACTGTATGGCCAAATGCGATGCACACCCGATTTTATAACGCTGACCAGGTGAAATCGTAGATGTTCGTGACTGACAGTTAATTCTAGATTTCAGTTCCCCGGAATTTATGCTGACTTCGTGTGATCTTGAGACATTTCCCAACTGGGTTCTCCAAATGACTTCTATGTGCTGATTTTTTTTGGCACACTTCGTGCCAAGGTCGAATTCCCATACTTGAACTTGGCCCAGAACACACAAATCTTTGTTTACAGCATTTATTATCAAAGAAACCAAATAACGAGAAGCAACTGGAATTATCAGCGGCGCTTGCCTTTTCCCTTCTTGCCACCGCCACCGCCGGATCCGGACGCACTCTGTTGCGGCTGCGACTGCTGGTGGTACGAGTCACCGGATTTGTTCTGTCGCGTTTTCAGTTGCGGGATCTTACTGGCGATGTGCAGCATTATGGACTCCCTTGAGGGGAAGTCATTGTTAAATAAGGTGCCGTCGGCGTTTCGTAGCTGTACGCGCACACGGCCACGGAACTGGAGTTCGCTGCTCTTCTCGCGACAGTACTTCATGTTCTCCATCAGGAACTGCAGGTTAGACACTGACAGCACATCCCGGATCTCTATGTATGTAGGATTGTCCACGCAGTTCTCCTTGGGAAGGCGGCGGCCTTCCTGACGAGTCCTTTTGCTGTTTATGTAGGCAGGGTATATGCAGATCCACCTGTGATAACAAAAATAAAAAAACATGTAAAGGCGGACTTTGTTTTGCTGGTTTGTGTCTGGAATCTACCGCTCCATTTCGTTGTGCTTTATGTTCGGGTTCCAGTTGGTTCGCATGGGTACTGCTGCTGCCATTTTTGTTGGTGATCTATTAGAGTTAAATTTAAAAAATATTAAATTTATAAAATATTAAGCTAGAAAGCTGTTTTCCACGCAGGCAAAATAGGGATGACAAATGGAGTGGATCGGGTAATCGATATAGTAATAGCCCGCAGTAGCGTATTTTTTGGCTTTATTTTAAATTTATAGCTATTAAATCTACTATCAGTACAGACTTATTTAAGACATAAAACTTTAAAGTTTAGGTAATATACACATTTCAAAGAAAGTGAGTTGTGGCCATATTTTTTTCATTTGTCTATTTCACGCTATAAATAATTGGCTATATTTTTCTTCCCTGTTAGAATCAATGTTTCCGCCAAAAGCACCCTCAAGTATATCGATATTATCATCGAGTTGTGTGCACCTCTAATATGTAGGCCGCGGAAGAACTTCAATAACAGTCTGTTTTTGGACTTTCCGTTGTGTATTTGTCTCGGCTCGTGCAGTTTACGCGAAAATCAAATTGAACCGTCGTCGAGCGGCATTCAAACAATTCTAGTCACGCGTGTCGCGAAGTCAAGCGGTAAACAAAAAGCACGCCCCACACCGCAGTTTGCCCACCCCCCGCAATCAACACAACAAAAGCACACACGCAAGGCCACGGCGAAAAAAAAAACAACAATAACAACAAAAACAGCAACAATGGAAGAACTGAACAACATATTGCAAAAGACCAAAGATAAATCAACGCAAAAGGAGCAGGATGAGGTACTTATCCCACGGCTTAATCCTTCCGGACCCCTGAACTTTGACATTTGAAAGTGGCATGCCCTGAAAGACGACACTAACTAACCAGCCTTCTCCACCTCTTTTTGAACCCACTTCTTTTGGGGTTTATTTACATGTGGCCCACGCACCAAAAAACGACGACGACTGATGGTGTTGGTTAAACGTTATCCAGATTCTGCTGCAGCCCTTCACATACATACAACAGATTCCTGGCAAACAATTCCGCTCCGAGTTGGCCTTGGCCTTCAATCACTGGTTGCTCATACCGGGCGAAAAGTTGGCGCAGATCGGGGACATTGTACAGATGCTGCACAATTCCAGTTTGCTGTGAGTATATCATTTATACATATATAGTATACAGCTGTGGTCAGATTAATAGCCCTAGGATGCATGCTGATATATCATCATTACTTTTCCGACACTATCGTTGGTTGCTCCTTTTTATTTTTTAAAGTAAAGCAAAATAATTCTGTAAAATAAACAAATTATTTCAATATGCAGTGCAACTCCAATCCAAAAATGTTTTAGGAGTGTATTTCTAACATTTCTGACTAATACATTAATATACAAAACACATATTTTTCTGCGAAAACTCATCTTGGCAGAACTATTAAACTACATTTGCCATTTAGAAACCATACAAAATCTTAACGCTAATTTTATGACCATACTTAAATACCTGTCGATAGTGCACGTCAACTAATCATGTGTATCGTGTTTTAATTTTAAGTATTGACCTTTGCCTTCTTGCTTTTTCTCTGCTCTGAATTTTGTTTGGCTTTGTTTACTCTTTGTTTGTGCCCCGAAAAAAAAAAAAAAACACCCAACCCTTTGTCCCCTCACCCTCTTATTACCACTTCTCCTGCATGTTTTATCTCAATTCACACTTGCACAGCCTGTATTTGTATACATTTAGTTTATTTTCTTTTGTAAAGATGGATTCTAGTTAAATGACTAATCGAGTGTGAAGTTCTTTGAGGAAGTGATGAAATAAAGAGCTTTCCCGAGCCGAAAATATAGAAATGCTTGCCATATGCTCGCTCGTGAAGTTCTTATCATCATCAGCAGTTCATTTCCATATCTCGCATATGTTGTGTATAAAAAAACTTTGGATTATCATTTGGAATGGTGACTCAGTTCTCTATCCCCAATTAGATTTGGCCATATTGAGTAATATTCTTGGCCATTTTGTGGGCTATTCAGCAAGAGCGTTGTGTGCGCTGGCCTCAAATCAATATCTAAATTTCATCATGAGCCCGCAGGTTTTTCTGTTTACAATTGAATTTCTTTGCATTCCATTGTCGGATCCGAAATTGCATAAATTATTTAGATTTTTCTTCAAGCGCCCAGGGGCGAAAAATGTGAGAAAAAAGATGAAAGAGCTGGGTTGCCAACGAAACGCCACAATTAAACTTTGAACTCAGCCAATTGAAAGTTCTGTCGCTTTTCAATTAAAGACAGTAAACTTTGTCCCAGTGGCCAGACAGTTTGATTTTCGACTATCTTCAAAGAGCAGTCAAGGAAGTATTCATGTCGTTTTCGGGCTAATCCCGTCGTGCCCGCCCGGCCACCTGTCGCCTTCAATTCGAAGGCAAACACTCAGAAATGGCCTTAATTCTGCTTAAAATCCCCAGCATTGTTCCTTTGGCAACTCATTCTCATTCCCCCAAGTGGCCTGTATATGTTCTTGGTGTTTTTTTTTTTTTATTTTTTATCATTCTTCCTTTTTAGTAATGCATTTTCATATTGGCAAAAACTTAGTTTTACAACGATGCCAGCAGTTACAGCAGTCAGTGCCCAAGAACCCGGGAGCCCCATACCCTCTCGTCCGTCCGTCATTCATGCACTTATGCCCATTGTCAGTTAGTCAGCCCGTCGCCAGTCGACAGGCATTGTCACAACTCTTGCCACGCAGCACGCCCACTATTTCCCCGTTTTTCCCATCACTCTCCAAACAGCATCATCCTTGTTACCCCCTCCTCCATCCCTTCCATATCCCGGCCCCTTTGTGCGTTGTCGCTTCAACGCCTACGTACCATACCATACCATCCATATTCCCTACCAATGGCTTTGCCAGCTTTGGCGGAGCGCAAACATTTTTTAATTACGCAAATGTTGGGCTGCCCAGCTCGTTTTACCCGCCGGGCACCGTAGTTATTGAAGCGATGGCGGCCTTAAAGTGAGGCTTAAATCTACCCATCTATTATGGGGGCCATCGTATGTTTATAAATATGTACATATGTTTAGCCTGTGAAGAGACGGGGAGCGCACCTATTTGGGGAATCTGTGGTGGACACGAGACGTGGTCCTCCTCACTTTATATACCCTCATATTGTAAAATTCTATTTAAAAACCATATTTTGTTTATATTGTAACATTTGTATTTAATGGATACACAAAAACATCTGCTGATTAGTGAAATATCGTATTTCGAAATGAAACCGAATTTTCACCATATAAGCGAAATGCAAAATATTTCAGTTGAATGGAATTCCACATCCAAGCATTTCATTTTAAACTTGTTGGCACCTTCCTGGATATTAATGCTATATTTAATTCAAATATCATAAAATATATTTTATAGACAAGAAAATATTATAGAAAAATACCATATAACAACTTATAACAATACATATTGGGCACCCCTTGAATGTTATTAAAACCCTAAAAGATTATCAAAAAAAAAAAGAGTTAATTTTAAGTTGGAATAAACATAACTGTATTGTATCACGATTAATCAACTCACGGCCTATACATATGTGTTCTTGATACTAACTTACAGCATTGATGATATTGAAGACAATTCGATCCTTCGCAGAGGTGTGCCTGTGGCGCATTCCATTTACGGCGTTGCCAGCACAATAAATGCCGCAAACTATGCACTGTTCCTGGCTCTGGAAAAGGTGCAGCAGCTGGAACATCCGGAGGTATGAAGGAAACCCGAGATCGTCCCTTCTGGTGGTCATGCCAAGTTAATCGCAATTCTTTTAGGCCACCAAGGTGTACACAGAACAGTTGCTGGAGCTGCACCGTGGACAGGGAATGGAGATCTATTGGCGTGACAGCTTCACATGTCCCTCCGAGTCCGATTACAAACTGATGACTGTGCGCAAGACTGGCGGTCTATTCATGCTGGCCATCCGCCTGATGCAGCTGTTTAGCTCCAACAAGGAGGACTACTCCAAGCTGACGGCTATTTTAGGCCTGTACTTCCAGATACGCGATGATTACTGCAATCTGAGTCTGAAGGAGGTGAGTGGATTACATGTCAATAATAAAAAATCACTTAATCATTAATGACATTTCCTTGCAGTACACGGAGAACAAGAGCTTTGCCGAGGATTTAACGGAGGGCAAGTTTGGATTCCCGGTAATCCATGCAGTTCGCTCTCAGAAGCAGGATAAACAGGTTTTACGTAAGTCCAACGTCTTGACCTCACCCAAAGGCTTTTTCAGTCATCAAGTTGGGGCTTATGTTTATATCCACAGACATATTACGCCAGCGCACGCACGACATTGAGGTCAAGAAGTACTGCATCACCTTGCTGGAAAAGCTGGGCAGCTTTCAGTATACACGCAAGGTTCTGGAGTCGCTCGATGCGGAGGCGAGGGCGGAGGTTAGTACTTAATGGAAAGGAAGGGAAATAGTAGTTTTTTAAGTAATTTTAGGTGTTTGATTGAGTTGACGATAAAAGGAGTATTAGCATTCATCTTTATCAGTTCTAAGACAACATATGTATATCCCAGTTAATAATCTATCATCCCACACAGGTAACGCGTCTGGGTAGCAATCCCTACATGGAACGCCTCCTCAACAAGCTGCTTTCATGGAAGACGAGCGATAGCGCCAGCATCACGCAGTCGAACCAGATAAATCACAACAACGTCTCACGCAGCAGCCCCAACCAGAACACGCTCAATTGCAATTAGCAGCCAAAGAGGCAAAAGAGGGAGCAGTCGTGAATTACGAACGGCAGAGCCTCTTTTGCCGCCAATCTGAGACAGCAGCAGGCCAATAGCCAACCGACACCCGCCTGCCTCAGTGCGCCCCTGTTGCGTTTCCTGCAAAAGCTGAAGATATTCTGAGATTTATGTTCCCCTTTGCCACCCGGAAAACCCACAGAGAATCCTTTACTTTTTAACCAAAACTAGAGCGATGAGAACGGAAATGGAATGAAATGGAGCGGAAAAGAAAGGGAAATAGAATGGGGATGGAAAACAAAACCAACAGCAGCCTTACAGAAAATTGTTAAGCCAAAAGTAAATTGATATAAGCCAAGCTTATCAGAGAGCTAGCAAAGAGCCATAGCACAGCTTTCCATGAATTTGTTTAATTTATATATAGTTTCGCTTTAAAGTTACTTAGGTAGTTACGGGGCCACGACTCTATTAGTTTTCTTTCGTTTTTGCCCAACGTAATGGGGTCAAGCAAATCTCGCAGAGCATTAACTTAATTATAGGATATGCAATTTTTTAGCTCTTGTATTTCTAAGTGTGTTTCGTATTCGTAATTTGATTCTGCAAGCAATTTTCGATTTCTAAGTGTCATTTTTCAAATCTAACTCACTCGGAACTCAATGTGCACTTCCTTTATCGACGTTGTTCCATTTTAATTGTTATACAAAGGCAATTCGTATACATATGTACTATTAACGACAAATTGTTAACGTTTTATGCAACAACTACAAAATCAACACAAAGGAAAAACAAACTATATATATATATTAAAATAATGATAATGATGCACTGCACAGCAGATTTTTGCACATTGCACCACCTAAAAAATATATACATATATTATATATAAATATATATTTTTATTGTAGTTATACACTCGAAAAAAAACCAAGAGAAACGGCAAGGGAAACCATATAAAAAGAACAAGAGGATTAACCAGATTGCTGAAAAGAAAATGAAAACAAATTGTAAACTATGCGAACATTTTATGGTAGGAACGACAACTAATAGCCGAGAATTTACAGTGCACGCCCAGATGCAGCTAAACGCAAGCGCACCTAACATTTTGCCCATATACCACTAATGAAAACATTGAAATATATGTATATGTATTTAAATAAATATTTATGCCAAGTTGTCAACTAAAACTTAAGTGTTTAAAATCATTTATAATCTTCGAGGGCCATTTACAGATTTTCAATTACAATCTATTGGCAATAAGTCGTTTAAAATCAAATCTAATGAGTTTTACCAAAAAACACATCGAAATTTGTATGCAAAATTAATTGATTAATAAAAACAAAGTTCAGAAATCATTAGGATCTTCTACATAGGCAACCCCATTTTAACTTTTTAAGTATTTGTATTTAAATAGAAAACAATATAACGTCAAATTACGTTATCGTAATCTTGGTATGTACATAAGTTAGCCTTAATTACTTATTTCAAGTGTTTGTTTTTCAGGAGACTAAGAATCCTGCTCAATCATATCCATTAGCTGCAGAAACTCCTGTGAGGCGCCATCAACTTCGTTTTCTGCATCTCCGACGAACTCATCATAATCATCATCCTCCTAAATGGTAAAAGATTATAGGTAATGGAATATACGCCTAGCATAGATTATAGACCTACCTCAAAACCAAAACAGTTGCTGGCATTAATCTTAGATGTCGCACTTGGCTCGCGCTTTACTACTACTTCCTCGTCGCCGTTAACTAGCTCCACCACCATTACCTCGCCATCATCACCTTGAAGTTCCACTGTAAAATCCATGTTGTCCGGTTCCTCTTTGATATGGAACGTTTTGGTGCCGCTGCGAGATCGTAAGCGTCGATTGATAATCGTAGGCTGATTCTCGGTGCCCGATCGCCTAGCCTGCTTGTTGATAATAACGGGAGCTGGTTTATTTTTTTGCCGGATCGAAGTAGTGGGCAAAATTTCCTCTACTCCTGTATCTTCATTCTCCGAGTTTTCTGGCTCTATTTCCGCCAGGTCATAGATCTCCGGATTGTCCTCTTCTCTGTTTTCACCCTCGTCTATATCTATGTATTGATTCCTAGCCACCGTAACGATGGAGCCATCCTTTTGGAGGCGCACATTTCTACCCATTTTAAGACGGAGCTGCTTTTCGCGAGCGTTCACCGAATCGTCATGTATTTCCATGTGTCGGATAAGATTACCCTTGTGAGTAAACTCCCGCGAACAGGATGGGCACTTGTGCAATTTGGCGCGAGGTTCCGGTGGCATATACTGCTCGTTATGTATGAGATTCATATGGCGGCGCAGCAGCTGGCGCTGTCGGAAACTCTGCGGACAGTGATCGCACCGGAACGGCTTCTCGTCTAAATGGATAAGCATATGCGACGACAGGTGACGATGGGTCACCGATGCGTAGCTGCAGAGCTTGCAGCGGTAGCACTTCTCGCCCTCATGGGACTTTACGTGCAGCTTATACTGGTAGCGATCGGGAAGCTGCTGACCACAACGGCGACATGATATCGGTATATCGGCGGTGTGCATATGTTTAATATGGATGCGCAGATCAGCTTTTCGACCGCAAGTTGTCGGACAGAGGGTGCATTGAAAGACGGGCTTGTCAACGACGCTGTGGATGAGCTTGTGGGCTTTTAGGGAATTCGACTGTGTGAATCGCGACTTACAGATGTCGCATTGGTATTTCTTTTCGCCTGTGTGGATAACCATATGCCGCTTCAGTTTGAACATATCCTGCGAGGCGTATGTACAATGCGGACACTGATACGGTCTCTCGCCCGTATGGCAAGTCATGTGGCGACGAAGCTTGGTCAACTCAACGCTGGCGTAGCTGCACTCCGTGCACTTGTGCGGTTTTTCCTTTGTATGCTTGTATCGGGTGTGCCGGATAAGTTCGCCGCTGGTGGTGAAGGCGCTTTCGCAGGACTTGCATTTGTGCGGCTTTTTACCCATGTGCGTATTCACATGATTCTGAAGTCCAACGTTAGATCGAAACGATCTCTCGCAGATGGAGCACTTGAAGGCGGGTTCGGTGTCATGAGTACGGCAGTGACGCGTGATCAAAAACTTCTTGGATGCCGTGTACGGGCAGTGGGGGCATAAGTACTTTTGTGCCGAGGCATTTGCATTCTGGCTGGCAGAAGCTGGCTTCAGCTTTACCTCTTTGCTGCTTAGCACAAAGTCAAGATCCTTCTTGTCAACTACCTCCTCATCTGCCGTCTTTTCTTCTGCGTTGTCATCGAACTCATACACCTCATTATCGTTCGATCCTAGAACTGCTGCTTCTACGGCAACACTGTCGATTTCACAGTCAACCATTTCGTTGACCACTGAACTGATATCAGGATCATCCACAAGCTCTTCGATCTCTCGCTCCAGGTCCAAGGGTTCGGGTTTCGGTAAAATGGGGTTTTTCCTAGGCCTGCCTCTAGTGTTTGGTAGTTTGTTAACTGGTGCCGGTGGAGGCGGCATCACAGGCGACTTTTGTTTGGCTGCAGCTGCTCGAGCAGGGCGTACGCTTATTGACTTGGTTTCTGGCGGTGGCTTTGATGTGGCTGCTTTTGGTGGTGATTTGGCTGGACGCAGATTGATTGCTATGAAAAAAATGTACTTTAGTAATGAGATGCTCTAACAGAGTTGGTAAAGAATATCTACATTTATTGGAGGCCTTGCCGACCACCGATCGTGTGACTTTTCCGGGCTTGACAGCTGCCTGTTTAAGTTTCTTCTGCAACTCCTTTTGTTTCTTGGGCGTCGTCTTGATATAGCAGTTTCCCTCGTCATCTATGAAGTACTTGTCGTCGTCCTCCTCCTCTTCTTCCGCCTCCTCTGCGTCATTTTCTGCGTGCTGCTCCTCTTCAGCTGCAGCTTCCTCATCGTCATTCTCTTCCAAGTCACCGTCCTCTGCCCGAATGGCCTTCAAAATTGTGTGGACCACCTTGTCATCGCTTTTGTCCTCGATTTCCTTGTGGAAATTATTGAGGAAAGACTGCAGATCCTCGGAATGTTCATCCTTTTTTGTCCTTTTCGACATTCCTGTGCACAAATAAGATTTTTTGTAGTGGCGACCCACAGCGGATGCCCGAGAGCCCCAAGAGGGCGCCTATCGATTTCTCTCAACGACCAATTGAAGCCCCCTTTAGCTAATTACCTACCGGCGCTTAATTATTAACGAACAAATAGTTTCAAAAGTGCTAATTGTTGTCGCTGTTGTTAAATTTGAGTTTTTATTCTCGTGCAAATGAAACAGCTGCCCATTTCTAATAAAAGATGGCGACATATAGCATCATTACCGCCAGATATCGATAGTTCGATGCGACTAGTATTTGCCATCTCTATTTAAATAATTACAACGTTTATGCGCCCTTCAAATTGTCAGTAATCTTGATTCCGTTACCATTTTTTGTTTTCCAGTTTATTTAAATATTTATTGTTAAAATTAAATTTACGCAAGTTTTCTTGAACACGGGGAAAGCATTTGGAACTTAATATGCCACCTTTAAAACATATTTAATCCAAATAGTTTCATAAAATGAAAATTAAAATACATTTTGATTTTGCCACAAATAGTTAATTATTTGGTAAATTGTTGTTTGCCAATAGTCAGTAAAAAATATTAATATTTTTTTTATTTAATCATTTAATGTCAGTTTGTGCTCATGGTTAATAAAGACATTGCTTTCAATCGTCAATATACGCTCAGATTTGATTTCATTTAAAAGTATGTATATATATAAAAAATGGTTTAAAAAGTTTTAACCATTAACACAGCTATAGAATGTTTGTGCATATCAATTAGTAAACTAACGTTTGTGTTTTAACAACAAGGCACCAATTACCGAATTCTAATGGCTTTTACATCCCGATTTAACATGTGGGATTACAAGGGACAAATGCTGAAATAGCCAACACATGTGGAGCATTTCTGGACGAGGCCGGTGTATGAGTTTGGGTTGAGAGACAGGAAATAAGTTCTGACCGCTTGCAGGATATCTCCGGTGTGATCCATCACATATTGATAAGTCCTGTTTCTGTAGTTCTCCAACACCTGCTTTAAAATGCGGAAGAGTACAGCCTCTGTCGATATGAAGAACCTAAGCCGCGAGGTTAGATCTTCTAGCATGGTGTCCATAAAGGTTTTGGTCAGCCTCAATATAAAGTCAAAGACGTCCGCTTCAAGATTTTCGGCCATGCCACTGATCAAAGTCTCAAAGCTTTCTGCATTGATCACGTGCTCGAAGATGATTTGGCCGTAATTCTCTAAAACAAACAAGACGCCGTCAACCATTACGGAGCTCAGCTCCAAGACGAAAACGCCGGCGGCATAAGTACTAGGTTCCTGACGCGGCTGCGATGTGGGCAGCGGTCCAATTAATCGGGAAGCTCGACTTACGCCATTCAGTTGCAGGCTGCCCGATTCCGAGTGGCTAGCGGGAATGGGCTGACTAACTTGGCCTAGGATATTCTGTCCCTGGCTGTGCTGCACACTGGCGCGCAAATCCGCCGCCGTCGTCTGCACTTCGCCATTTAGCAAAATTCCTTGACCATCGGATGCAAATGAGTATCTCACGCCCTCTTGATTCAAGTTTTTATTGATCTTGTAAAGATCATTGAACTGCTGGCGCGATGGCATCTCGTTTACGTTACGTATGATGTCTAGCTTGCCGCGGGTATTGCCCTGCATCCTAACGGTCTCCTTAGCGGCTTTGTCAAAGGCACGTCTGCGAGAAAAAGAAAAGAAAAAGTTTTTATTAAGAACTAGAAGTTTCACAAATAGAAAGGTTTAGTGCACCCATATTTCTTGTCGGAAAAAGGAATAACGATGTTCGACTGCCTTACAAAGAAGTCAATTCTTACATATAATTCAGTGTTATCTAATCTTATCTTGATGGTAATTTATAAAAAACTACCACATTGATTTTCATTTACCTCTGGTTTCTACTTAGTGTTTCACGATAACCAGAAATGTTGCTGTTGGCCGTCTCATTGATGATAGTCGAAGCCAATTTAAAATTGTAGACGCTGTGCGTGAGCAGTACCAGCGAAGCGGACAGCTGTAGGACATCCATGCCAGTAACGTCGTCTCCATCCTGGACTTTCTGTTTTGGATCACAAATTACTAGAGATGCTTGCTGCTATTAAGGACATCTTTGCATAACTTACCAATATTAGGTCTAGCACACCGTTGGCAACTCCAGTGCCCGAAACTACGATCGAGGATATGTTCATGCCATTTACAGTCATTTGTGTGATCTAGAAAACAAATTAGACAAATATATCAATCAATTTTTTTAATTAAAATATATTTCTGGGGACTTACCGCTCCCACCTCGCGCCCGGCATTCGTGGCTGTTGTCAAGGCTGTGGTGGCCCCAGCCGCACCCAATCCTACAGCACCGGCAACTACGCCCAGCCAGTGTCCCCGTGCTTCGCGGTTCGTCACATTAATGGACTGTTCGTGCTGGCTACGATCCACCAACTTTATTCCCGACCGGGTTGTCGCGTATCCTGCACTAGCCAAACCCACGGCTCCCGCCACGGCCATCACCGGACCGGACACGGGAAGTGTCAGTAACGCAGCTATGGGCACACAAGCGGCAGCAAAGCCTCCGATAGCCGATCCAGTATCCATATAACCCAGCACCTTCTTCTTAGTACTACCAGCTGGCGTCACGTACTTGTCCAAACGAACACCACCTCTACCCAGACGATAGATTCCTCTCTCGGGAGCCACCATGACTCCGGCGGGCAGCTCGTTGGTGGCCACATATTGGTCCCAATTCTGGTATACTCGACCAATCTCATCCACGAATAAATTGCAACAGTCAGAACTATCGCTACTGCTGCCACTACTGCTAGCTGAAAGAAAACGATTTTTTATTTTCTAGTTGATAGTTCATAAGATCGATTAAATTTGATAAGGTTTAAATTATAGTTTGTAAATATAGTTGTGTATTTAGATAAGAGCTTTCATTGGCCAGTCAAATCTACAGCTTTTAAGTAAATATATACCCATCAGAACTTTGAATCTACAAATCGCTTATTTAAATTGCTTTGGTCTATATACAAATGAAAAAATTGTATAAGCCAGATAACATGCCGGAATTAAGGAGTCGAAAATTGTATTATTACTCACTAACGCATCGGCGGGCCCGGAAAACTGCATGACAGCTGTAAGCCCTGGAATCCTCCACGCGGTTGACGTCATTTTCGTCAGTTACTACCAATATGTATATTATTGCAGTTAGCGATTGACGGTTGGTATACTTTCCTGGAGACGGACAAGGATTAATGCAAAAAAAAAAAATTGATTATATAAAAGAAAACTACATACGCTGCTCCCAAACGGCATCAAAAATGATTTCCCGGGCCTTTTTATTATCTGCGATAGTCTTATTTCTGATTTTTTCTTCTTTCTCAATATCAGCAGCTGACCGATCAACACCTGATTGTGGAGGTTGTGGAGGATCACGAATCAGTTCCTTTAGTTTTTTATGCAGTATCTCTGCTTGTTCTTGGGACAATCTGATTGTTATTAGAAAATTGTACATTATGGACTGAAAAATCAATTGCGCAGTACTTACAAATCCCAGATAATCTCTTCGGCATAGCCAAGCGATTCTGCAAAGTCCTGCTGCACCTCGCGGGCTGTGCGATTGGAACCACGAATTTCTCTAGCCTCCGCCATTATAGATCCTTTGAATATAACCGTTTTGTCGCCGCAGTCACACTGCTAATGAGGAGCATTTACGGGAAATCACAAACTTTTATGCGCTCTCTACTAACTCATAGCACGATCGCGCTTAAAATACCAAATTTTAAAAATACAAACAGACGACATTTTTAACAAGCCATTAAACGGTCTTACTTTCTTCCGGTTAATACTGATTCGTCACTTTCCAGCTTTTCGTACACTTTCCTCGTAAGTAAACTTACTTCTGGCTAAATTCAAAAGTGTAATCATTAATTTCGTAGATGAAATTACTGCTGCGTTCATGTGGTTCCCATAATATAACTATAATTTAATAACTGTTTTTTTATTTTATTTAAAACTGTTTAATATCGTTATTTTATTTCTTAATCTGCATAATTACACAACTTGGCAATCCTATCGAATGAGAGTTGCCACCTGCCTGTCGATAATTGTATCTGTATCGAACTAGATACACTTTCAGCTCCGCCAATCGGTTCCAGCACGAGCACAAACAACCCTACGTGTCAGTCTCATGCGTCGGTGTAAATACAGAGTTTTTTAAAATTTGCGGCGTGCAAATCTCGCAAAATTTCGCAGCAGCAACAGCTCCTGCCCCCTTTTGACCAACCGCCGGTCCAAGCAGTTCGCCGCCCGTTGACCAAAAACCTACGGGGAGCAGCGATTCAAACGATAACTCCAACGCGACAGCAACATCAGCTGGAGCTGCCGGAAGGGAAAGCGGAAAGGAAAGGAAAGGCTAGAGCCAGACAAAATACTAAATATATATAGTCGCTTTCGGAGATGGCGGGTCAAAAGTTCCAGTACGATGAGAGCGGCGGAACGTTCTACTACTTTGTGTTATCGTTCTTGGCATTAATATTGATACCGACCACCATTTACTATTGGCCACGTAAAAAGAAAGAAGGTTAGTGCCGATGCCCAGCCGATTTTAATCGCACTCTCTCCACTCTTCTTTTTTTTTTTTTTTTTTTATTTTTGTTCCACCTGCAGCTGTGCGCGGGTGTGTGTTCTAATAAGACTTAGACATACGTGTGATTACGCCTCTCTTTCGCACTCTCTCACTCTGCCTGCAAGTGGACACGTTCCAATAAGTTATTCTAACAACGTCAGCTTACTGTCTGCGTATGGGTGAAAGCTGCGATTACCGCAAGTCGGGCTCTCTTCATTTTCCAATTGGGACAGCGCACTCCACACTCCACGCGCGTTCATGCGTTGCGCAAAACGCGATTATGCGACCGAGATCGGTGTAGTAATCCAAAGGGAGTTACCTTTGGCCTATCGCGATCTTTAAGTGCTTATGTGTGGGTCAAGCGTGTGAACTTTGCACACACACTGGTCATACGTCTCCTCTCCCAAGATTTTCATTTCTGTAATGCTGGCATTTTCGGTAAAAAAAAATTACTATATGACAAAAGTTTCAATATAATTGCTCAATCTCACTAAATATTAATGGAATTGCTTATATAATATAGTCTTTTTGAAAAAAATTACAAGGTTTATTAAGTTCAGATTTGAGTTATATTTTATCTCAGAGTTATTTATATCTCAAATAAAACAGAAACATTTTAAATCAATTGTTCTATATTAACTTACAGACCACGGCAAGCTTAAGGAGGAATGCCAGTGCCCTGACTGTCTCAAAAAGAAGAATATTTTGGCCAATGCCGAGCCTTACAGGGCTTTGACATCATGGACCATCAAGCTAACCATCGTTCTGGGATGGGCATTGCTGCTATTCCTCACGTACCGCGTCTCGCAGTTCGACTACGAGATGGCCAGCTTCGATCCCTTCGAGATCCTGAACGTGCCGCCCACTTCGTCGCAGGCTGAGATAAAAAAGGCCTATTACCGACTTTCCAAGGTGCTTCATCCTGACAAAGAGACGGGTGACGAGAAGTCCTTCATGATGCTGAGCAAGGCATACCAGGCGTTGACCGATGATGTGGCCAAGGAGAACTACGAAAAATATGGTAATCCAGATGGACCGGGCGCCATGTCCTTTGGCATCGCTTTACCGTCGTGGATCGTAGAAAAGGAGAACAGTGTTTGGGTTTTGGGTCTGTACGGTCTGGTCTTCATGGTGGCCATGCCCTCAGCTGTAGGCGTTTGGTGGTACCGGTCCATCCGCTTTAGCGGCGATAAGGTTCTGCTGGACACCACCCAGATGTACTTCTACTTTATTCACAAGACGCCGCACATGCTGCTTAAGCGAGCACTTATGGTATTGGCAGCCAGTTTAGAGTTTGACAAGCGCCACAACTCGCAGGTGCAGGAGCGGCAGTCGGACAACGATGAAGTACCAGCGGTGAGTACATTCTCTGATCTTATCTTTTTGCCAGTTACTAATGCCCCTTTTTTGAACACAGCTTATTCGGCAGCTGCCCAATCTGAACGAGAAATGTAAGGAGCATCCGCTGTGCCGCATGTACTCCATCAAGGCTCGAGCCATCTTGCATGCTCATCTCAGTCGCATGCCCCTTAATCCAGAAACTTTGGAGCGTGACCGGCAGTTTGTGGTAAAAAAGTGCCCGTATCTGGTTCAGGAGATGGTCTCCTGCGTCCACCAGTTGGTAATGATGGCTTATGCCCGACGTGTGCCCCGCCTGCCAAGCATCGAGACTATTGAAAACTGCATGAAGATGTCGCCGATGATTATCCAAGGACTTTGGGAGTTTAAGTCGCCGCTCCTGCAGCTTCCCCACCTCACCGAGGACCATTTATACTTCATGAACAAAAAACGGCACGTCAAAAACCTGCAGCAATTTGCCCAATTAAAACCGGAGGAGAGTCGAGTGCTGCTGAAGAACCTTTCAGACTTTGAGTACGAGAACACCATGAAAGTGCTCGGCAAGATGCCTCTGATTGATTTTTCCATCCGTTGCGAGGTAATCGATGATGAGAATACCAATGTAGTGACCGCTGGGGCCATAGTTACAGTCACGGTTACGTTGGAGCGCAAGGACATGAAGACGTTATTTGGAGACACGAAGGCGCCCGAGAAGCAAGGTATCAAGGATGAGAACAACGAAGAGGCTGCAGGAGATGAGGACGAGGCAGCAGCTGCTTTGCCGGCTAAGAAAGTATCTGCATGGGCAAAACCACGTAAGGGGGGCAAGGGAAAGGGTGGCAAGAAACCAGCCCAGAACCAGAAAAACAACCAAAAAAAGGCTCCGGCTAAAGTTGCGGCAACAGCTACAGGCGCCTCTACCGAGGATCAAGCTGCAGCGAATTCTGATGCCGAATCAGAGGCCGGTAATGCTGATGGTAGCGATGTTGAATCAGCTGCCGGCAGTGGCAGTGAGGATGAGGAGAAGGGCAAGAACAACTCTTCGTTGGACGATGATGATGACGAGGAGTGGGAGCGACTGCAAGCTAAGCTTAATAAAAGGGAACGTCTCGAGGGCAAATCCCGCCTGTCGCACACCGTCCACTGTCCCTACTTCCCCGAGGAGAAGCAAGAGTACTGGTGGACTTACATCTGCGACCGAAAATCACGCACCCTGCTGACGGCCCCCTATCATGTGACCAATCTGGTCGAGAAGGAGGAGATCCAGCTAAAGTTCACAGCGCCGCGCTGGCCCGGCGTCTACACGTTCACCGTGTGCCTGAGATCGGGTGAGTTTCTGAAAGGGATCTTGTGCAAATTAAAATTAGACCTCAATTTAATGGTGTGAGTGTAGGACTTCATTTGATGTTCGATTAAAATTTTAATCATTTTTGTTGCGTATGTTTCAGACTCCTATTTGGGCATGGATCAGCAGCAGGAGCTGAAACTGGATGTGCAAAAGGCGCCCGCACCACCGACAGACCATCCCCAATGGGACCTGAGCGAATCGGAGCCGGAACACACCGATCAGCAGGAGAACCTGAGCGACTACACCACAGACACGTCCGATGAGGAGGACAGCGACTAGATCTAGATTGATAGGAAGGATGGACGTCCCGAACCCCAATCAACCTCAACCTCCTCTCTATTTCTATGGGACGGAAGAAAAGCGTTTTGTTTTCCTTTTAGTAAATGAGTTTCGCGTGGCGGAGGAGGCACACCAATGCGACCCTTCCTTCGCATTTTTACTAGTTTTGTAATGGAAAAGACCCCGAACTAGTGCGTAAATAACTATAACTTCATTTTACCGTGTACTGTACTAAACATAATTATAATGTACTGTATATTTAATTATTTGGATACAAGAACTAAAAGTGAGACACGTAAATACAAAAGTCTATTGATATTACTATTCTTTTGTTGTTTGGCCAATAAACTGAAAACAAAAATCTTCGGGCTTGTTAGGCTTTCTTACGAATTTGAACTCGAAATTTTATATAGTTGCTGAATTTATAGTTCATATTATATTACATTTTTATAAATAGCATCACAACTTTAATTTAAATAATTTCAAGTTATTTATATCATATGTTATAGCTGCTTCTAACAATATTATATATTTTACGATTTTTTTATTTATTGTTTTATTCTATTTCTGTAATCATTCATATAAAAATGTTATCGTTTATAGTTTTCCAAACATTCTAAGTTTTAAATATATTCCAGAGCGAAAGTAAAATCTTTTTTAAAAGAAGTAAACTATTTTGTAATATTTTTGAGAGAATCTAAAATAATAAAATTAAACTTTGATAAACTAAAAAAAGAAAAGCAATATTTGAAATACCAACAAGCCCGAACAATTTTTAAAAATAAATATCAATTACAGAAAGACCGTCGTTGGCGGCGACGCCTACATAGCAGCCGCTGCCCGCTCGCTGTGCAATAAGAGATCCGATTGGGAATCTGAAGTCGTCTTCACAGCTGCTGAATTGGTTGTTGTTGCTGATAACTTCTTTTGTTGTTGATTTTGTAGACAGGAGCGAGTCATTTTTTTGGGTGAAAGGGGAGAAATTATACATTAAAGTCACATATAGCCTTAGTCTAGGGCTCATTACCCGTCACCAGATTCGTTATTAGTGGGTTCTTGTTTCTATTTACAAAACTTGTTCGGTATTATTTGGCTAGATGTGCGTTTTTATGTGCGAGTGCGTGTGTGTTTGTGCATTGGTGTTTGTGATGCGAATGCCAGTGTGCGGTTGTTGTCGTTTAGTCGATTTTAACAGTCAACATTTACTCCTCTTCCTCGCTTTCTTCGGAAGACGAATTCTCCTCAGCCGGTTTACTATCTTCATTTTCGGGCGTGTCTTCTGCCACAGTTTCCTCAAGTTTCTTTACATCGGTGAGTTCCTTCGTCTCCTCATCGGTCTTTTCTTCTTCCACGGATTTAGTGTCTTCTTCTGCATTTCCCGCAGTTTCTTCTGTGGGTGCAGTTTCTTCTTTGTCATTTTCCACTTCATTTTCTTCATTTTTATTTTCTACTTCAGTTTCTTCTTTGTTACTTTCTACCTGTGGGTCAACTTTAACATCCTCAACTTCTGCTTCTTCGACGTCAGTTTCTTCCTTGACACTCTCTACTTCCGTTTCTTCTTTGGCGTTCTCTTCTTTCGTTTCTTTTTCCACATTTTCAACATCCTCTTTGTTATGTTCTACCTTTGTTTCGTCTTTATCACTTTCGTTCTCTGATTTTTCTTCAACTTCTTCGGATTTTTCTAAGGTTTCAGCGCTTTCAGATTTTTCTTTAACATCTTCAGAATTTTTATCCTTATTGTCTTCGGCGCTTTCTTTTTCAGTTTCCTTTTCTGTTTCTTCTTCTTTGTCCTTATCACCCTCTGATTTTTCTTCAGTTTCTTCTTCTTTGTCCTTATCACCTTCTGATTTTTCTTCAGTTTCTTCTTCTTTGTCCTTATTACCGTCTGATTTTTCTTTAGTTTCTTCTTCGGCCTTATCTGCCTCGGATTTTTCTGCAGTATCAACGGCCTCGGATTTTTCTTTGGATTCATCTATCTCGGATTTTTCTTCTTTCTCACCTTTATTTTCTTCATCGGGGTAAAAATTTTGATTAGTGCCTAAGGACATTCTTCTACCTTTACCTGTGGTTTCCTCATCCTTTTTCTTATCCTCGGATTCTTCGCCCTCAGCGGTTTCAGTCTTTATTTATGGGTAGTGCGTGCGAGTGTTTGTGGGTTGTTCATGGGTGGTTTTTGGGTTTTTTTTTAAAGGAGGAAATTGGAATTTGTATACACAAGATCAAAACTCTACCTTTGCTGGGCTACTATAATGCAAGAGCATGCCTTTGTTAGCTTCTACAAGCTCTAGAAATCTAGTATTATGGTTGAGTCATGCAGCACCTATCGATCTATTACCTTTTCGTCAGTATTTTCCCCAGCGCCTTCAGCATCGCCCTCTGCTTTCTCTTTGTTTTCTTCGTCTTTGTTTTCATTCTTTGAAGAATCAAATTAACATTAGTAATGTATTTTACATTACAGAAGCATTTTTTAAAGTTCGGTGCTCAAAACAATAAAAATCTCAAAAAAAATTATGATTACTGACAACTTAACCGACTTTTTAAAATTTTCGCTGTTATTTTAGTTTTCTGATCATTCATTTCGTTAGATTTTCTGTTGAGTTAATGTTGTGGTGTTAAAGTATAAGTATGTTACGTTGTGTTAGAAAAACAAGCTTGCTGTTGGTTATAACTTTCTTTTTAGTTAATACAAATATATTTCCTTTTATTACAGGGGCAGCGCATTTTTATGTTTTAGCATTAACATAACGGCTGCACAATATGTTTCAGCTCTCTACACTAATCCAACTTAGGCTTAAGTGCTGGCGTGTATTCAGAGTCCTTACAGGTGTGTATAAATGGTACATACAAAGGTGTTTTGATGTAAGTTAATGAATATAAATATTTTGATTAAAATTGTCATTTATCCGTAGGGTTAACACAATCGATCGCCCTCGCTTAAATATGCTCGAAAAACTTAGCTTAAGAACCGCAGTCGTCATGATGAATTTGTTAAAAAATTAAACACAATTAGAAGATAAATTCGATCTCTTAACCTAACAGTTGGGGAATTTCGCATTGTTACGATATTAAACATTAGGAAAATACAAGAAAGTTCTTTTAAAATTGTTTAATTATTGTTAATTTTGTAAAGTTTCAAATGTTTCTAAATTTTTTCAATATTTTTTGTAAAAAAACCCAAACCTTATAGGCAAAGAAATCGAAGACAAGCATTTAAAATATAGGTATAGAGAGTTGGTAGTGTCTGTGCTGTTAGATAACATTACGGGTTATGTCTGCTGTTAACTGTAGGTCTTTAGTTTCAAGTTGTTGCTGTTAATTCTATAGCTTTAGCTGCAGATGATTGCTGTCTTTGTTTGTTGCGTCGTAACAGTTAACGGAAAATACGAGCAAATAGCTCAAGTTCAAACCTCGGCCTTCTCCGCAGCCTCATCCTTGACATCGCCATCTCCAGCTTCCGGTTTCTGCTCTTCTTCCGGTTTCTTTTCCTCCGCTTCCGCCTCCTCCTTTTTGGCTTCACCGTTCTCCTGCTTCAGTTCGATTTGGGCGGTACAAACAGCCGTAGTGTCAGCGGGTGCCAGTTTGAGGAACACCTCCAGGGTGTCAATCTCGTTGGCCATGTCGAAGGCGTCGTAATCTCCGCAGTACTCCTCGTCATTAAAGAGCTGAGGAGGCAACGGATGGCGGGGTTCTGGGTCGCTGACCGTTCCACCACTGCTCGTCGATTTGTTCTGCATCAGCTCCTTTTCGGATTCCTTGCCAGGCTCCGTGATGTCCACCGTGTCATATTTGATGTTCTTGCTGTCCAATATCATCAGCACGCGTTGCTGGCGCTTCTTTACCTTTAAAAAAACAAATTTGGAGTTTCAGTAGGTATTTTTTTTTATTAACTTTTATGAAATATGAATTCCTCAAATTTCAAAAACAAAAATTGATTAATCGAATTCTCAAAATGTAACCTTTTATATTTCAACAAGTTATGTTTTAAAAAATTTTGTTCAGTGTAATTAGCTTACTAACTGTTTGCCAACACTGTTAATTACAGCGATGACTTATCGGTAATAAAATGTTACCGGCAAGCCTAAACGCACACAGGCACACGCAAAGCCAACTCCCACACCATAAAAACACACAATATATATACAAATAACCCAAGAACGCCGATATGATAAAGCCCCTAATTAAAATGGTTTGTTGCACTCTGGTAATTAACTTGCGATAAGGAGTAGTATCTTCTTCTTTGTGCATATACTTTTGAGAAGTGTAAGAAAACAAAAGCAATGTTACCCCATCCGATGACCGTTATGTTTTTGTTCTTATTGGGAGAGAATTTGCCAATTGAACAAAGGTGGTGAAAGAGAGAGGGGAAAAGTGAATGAATCATCATCACGCATGCACACACACTTACGCATCCCACGCAACTGCGATCAATGGGAATCTCTCTCGTCTATGAACAATTTACAGTTCACAGTGGAATGAGCTTATATGGGCAATGAAATGTACGTTTGTGCTGCTTCTTGCCACCACCAACACTCGCACACTCACGAAAATACCCACTTGTTTTTCTTTGACTGTACATATAAACTTACATACCACACACTACATCATCATCGTTATCATCATCAAACGCACATACAAACAGAAAACGCAGCAGAAGAAATAGAATTTGCAATGCATTCGTCACCACTTTGATGTTTTTTTTTTTTTATTATTTTTTCTGTTTGCTGCTATTAACAGTGCCAAACATTCCAATAACATGACACTATCTTTGGTTTTAAGCCCGCCACGCCCACAAACTCACCTCCTTGTTGCCGGACATGCCGCTGACGTAGACTTTCAAGACCATTTTCCTAATTAATTATGTCCTTGTAGCGCTAATTAAATGATTTTTTGCGACTAAAATACGCTGGCTACTTTCTCGGCGATTAAAAATATTTTTAGATATTTTCTTTTCCTGCTTTCTTCCGTCCTGCACCCCTACGTAATGTTTTCACTGGTGACAAATGCACACGCACTGGGCAAGGTCGTTGGTTTTATTAACTGTAAAAACTGCGAAGACGCGGATAAAAAGTACCCTTGCGGCTCTTATAAAAGTGTAAAAATATTTTATATTTATCAAGAGAGGAAATTTTTCCTACTTTGTCGTTGAACCGAAGAGTGTGACCGAGTTTTGACGCCTCAAATAAACCAGGCTATCGAAAAAATACTAAAATGCAATGAATATGTTTTTTAAATACTAATAATGTATAAACATAAATGTTTTCTAGAAATTTAAGCATTTGCCAACTTATAAAGGATTTAAAGGGAAGAAAATAAATTAAATTATATACGCTTTATCTGGTATCCTTTTAGTATATTTCGGAACGAAGTATATGTAACTTTGAAGTATATGCTCGTGAGCATCGCAGTTAAATTTAACGGTCGAACTGCGGTCACACTGTTCACATCGTCACGCACGCATCGTCGTCCATTTTTGCCAAGAACCGAGACGAAAATTTGTAATTTAAAGCAAGCGAGTCGGAGACGGCAAATACCTATTGACAGTGCATTTCAGTGGCCTTTGGAATACTGCTCAAACAACCAGCAATCAATAGCAATATTAATTTCTACCTAAAAATATATAGGTAACCACAAATAGAAGTTGAAAATTAAATGTGCGTGCGTATGTGCCAGCGGAGTAGTAGCACAATAAAAAAGTAAATAAAGCGCGTGTGAAGTGGTGCAGAAAGCGAAAAGAGAGTCGGAAAAACCAAAAATCCAATTAACGTAAGTGCAATGGTGTGAAAAGTGTGTTCAGCTTTTTCTTCTGCAAAGCTGATAATGATATGCGATTCGACCATTTTTAAAATTTCATGAAATCAACATTCCAACTCACAACGGTGTGCGTGTGCGTGTCCATGTGTTTGTGTAGGCGAGAGCGAGACAACCAGTGTGATCGCTTTGGCTGCTGTCATTTTGGTTGCGTTTTTTTTAAACTAATCTATGGTATTTGTCACGTAAAAGACTTAAACGTAAAACACGAAAAAAGTATTAAATTTAGTTAGAGAATGATATAAATTATTGGTAGAAAAAGAGCAATGAACGTTTACACACACGTGTTGCGGTTAATCGAAAGGGAAGTGTGTGTGTTTGATAGCACGGAAAACAGCTGGTACAGCTGCCGCTGCAGCAAAGCAAAAGAGGAGAAAGAAAAGGGAGAGAAAGAAGAAGAAATGGCGGAGCAAAAGAGCAGAAAACGCTTATTATCCTGCGTAGTTTTCTTTTTATCGGTGGTTGTTCTGCTATTAGGTTACAGTTTACACTTTTCTTTCTCCCTTTCTTTCGTCGTGCATTGCTATGCATTTACTTTGTTGCCTTTGTCGTGGTGGTTTTTATCGTCGGCCAGCCTTTAATTGCGCTGCGCCACTTCGTTTCTTTGCTTTCCTTAGCTGTTTCTCAGTTTGTTCGGAGTTTCTGGTCATTCCGACTGGGAATCGGATTCCGATTCGGTATCGCCCTTTTCCTGCGGCGACAGTTGCAGCTGCTTGCAGGGCAACGAAGTTGTCGGGGAGGACTGAAAAAAGCTATGACAGAAAATGTAGCTAAATAACCTTATTTAGACTCTCAAAAATGGTTTTTTAAAAAAATAGTACCATTTTTCTTTTTTTATTCTTTTCTTTTATTCTCTGGCCATATATTCATTTATAAATTAATTACCAATATTGTAAAATGGCGAACAATCACCCAATTTTTTGCCTACTTGATTTTTTTCCATTCTCTTTTGCCTTAAATATTTTGTCTTAAACAATACGTCATCAAAGTCATTAAATTTAGGTGTACTTGGCATTTTAAAGCTTTTCACTGGCGTTTTAATTTAATAAAATGTTTTCTTGAAAAGAGATTGGCTGGCCGTAATTAAGGCTTAATAGTATTTTATACTTCAGAAGGGATATCTGTAATTTTAATATAAACATTGTCTTATAGTAAAATAAATTGATAGATTGATAAATCTGGGTTTTTGCATTTATCCGTCTTCTTATACATAATTGATATTTAAACATTCGTCATCTTCAAAAAGATATCCGAGTTTTTGTAGAACTGAAGCATCTGCTTATTTATTTATTTTTTTAAATTATTTGGGAAATAACTGCCTTAAAATGATAAGATAATGAAGCGTCTAGAATCATTGCTACACCAGGCGAAAAAGGCCAAATTGCCAGCACTGACAGGCCATAAATCGCTGCACCATTTTCTTTTATTGGCTGCGTGTGCGTGAGTGCACGCCTGTGAATCCTGTTTTTTCCTTTAAACCAGTTTGTGGTAGTCTTTTATCTGGTAGCAAGGTGTTCAGATCACCTTACTCATTCATTGTTTGTTTGTTCATTGCAGTCGACGCTTGATCATCCATCCATCTGCAGCATCCATCATCCGGAGTCGAGGCAATAAACAGCATTTAGGCATCTATCTATCCATCTGAAGAAACCGGAGAAGAAGAAACTCAATCATAGCGATGGCCTGTGCAACCCTGAAACGCGCTTTAGACTGGGAGTCGATGAACCAGCGTCCTCCAAAGCGCCGGCGATGCAATCCGTTTGGCCAGGCCGGTAACAGTGCAGGCCCATCTTCCCCGTCCCGCGACGGTCCTAGCACCTCGGCGGGCCTGCCTCATACGCCCAGCAACCGATTCGCCAAGGATAGCACCGAACCCAGTCCGTTCAGCGAGGCGTCGCTGGCCAAGATATCGCCAGGTGAGTTATTAGAGATAAGGGATGGTTCTAATGGTGGTTTGTGCTTTGCTAGTTAAAATCAAAATAAATTAATAAGATGAAGTCCTCACGATTGCAGGTTTCTAACTAATTCTAACATTCCCAAAAATGCGGTGCAGCTACATTAATAAAACCTTTCCCTTTCTAAATTACAGACAAAATGGCCGAGAGCTTGTGCAACGAGATAAAGAGACTGCACAAGCGCAAGCAGCTGCCGATCACCTCGTCGGCCTTGGAGCGCATGCAGGATTCGGAGTCGAGCGGATCAGAGATGGGACCGGAGAGCCCGCGCCGCCCGGATAGCCCCCCAAATCTGATGCGCCACGGCGAGAAGGCCCTGTTTACGTTCAAGCAGGTGCAGCTCATCTGCGAGAGCATGATTAAGGAGCGGGAAAATCAGCTGAGGGAGCGATACGAGTCCGTGCTGACCACCAAGCTGGCCGAACAATACGATGCCTTCGTCAAGTTCACTTATGATCAGATACAACGTCGCTACGAGGCAGCGCCTAGCTGTAAGTTTGAAATTATATCCCCTGTAAGCTATATACTAATTATATTATATTTTCAGACCTGTCGTAAGGCCGTGTCGCTCAAGCCTCATAAAAAAGAAATTAATAATTGCACTACGATCTTATGTGACGGTAGATCTACCGCGACAACAACAGCCCTCATTTAAACTAAAAACAAACAAATAAGGAAACTAAAGCAAATGCAAAACAAACCAACAAAAAACCTATAAAAAAAAAAAAACAAAAAAAAAAAACTACAACATACATCGTGTTTAATATATTTTGAAATACACGTGAAGAAAGCAGTTATAGTTTATGTCTAGATTTACATATATAATGTATCGGTTAGCAGCAAAGGGATGAATTATTTAAAAGCAGAAACAACAAAGAAACAAAAAACAAACAAATCTTGTTAAATTTATGTTTTTCACATAACAAAAATTCTAAATAAAATGACAAATATCTGATATGAAGAACTATAAGCACACAGCCACTGCAGACATATATGGTGCATCCGTAGAGAGAAAACGATTCAATGAAACCTCAAACGTAGCTTCGTACATAACAGACCGACAGAATTGGTAAATATAATGTTAGGTACATGTAGCATATAAGATATGATGTAAAACGTATCAAACTATATATTGTTTTTTGAGATAGTAATTTATGAGCAGAAGGCCCCGAGCAAAAAAGGAGCAAGCGAACATTAATTCAACAAAGAAAACTCATACTACTCATGAAGAACACTTTTCATAGTTTATTTTTCATATTAGTTATACACCAACGCAAGGAACGAACGCTTGACTTTGTCTATTTTCTCGAGTATCGTTTGTTAATTGTTTCTTCCTTTGATGCGAATTATTGCAAAGTAATGTAAACACATACAAAACAACTGAATTGTTTCGATTTGCTTTACAACATGTGGAAATGAATACTGATACAAAAATAAAAAAAAAGAAAACAAACAAAAAAAAAAGTTATTCATTAAGTCAAATTGAACGCTTTCTTATAATATACGCTTGGAAGAGAAGTTTTCATGTTCATTACAAATATTTTTTCACACCTTGAAGAATATATACAAAAATATATAATATATATTTTTCAATTACCGCAATCATACATACTTTATATTAGTAATTTAAACTTAAAGTTAGTAAAGAAATGCCATTTTTATATTAAAACAAACAAAAATAAAATGATGAATTGTAGAAGCCCGCTGGTCTTTTCTTTTTAAACCTTTTAATTCTGTTTGTGAAACGATCTTTAAACTTCATGCGTTAACAACCATTTCTTATTTAAAACCCATCCACGATTTCCTAATTAAGCGCATTGGTTTAGGTTGTTTTGAAAGTTAGCTGATGGTATACGTAAGCATTAAAAAAACTTTGAAATTATCGGTTTTAGGTGGGAAAAGATTCATAACAAAAATAAATTAATTCATTTCTGCATAACTCATTTGTGAATAATAATAAAAGATCTTGCTGCGGTTTCTCCAGACTTTGAGAATATTCATTTTGTTTTATTGATTTTTGTGCGTTCAACAGAAACTTTCCAAACTTATCACTAATTAACTAAAAATACGCTTGTTTCTCATGCTTACAATTACATAATAATGCATTAAAAGTCTTCAATAATAAATACATTTAGTTCAAAACTTAATTGAACGGAATGAGGAGGGTTATCTTATCATCATTATCAATTAGAAGCCGACATGGAGCATCTCCCGGCTACGAAAACTTCGATTTTTAAATTCCACACGTAAACTAAGGAAAGGCTGTGGGGGACAACGATTTTTTTTTTCTAGATTGGGAGGGATTCGACCCGGAAGGCACTACGAATGGTAGAATTCATACAATAATACAAGGAGCAGGACTATAAGGAGCTGTAAAGGGAAAGATGGAAATTTCGAAATAAAAATATCAGTCGGTATGGTTGATTTCTGCATGTTTGCTTTTCGAAGAACGGCATCGATAAACGGATATGGAAGAGCGAATAGCTGTGGGAATCAGAGTTGTTTCTTTTCCTTCAGCGGCGCAACCTTGGAGTGCTCCTTGACTGCAGCGAACGTTGTTTTGGAGAATGGATCAACGCAGGCGTCCTTAAACGTCTTTTTCTGAGTCTGAGTCAAACTTTTTGGAGACGGCGGAGGAACCACAGTAGCGGTTGTTGTATCCGTGGGGCAAGCACTATTTAAATGCGTCAGGCTTTCATGGCGGCCAAGGCCTCCAACTACCGACTGGTGAGGGCTAAAGAAAGCGGATGCTACCGTCCCATTGTGCAGACATTGATCCGAATCGGAAGCAAAGATATGAACCGATGAATTGGCAGTCAGCGCCGGATCCATCCACAAGCGCTTTACCGTTCCGGCCAATTGGTCCTTGGCCTTGAAGATTTGATCAATGATCCCATCGATTAAGGAGCCAAGTGAATCATATTCATTGGGAACCATTCCATCAACGCTGCTCTCGAAGTAGCTGAACATGGGAAACCAAACACGCGTTCTTTTGGAGTCGCTTTGCATGAGAGCCTATAAAGAAAATTAAATTAAAAAAAAAATATAAGGAACATCTGTATAAATCTTTAAATACCCACCCTATTATTTGCCAAAGTATGATAATAGAGGAACAGACGTGAGGTGATATAAAAGGCCACAAAGACATCGATGGAGTAATGCTCGTGGGCAGCTAAAATGAAGAATATGCCGAACATGTTGAGCAGCCAGGTAAGCGTGTGCAGGAAGTACAGATTCCGCGGGGTGTCTGGAAAGTAAAGTATATTAGAAGGGTATAATTTATACAGACAGTAGCTTAACTCACATTCTGTGATGAAGAAGTTGAGCAAGGTTAGGGCCACCGTGTGACCACTGAACATATAATCACCGCAGGTACGTACGCCCTGAATAGACATCCCCAGGCCGCTCCAGATGCGATAGGCCCGCGTCATCCGAATGATCAAGGCACCCACCATATCCACATTGGGATCATCAATGGCAAAGTCCTTCTGACTGCACTGTAGATGCGTTCCAGGGACGCTTAATGAGGTGATCAACATGGTAACACAGCGCAGCAGAAACACCGTGCCCGCCAAAGCAAAGAATCGCCTAAGAAGGACCAATCTGTACTTGTGGAAGATTAGCACTATGACCCAGATTGTGAACAGCAGAGATCCGGTGATTTCACACATGTTGAACGCCCACGGAATATGCGGCACGTTGTCCAGGAAGATGTCCGGCAGCGGTGGATAGCGCTTCATATCTGGAACTCTTTCATGCACTATAACCATCGTCAGGGAAGTTATCCAGGTAACCACGAACGAGTAGCCTGTAATTGTCAAGAAAACCTAGTTACTATGCGGACCCAAAATCTGACATAACTCTGCACATGGAAACAATAGTTGTGAAATCGACAATTAGCTACTGTAATCTAGAAATTCTAGACTGGAACAAATTGGATCATTTTTTAAAACTTAAATACATCTTACATAACAATACACAAGCCTAAGAACAAAAATAAATATATTGGTTTATAAAAGTTGATTCACGACGATGACGAAAACGAGGAATCAGAGGCATATAAGTATGAAAGCTTTGCAATTTTCTGATAATCATCTTTGTTTGTATTATAATTGCAGTATGTATATAAAGCGCAAACCTTTTTAACAAAGAAACATTATATTGTTGAATTTTGCCCCATTTTGAAGATATATATATATTTTGATTTTATTACCTAAGCCGAAAATAACCTGTTCATAGCTATATCTGTCAAAATTATAGACTTATCTACTAAAATGGCCATGACAAAGGAAAACAAACAGCCTGTAATGATAGATACATTATCGAGAAATAATGGAACTGATAGGAAATTAGGCTAGATAAGCTCATTGTTTTGTCTGGTCTTCGCTCATTTTAATATTTAATATGACTTTTTAATGAGAAATTCCACTATTCTATTATTCAAAGTAGGGTATATTTCTAGCCACTTGATAGAAATACAAATTCGATTGGATTGACAACTGTGTTTATGTTTTTGTTCGTCGCTAAACTGTTGAAGATTTCCCCGTAAAGTAAGCCAGCCGTTTGAAGGGTATCATAAACAAATTGGAATTGAAATTTAATGCACGCAAAGTTACACAAAAGTGACACAAATAATGAAAACAGTAAGCCAGAATGAGAGGATTGATTCCCCATGAGTACACAAATAAATTCGAGCGGCGTTTCCACAAGTAACCTCCAAAATGCTCAAAATAAATAATAGGTAACGCGTCACAAGCGTCCAAAACCTATAATTAAAGTTAGAGTGACGTATTTAGACGAAATATAGTAAGTAAACCATTGACCCCTAAGAATAACATATTCTTTGTGGGTTATTATTCGACCAACACATTCATAAACTATATTTGACCTGCTATGACGTATTTAATCAGACAATTATAGCATGCGTGACATTGAACTTTACGGGATACCTATTACTTTAGGGTTATCACTTGGGATTTGTTGTAAATAAGTTCGAAAGACCTTCAAAAACTAGAATGTATTTTGTATGTATGTGTGCGCGATAATTAACTGCAAGAGTTTTTTTAATTGTGGAAATATTTGGATAATGAGTAAAAACTAATTTCAGAAAAAATTATCAAAGTGAGAAATATAAAATTTTAAATTTCCGTTTTTAAGATAATAGGGTACCGGAAATCTGATAACTGATAAGTCAGATGTTCTGTTGACGCATTATTCACCATATGCCCAAACTTGACATTCATATTATAGGCATTCTCGTGGGAAAACCTCTTATTTCTTGGGTATCGCAGGGCAAGTTTATGGCTAAATTGCGTTATAGCGAAAAGCTCTTGAGAATTGGCACACGACCGATAAGCCCGGAGAAACAATCAATGGGACAATTGACCTTCGTAATTGAAGGGGGGCAGGTTTTCGTCAGTGGGATATGTGAACCTACTCACCTAAGCTCATGGCGGTTTTGAAGTATTCCGGCGGAACATAGCGTCCGCCCATGCGCAAATAAGTATCACAATCGGACACATAGCTGGGACACTCGACCTGTGGACAGGGGCATGTGGATGTGGAAGGTGGACCTCCGACGGTATTCGGCAGAGGCATATATACCGAGTTTCCGCCATGACTCTCGATGCCCAGCATTACTGAGTCCGCGGAACTGTTTTTAACCAGGAGCTGTAGCTTGAGAACTGCGTGCCAAAATTTTTTCAGCTCCCCAAATGTTAGTTTGTAGCCCAAGCGGTATCGCATATCCCGGACATCTTCCTCGGTGAGGGAGAGCAGGACTTCGCCATCGATGGCCTCCTGGCGCAAGCAGTCTAACAGAATCCTTGAAAAGTGCTCTGTATAGGTAGCCCAATTGGTAACATCCTCCGTGGTCCACTGGGCTACCATAAGGGGGTCCACAGGCTCCGGTTCAGGTGATCCATTGGTTAGGTGCTTCTCAGCCGGATCAAAGAAGGGAGACTTGGACTCCTTATCCGACTTGACCAATCCACCGCCCTCCGAACGTGGCTGAGTCACCGGATCGCCAATTTCACCGTCGCACATCGCGCTTTCTTTTTTCCGTTCGATGTTCTTCTGCTTGTTTTTTATTCGTTCCAATTTTGCGATTTATCCAATCCAAATAATTGTGCTGCCGAACTCAGGCGGAGTGCATCATTATTTCACTGCTGGCTACTACTGCGGCGCATAATTAACACCTCACTTATTGCGCGTCCAGCGTTTGTTGATGTAAAAGCACATTTAATTTGGTTTGGTTACTTGTAAAATCTAGACTACTAAGTTGGTTCCGTTCAGAGAGCGAGCGAGAGAACAGTGCAGAGTGAGCGGCTCTACTGCGGGCGGGAGCGAGATAAAGAAGGCAAACAGCTGACTTGGGCTTTCGCATAAATATCGATAGTAGGTGGGCTCAGTTAGTGGTTATCGATAATCATTTACTAGCGGAATTATCACCGTGTTCGCACTAGGTATTCTTTTGATTATAATTTGTATGTTAACAAGAATAGGTTGTGCCGGTTATAACTTTTCAGAACGCAGCCAATACTTACATCTTCCAGGATTGCTATATAAATTTTTAAAACAAAATTTTGTGTACTTAATGATTAAAACAAGTCAAATCGATAAATTCGCCATCCATTCAAAAAGTGGTAGAGTGGAAACGTTTTTGAAAGTGATATCGAGGCGACATAGTCGTTTGCATTTTGCGAGCGGCAAAGCGAGTTCAGAGTTTCTGTGCGAATGTTTAATCAGAATTAATCCTCGAATAATATGAAGAAAGCCAAGCCACTGCTGCACGACCATCTGATAACAATCCGAGTGAAGAAGGTGAGTCCAACTCCCTAGTTTTCACAGATAAAGTATACCTTCGCCTCTGACAGCTGCCAAACAACCGGCAAATTCACTTGAACAAAAAAATTATAAACCCTTTGTAAGGGCGGCGAATTTGGGATAGGAAAAACAAGGTTAGGTCGCAGGCAGGCCGCATCTTTTGCTGATTGTGCTCCTTTTTTTTTCCAATTTCAGTACCTCGAGGAGCATATTGGAGAGACCTACCTGGATGTGAAGCAAATGACCAGGGAGTTGATGCAAAAGTATCCGGAATACTCACGTCGCAAATTCGGTCCCTTCAGGCAATTAGTGCACCAAGGTAAACAAGCAGAAAAGTCGGGATTAGGGTTTCCAAATAAATTTATTGAAAGCTATAAGTAAGAGGCGTCAACTTCAATGAAAATGTACTCAATTATTCAATTACTTAAATTGATATTGGGAAGTTTTTGTATATAGCAGCTTTATGATTTGATGTGATATATTTGATTTCACTCGTTTTTAACTAATAAATATGTTCGTCGTAGATTACGATCCCATTTATCTCAGTTTATTTTCAAATGAGTTGGAGAAACTGTATAGTCAACACTAAATTAAAGATAAAACCTAATATAATTTGTTTCACCCTAGCATTTGCCGTAATCTCGGATAGCTATAACTTGGACAAGGTAAGCAGCTCGGAGGAGGAGTGCATTAGCGAGGAATTGGACGCACCACCCGACAACAGTCTAATGAGCAATATGATGAACAGCCTTTACACTCAACCAAGGAAGCCGCTGGCTGCCAAGCCAATTAGCGAACCCATCGATATATCCAGTGGGGACGAAAACGACGATGACTCCAATGCGAACACTACCAACGGAGATGGGCCAGCTCCTGTTCCAACAGGTGTTAAGCCCAACGCTTTAAAACGCATAATGGATGATTTGCCTGAGACCACGACAATTCCTAAGAAATGTGAGTTACGCTACCACGACTCTACGACTCTTAAAATTAATAATATTTTTCTATTAGCAGTTAAACCGAATACAATTCAAGGTTGTGGTCCGGATACAGCACAAAAACGTGAGTAAGCCTCTGGAACAGCCAAAGACATCACCTAAAACTTCTATTTAGTTATTCAAGGGATGGGTCACAGGGGGAAGAATCACTGTGAAACTGCTGTGTCCTCCAAAGAACATCGTAGTGCGGCCGGGGTGTACCAACAGCTTCATCAAAACCCCAAGAAGTACAAAAAAGAGCTGGAGGTGCAGCACACTACGGAAAGTTTTAGGGACATTGGCGGTATGGATAGCACATTGAAGGAGCTATGCGAGATGCTAATCCACATCAAGTCACCCGAGTTCTATTTTCAACTGGGTCTTTTGCCCGCAAGAGGTCTTTTACTGCATGGGCCGCCCGGATGCGGCAAAACCTTTTTAGCTCATGCTATAAGTGGGGTATGCTTTATAAAATATAATGATTATAATCCTTATTCATCTCGTTCCTTGGTTCTTTCCAAAAGCAATTAAAAATGCCGCTGTTGGAAGTGCCGGCAACAGAGTTAATTGGTGGCATCTCTGGAGAGTCCGAGGAGCGCATACGCGACGTCTTTGAACAGGCAATGGGATACTCGCCCTGTGTGCTCTTTATAGACGAGATCGATGCCATTGGTGCAAACCGACAGTGGGCGTCTAAGGACATGGAGCGCCGCATTGTGTCGCAACTGATAAGCAGCTTGGATAACTTAAAGGCCAATGAGTTTGGTCAGTCTGTGGTCGTTATAGGGGCCACCACTCGACCCGATGTTCTAGACCCTGGTCTACGTCGAGTCGGTCGTTTTGATCATGAAATTGCCATACACATACCGTCGCGCAAGGAGCGTCGTGAAATCTTGCGCATCCAGTGCGAGGGTTTGTCCGTCGATCCAAAGCTTAATTATGATAAGATTGCAGAGCTGACACCTGGTTATGTTGGCGCTGATCTGATGGCTCTGGTCAGCCGGGCAGCTTCTGTGGCTGTAAAACGTAGGTCTATGAAAAAGTTCCGCGAACTGCATGCTGCAAGCGAGAAGAACATGACCACGGTTACTTTGGATGACGATGATCCCAGCGAGGAGCCACATGAAAGTGCTGAATCTAAAACTGAGGCTGAGCCGAAAGGTGACAAAGAAAAGGAAAAAGAGAAGGAAAAAGAAAAGGAAAATAATAAAATAGATGCAGAAGAAAAAGAGAAATCGGATGGTGACAAGGAAGTACCCGATAATAAGAAAACCGAGGACGAAACACCCAAACCTAAAACCCCCAAGAAAGCGACCAATGGAAAATCTCCTAAGAAACAATCCGTTGCAGCCATGGAGGTGGATGATGAACCCGATAAGGAGCCAGAGAAATCCGTGGAGCGGGAAGCTGATTCCTCTAACGACGAATACTACGAACCCACTCTGGCTGAGCTGACCAACTTTCTGGACAATCCGCCCGAGGAGTTTGCCGATCCGAATTTCTGCCTCACTCTTATTGATTTTATCGATGCCATTAAGGTGATGCAGCCTTCGGCCAAGCGCGAGGGCTTTATTACAGTGCCGGACACTACCTGGGACGATATTGGTGCGCTGCAGACAATTCGCGAAGAACTTAAGCTGGCCGTTTTGGCGCCAGTTAAGTATCCAGAGATGCTAGAACGTCTTGGACTAAATGCACCCTCTGGCGTTCTTCTTTGCGGTCCACCAGGTTGCGGAAAAACTCTTTTGGCCAAGGCTATTGCCAATGAGGCTGGTATAAATTTTATATCGGTAAAGGGACCCGAGCTAATGAACATGGTGAGTTAAACTAATTGTGGTTTATTTTTCCCTTGCTAATCGAATGTTCCTTTCTCAGTATGTTGGTGAAAGCGAGCGTGCTGTGCGAGCCTGCTTTCAACGTGCTCGTAACTCTTCACCCTGCGTCATATTCTTTGACGAGTTTGACTCCTTGTGTCCCAAACGATCGGATGGTGGGGATGGCAACAATTCCGGAACCCGTATTGTCAACCAACTGTTGACCGAAATGGATGGCGTCGAGGAGCGCAAGGGTGTATACATACTGGCCGCCACCAACAGACCTGATATCATTGATCCGGCCATTCTGCGTCCGGGTCGCCTGGACACCATTCTTTATGTCGGTTTGCCCGAGCAGAGTGAACGTGCAGAGATTTTGAAAGCCACAACCAAGGTAGATAGCCTTTCTTTTGTTTTATTTTTTAATGCTTATTTTCTTTTCCTTTCAGAACGGAAAGCGTCCGTTGCTAGCCGAAGATGTAAATATCGACGAGATTGCTGCTAAAACTGATGGATACACTGGTGCAGATTTAGCAGGACTGGTTAAGCAGGCCTCTATGTTTTCCCTGCGCGAAGCCCTAAACGTTGGTGACACAAAACTCGACGATCTGTGCGTACGCAATCAGCATTTTAACGAGGCTTTGCAGCAGCTTCGACCCTCAGTTAACGCCCAGGTGAGATTGTTTTATAATATTGTTTGGGGTATCCTTACTAATTGTGTAACTAACTTACAGGACCGCAAAGTATACGATAAACTGCGCCTGAAATACGCTGCACCCAGGGTACCCACCTTTGATGATAAGTAACGCTCTCAACAATAATGGATTTGTTGTCTTAGTCAATAAGCTCACTTGCAAATCAAAAATAATTTGATTGCGAGAAAACACAAACGTATGATTTATAAAACAAAAACCATGTTACCCAGGAACTAATTAATTTCCTTAAAATTGTAAGCCTACCATTTAAAATGAGTAGAGAACGGAATGCATTTTGGCTTTTAAATGAAAAGGGTTCCATATGAATGTTTAAATATATCAGATTAATGGTATCAATGTTTTCAATATTGATTTAATTATACTCGGTAATATACAATTTGGAATTCAAATTCTTTTTATATATATTTTAGGACCTCAAATTTGATGATTGACATATGTAGTTTTTATATGAAAGTTTCGCTTATTCCCGGTTCACCTTAATTTAAACATAAATCACTAATCGCACTAATCACAAAACAATAACTTTTTAGCTTACAGAAATACACCCAGCGGCATCGTTGAAGACATGGGGGGCTTGCCACGGCTGGTGAGAACGACACCATCGCCACCGCCTTGGCCATCACGACTAGGCCCTAATCGCTTAAAAGGCGGAAGACGAGGTTCCAATTGCCGCGGGAATAGTCCAGCAGGCAAGGCTTGAATTCCTTCAGGCAGGATGGTTGGCTCGCTTGCCTTGAAACCCTTCTGAATTCGTAGGATTTCATCGTGTCGCGACAAAACTGTGCGCTTTGTCCGCTTCTTCTTTGGTTTGGTCTTGGCACAATCGCCACCAGCCGTGGTGGACTCTTCCACGGAACCGGTTGGGCTTTCTGTTACCACAGTTTCAGTGCTACCCTCGCGCCGCGCCGGACGAGGAATGGGTGGCTCATTTTCACGAGAAATCTGATGGCGCAGGTCATAGGAGCGTTTGCACATCTCCCGAATGCCATACCAGCTCTCATGTCCAATTTGACTGATCATCTCCACAGGTGGCTGGAAGCCGAGCTCACGTGATGGTAACTCCATCACCAAAGCCATGGGCACCTTAAGCACACCGTATACGTAATCTACAACAGATCCGGCAATGGTTCGCTTGGTCAGACAGCTGATACTTCCTGTTCGGTACTCCCGACCATTGTAGGATTTGATGGCACTCTTGCCGGAATTTGCAAGGGAGCTCAGTTCACGCCAGTAAAGCGGGCTATCACGGCAGTAGCCCCACGGGTACATGATGCTCTGACCATACGAGTGCAGGGACAGAAAGAACAGAAGGTTGGAGCTCATCCGATTGAGAATGCTTTTCAATGCCCGCGTTTCCAGTTCCGAAAACGGACTTTCACCCTTGTATGTATTGCGGTTGATCTTGCTGGAACCGCTGTTCCAGAATATGTCGTAGTTTCGGTTACAATCAGTACCCACAAATTTGCTTGATTTTTGAGGCCGCCGGTTTTTGCGCCACTTGGGATTCTAGGTAAGGAGTTACATTACATTAAACATTTAAAAGTGTTTGCTTAAAAAGGACTTTCAGGACATTGGTTATTGTTATAGGTTCAACTTACTTTAGTGCGGGAGTACTCATAACCATCGGGATTCACTAGAGGCACAATGATGAAACGAAGCTTGCGGAGTACCTCTATGTTCCTGGTGTACCGCTCGGTCAATTGGTAAATGCAATTAAGGGCCGTGGAGATACTAATCCATTCGCGGGCATGGGTTCCTGCCTCAATGAAGACGGTTTTCCGGCTTTGCTCGCCATGATGGATAACAGGAACAGTGGACTTACAATTAGGACCGACATCGTACGGCAGCGGTAACTGCTCCCGCACCTGTGCAGATAACTCCACGTTATTCGCGTTCATCCAGTTAATCTCCAGAGCTCGAATTTCTCGCTTCTCATGCGTATGACCAAGGCTGTACATCTGCACGAAGTGGGGATACCGTTGGGCTACGTATTCTAGGTACTGGTTGATCTGCTTGTATTCCAGATAGGAATGTAGTATGTCCGGTCGTGGAATCACCAACCGGCGCAGCGGTGTAGTGGGAGCATCCCGGATCCGTTCCTTTGCCGTCTTTGTGTTTATGCGTTTGGATATGGCGGCCATTACAGAGAAAACAAAGGATTTTTACAAAAATAAACGAACTTATTACTAGAGAATTTAAGGATGATGACTATCGTATGGTTTAGGAATAAATGAAAACTTAGATTCCATTGGGAATTGACACCTAATTCGAATAAGCCTGGCCTGCTGCTGGGTGGGATTCTCACCTGGCACTTGATGTTCAGGTGAAGCCGCTCGACCACGAGCAGAGTTAGCCGTGTGCTCTGCTTGGGTTTGTCTTCCATTGTGCGGGACTTAAACATCAGTAGCCTCGGTTTTGTACCCCTAAATGGCAAAAATCGTACTCCGACGGAAAGTCCAACTCCCCTTGAGTTGCTCCTGTCGATGTACTCAAAGAAATTCGACCTTACTCTTGATGAGCTCATAAGAACTATGGAATTCCTAAGATTTTGGTTAGTTCTTTAAATTTCAAAAATTAAACTTACCTTAATGGTCTCTTATCTTTCTTTGATATTTAATGAATAGGTTACTTAATTATTTTATGTTCCTAAAATCACATAAAAGATAAGATTTGTAATAAATTATATGATATCTTAGTTAAAGGAGGATTAATAACATATATGGCTTTATATCTTCGATGGTTATATCTTTGACTTTTTTCTTCGAGTGTAGAGTTCGCAGTGGGTAAATGGGACAGCGACAACGTTTAATAAGTTGGGCTCGGTAGCATGTAATGCGGAATTGGATTTGGATTCCGGCTAGGAATCCCCCTAGCCTGGCTGCAGCTGCCACAAAACGCAAATATGCTAAATGTCAGACAGAAGGACGGGGTAGCCTGACTGGTGGGCGTGGAGAAAAATCAGGAAAACAGAAGCAGAGCAGGAACAACGGCGTGGGCGTCCAAAAGAGCAGAAGGCGCCTTACCTTCAATGCAAATAAACAGGAACTCCTGGAGTCCCTGGCGTGCAGCCTGGGAAACGAGCCAGGAACTGGAGGAGGAGCAGTTTTAGTCCTTCTCCGGTTAAGCGTTTTACAGCGAAGTTCATTTGTGGATCTGGGCTTCCTGATTACACTAAACTGCAGGAAAAATAAATACAAATTTTGGGAACTAAGTCTAAAAATTAAATTTTCTTAAAAATTTACCATTACATGAATGGAAAAAAAAAATTATTTATTATTGAAATATTATTGTTTAAATTGATTTTGCTATCTCCTTTTATTATTTATTTTTATCTCTAAAAATCTTTACCTAATAATTTTAATATACGAGGTGTGTTCAAAAAGTAAGGTGACTCTTCAAATTTCGCGAATTTCAAATTTTTCGATTATCGATTTTTTTGTTTTGTTATATTGGTACACTCTTCCCTAACATCTGTACCAAGTTTCAATGGAACATCCTCTTTTGTTTGGTTGTGAGAGGCGTAAAGTTACAAGTTATTTTGCGAGCTCGGCGATTTTTTGCTATCGAAAAATATGGATCAAAGGATTTGGATTTTTTGGCCAAAAACAACACCACAATAATGCCTCAGCCACCATATTCACCGGATTTGGCCCCATGTGACTTTTTCTTGTTCCCAAAACTGAAGATAATCGAAAAATTTGAAAAATTTGAAATTTGAAAAGTCACCTTACTTTTTGAACACACCTCGTATAACTTCTAAAAGGTTTCGATAATCGAAAAATTTGAAATTCGCGAAATTTGAAGAGTCACCTTACTTTTTGAACACACCTCGTAATGAAGTTACTTTATTATTCATCAAATCATTTTAGCATTATTAATGGTGTTTTATGAGCATATTTGGTGATCAAATCAATGCAATCCGCAACATGATAGCCAACTTCCACCAACTTGTTGCCGAGTGTAATATATTTCTTATGGCCTGGCAAATGTCATGTCAACGCAAAAGTCAAAAGTGCGCGGCAGGTCGGTGTAGAGCCGCACACAAAAATTCATACTAACGGCGGTGCAGTCGTATCCTTAACTGAATCCATATAAATTGGTATAAATATGTATGGCATATAGCGGGAGCAACGCAACCAGTTGATTTATACAGGAACCATGTTCGTGTTGATTTTCATTTAACGGTCTTTTAGTCAACTTCCTGACACAGTGACTGCCATATATTTACGTCTGGCTATGTCTACATAATACATTGTTACTACTTTCTTAGGTGTATACCCTTTAAGTTGGAATGTTTTAGGGATTTAGTAAAATCTCTAAAAATTAAATTTAAGATTTCTGTAAGATAGGAACCACTTTTAATAGATTACAGTTAGTTTTCATTATAGAAGAAAATAATAGTTTGTTTACTTTTACTTTGTTTCATAAGATTACATACATATATAAAGTAACATTTTTGATTATCAAATAACAAGTAATTCCTTATAAATCAGCATATTCTCAAGTCGTCAATTTCAAATACTCTTTAACAAAAACCTTTTCAACTTTTTTTTTACTGTTACATGGTATAAACACGCAAAGTCCCATGCCCAAACGGATGAATGGAGCAAGTGAAGCCTTTCCCAGTCAGTAAGTCAGTCGGTTGGTGGTGCCTCTTTCTAGGGGTAAAAGTTAAAGGGGAAACCCTTTTCAAGTATGCATTATGTCATTAGCATGTTGGCAAATATAAAGGGCCAAACTTTGTTGAATTCTGGCTTCTTTTTTTTTTCTTTTTTGTTCCCACTCCCTGACGGCTGTCTCCTGTCTTTCGTTCGAGTTGCGATGACGAAATGTAATGTAGCATAAAACTGTTTACGAATTAACGAAATTCCAAACAATTATGCCCCAAACAAATTCGGATTTTCCTGGGAAACTTTTTGCCTGGACCTGCCCCAATGAGCTGGTTGTCTGTCATGTGGCAGGGCAATTTAACTTTTGTGCAATTTGGCATAGTTTGTGAGGCAATCTACTGATTATTTTGATTACTGTGCGAACTTAACGAGATTCCCCATTCCACCAGCCAATAAACACTCCATTAAGAATACAAATTGAATATACAGAAAGAAATCGTAATGTAATATATTTTATACTTTATTATTCATATATTCCATCATTTAGTATGCATGATAATGTCGTTCTGCACATGTTTTCTTGAATTAAAGATCGATTGTATTGATCAAGTTAATTTATTTCTGTGCAATCCGTAGTTCCGTTCCCATGCCAAAGACTCGAGATTTCATGTTCATGGTTAAGGCCAAACGCATCTATTGTCAACGCTGGGTTTTCAGATGCAAATAATCCCGCCGAAATGCGATAATAACAAAAGCACGCCTTGAGCCGAACAATACAAAAAAGCCAAATAGATCTCTCCTTTTACGAATGTTTATATAAGCCTTTAAGTTAAAAGCGATGGCAGAGCAGAGATAGTGAATTAATTTACTGGAGAAGTTGAATGCCCTTTGGCTTGCTCCAGCTGCTGCTGATGATGGTTATGTCTGGAGCTGGCTAATAAATAAACTAAAATGATTTAGAACCCGACTAGAGAGCTAGCATTAAGTTTGGAGTGGTGTCATTAAGCTGTAGAAGTCGCACAAATTTTAAATGTAAATTTTTTGAGATAAACTAGTTCTGCGTTGGCCCACGGGCCAACACCACCGGAAATATGCGAATGGCGGCGGTTCATTTGTTCATCTGCCGAGCTCCCTATTGAAAATCGAATGAGAAAAAAAAAAAAACAACTGCAGGCGGAAGTGCCTGAAGCTATAGCCAAGTGTTATAATTACACACAAAAGAAGACCAAACCGAACCGAAAGCAAAGTCAAGCGATCAAATATAAATATCAGTTGATGAGTTCGATGTTGAAGTGACCTGGCTTCTGGCGGCGATCACAATGATGATCTCTTCACGTATTAATGAACTCAATAAATGCGTATTTAGATGGTTGATGGTAACTGTAATGAAATGAACTTAACCGAACCCATAACAATTGCTTCCGGCTATTTTGGGCACCGTGACCTTGTCCGTTTTTGGCCAAATTCGAAAGTTCAGTGCTCCAATGTATGGCCCATCTCCATCTGCTGTTAAAGACATACACGAGCACATCTTGAACTTTCAAATTGAACCGCAACAGAACACCCATCATCATCATGACATTAGGAAGCCACTAAGCATACGAGTTCCTCTATAAAAACCAGAAAATAAACAAGCAACGGCTTCAGAATCGATTCACGAATCGCCATATGCGGATGCAAAATCCACAAAATCAGCCAGAACAAATTGTTAGTGCGACAGAAAAGTGATCAAATTGGAGAACAAACAAGTTTTCGATTTCTTAAAACAAATCAGAAGCAATCAATTAAAGAAAAGAAAAAGTTTAAATTAAAGGGAATCAAAGTGGTGAATAAATTATGCAAAAATACAAGAAGTTCTTAACAGAAAGTTGAAATATTTATAAATTAGCCAAGACGCGTGCCCACAAAATCTTGTCTCGTGACGCGTTCGGTTTTGTACTATTATTTCGGAACTTCAAAAAAACTGGTCGCTAAGCCCGACCTTGACACTCACTTTTCTAAACAATCAACTCGGATCCGAGACCATTTTTTGGTCTCTGCTTGCTTTTTTTTGGCCAGCATCTCGTCTTCTTTCTCGGCCGCTTTACAAACCGCCTGTCAGTCTTCCGCCGGACCGGAGATGGAACGCACGGATCGCGTCCGCTGAACAGTGACTTATTTATATATACATATATATATTTTCCAAAAACCTAGCCAAAGCTAATACCTCCAACTAAAAGCTCTTACCTAATCGGTACAAGTGCAAGCGTGCAAACAATAAAACAAACAAAAAGCCAAACAAAAGTGCATAAAAAACGAAACATACAAAAACGTGTGCCCGTCCATGCAACTGCATATTTTAATACATAATTAGCCAAAGATCGTGGAAGCATCTCAGTGGAAGTGCATATAGTATATTCATATATATATATATATCTGGCTAAAATGTGGCAGGGAATCGTGTGGAGCTTGACTTTCTGCCTCGTCGGATTGGCTGGTTTCGGCCTCGCCAACAATCTCGCCGGCTACGAAGGGTAATCATCAGTGGCTACTCGCATTAATTATATTTTACAATGTTACCAAAAAGTTTTAAAACAGAAAAAAAAACATGTATATATACACGTAATACCCATCAATCAAGCGGCTCTTTAGGGCAAGTCATTAATTTAATTTTTTCGGTCAGTGTTTAAAGAGTTTCTAGCTTCCGAACAGGTTTTTGCATCAGGTTTGTTTTAGTAGCTTGGGCTAGCGAGGACGACCATTTATTTCGTCCTGAATCAGTCCAAAGGCTCCGATAAACACAGAAGCATACATTATAATGCAATCCAGCATATTGAAATCGTTCTGTTTGGATCGGTAGCAGAGATAGGGTATCGCCAGTATGGAGACCAGCCAAAAGAAGCGATAGTACTCGAAGAAAAAGTCGGATATATCCTGAAGTAAACGCAGCATTTTCCAGGTTATTGTGGGTGATTTTTGAGTAAATATGTCTGATAAAAGAAGCTAGGATTACTAGAGCAAAAATATGTGGTTGATATATAGTTTGTATTTAACTTTAATTTTAATTAGGAGGTACGTTCATCAGGACTTTTGTCAACATTTTTCATATAATTGAGATTAAACAGTAAAATGTCTACCAAATTTATATATCTTTGAGATTTACATTTATCATGAAAATTTAATCACTTTAATATATACAGATATCATTTTTAAATTTTATTAGTTTAATTAAGTTGAAATAAAAACTAAATTGATTTAATTAAGCCATTGTTTCTTTGTGCGAGAAAAATATGAAATAACTTGAAGATTCTCCAGTGCACTTGGCTTAAAGTCTTAAGATATGCAAACATCTTAAAGCCGCATCTAATCTTAGGATAAACAAAGCTTTTATTTAACTTAAATATTTCCTTTATACAGTTGACCGAGTACATGGTCGTTTTGGCCGTGATTAGAAGCCGTCATAATAGGCAACGTTAAACGTTTTGTCGTTTGGTCAATGGCCAACAGTTGTACATTCAACGCAATTATACCATTGATAATTTGTACAATTTGTAATTGCCAAGCGATCGTAGTGCGAAATGTTTGCCAAACATGCCACGCCCCTTCGGGTCTGTCACGGCCCATGTGGCGTATGAGTGATGGATGAGAGCTTTTGTGGTTGCAGAATTGCAATTCCATATCTAAATTATAAGCTTACTTTCGATCAATACCAGACAGATGTTTCATTTCCTAACCTTTTTTAAGTTCAAAAATATTAAGATAGGCATGAAGAGTGATATAAACATTTTCACAAGGTCGAATTTCGATGGACAATAGGCTTTGATTTGGTTAAAAATGCGGTTGGGAAAATTTTGAAGAAATACTTACTTAAAAGATGAAAAATGAGCATCACTGGCCAACAGCAGGGGGCAGTCTTATTAAGTTATCATCTCACGTGATTAGCATTTGTTTGGTATATAATACCATATTAAATGCACATCCCCCACTCCCCTGCCACCCACACAATGCGAGTCTTAAGACTTGTTGCTTCATTATATTTTCTGTTTTCCGTCGGTCTCTGTGTGTGTGTGTGTGTTCCTTTTCGTTTTCCGTTGTGGAATTTCAAGAGATGATAAATTGGCCACCGATTCGTGCGAGGTGGCAAAGAGCCAACAAACAGCGGCCAGCAGTCGCTTTGCATAAATTTATGAATCAACAACTCATTTTGACGCCAGGCTAGCGAGGGCGAGCCATAAATTAATTTGTTGTCCAATTAGTTTGAGACATGTGGAGCAATCATCGGGATTTCCCTTAGCTAGATTATGATTATCTCTTTTGGGGTATCAATTAATTATCTACCGCTAATAAGCATATCACACTTTTTAGTTAGTTTTGCTAGCAAAAAGTGCCAAAATGTTTTTGCTGTTAGATTAATTAAATGCCTGTCAACTGAATGCTAATATGTATTTGTCCAAACATCACATATCTTTACAATGAATTAATTAACACATATCTAAAAAAACAATAGATACCCCCCAACCTTGACATACTAACTGGAAATTATGGCTTTTAAACTGTTTATCGTACAAACTTTATCTTATTAAATTTTGGTAAACAAGCGTAAACATATATTAAAAACGTTTTTGTTTAAGATAAATTATAACTCTTTTTTCAAAGAGTTTCTTTGTGTATAAAAAATGTTATTAAATTTATTAAAAATTTTCTTAAAAATGTATATTTTAGCTACACTAAATACACAGTCCAACATGGCGATGAGAACGCGTTCCGCTACATGGTCGACCTGCAGACGAATGATGCGGAGTTGGACTTTTGGCTGCTGACCAGAAACTCCTCCGTGCTGACAGTTAGTCCTAAAAGGAAGTCCCAGTTCGAGGCACGCCTGTCAAGTCTGGGAGTCAGCTATGAGATGCAGCCGCTGATGGAACTGATGGCTGCCCTCCAAGCAAATAGTTCTTATGCCGAGGATAGCTACGATGGGGAATACGAAGAGTGTCAGCAGGAGGATTGCTCAGAGGCAGAGCAACCACGTCGTAGGACCCGTCGTCAGGCTCGCGGCTTCTTCTCGCACTATCCACGTTACCATGAGGTTCTGAGCTTCATGAGCGGACTGGCCTCCAGATATCCACAGTACTGTCGCTACGAATCTCTGGGTCGTTCCAATGAGGGACGTCATATTGCTGCTCTCTCCATTTCCCTAAACAATCGGGTACGTCATCGTCGAGTGGCCTACATCCAGGCAGCCACCCATGGAAGGGAGTGGATCACCACACAGACGGTTCTCTACTTGGCCTACGAACTGCTGACCAATCTGAGGGCGTTTACGAGGGTCCTACAGGATGTGGAGATCTTTCTGGTGCCACTTGTCAATCCCGATGGCTATGAATACACCCACACCACGGTAAGTGATCAAAGATAAAAAAACATGTGTCGAAAACAACTGGCTCATTTATCTTATATACACTTTTAATAACCATAAGAAACTGAGAGGAAACTCATAAATTATTTTCGCGGAAAGTGACACTTTGAAAGTGTTTCATCTGTCAGGGGATTTAGAAATAAATTTGAAATATTTTTAGACATGTTAAGTACTTATATGATTGACTGTTAAGCATAGTGAGTTAGTAAATTATATTATCTATTAAAAATATTTAATCAAAATTTACTTACTACAGGATCGTTTCTGGCGCAAGAACCGTCATCGTTACGCTGGTCATGCCTGCTCCGGTGTGGATATCAATCGTAACTTTGGTAACCATTGGAACTACCAGGGAGCCAGCCAAAACGTAAGCCACCTATTGACCCCGACATTGACCTTCGCCATTGACCCACGATATCACTGAATTTGTTTTCATCCAAATTGACAGCTCTGCTCGGAGGTTTACTCGGGTACAGCGCCCAATTCGGAGCCAGAGACCTCGGCCGTGGTGCGATATCTGGAATTCAATCGAAACCGTGTGAAACTCAGCCTGGATGTTCACTCATTTGGCAAATTCATTTTTTATCCCTACGGCTATGCGAAGTGAGTATGAAGGGAAGGGAAGGGGTGTCGGAAAGTGCAGTCTCCCTGATTTCCATGTTTCATGTTTCATGTCCGAAAATCCTCGACTGTGGCTGAAGGCCCGGCCAGCGGGTGGCCCAGAAAGAAATTCAATTTACTTTTCAATTATTTGCTAAAAGCAATTAAATCCGAAAATTTCTGCCACTGCATCCATTTAATTCTTTTTTTTGTTACACTGTTCGAAAAATATAGAAGTTTTGAGTTTCTAACTTTTGAAAATCTTTGATTTTTTCTGACTTATTAACAAAATTCTTGTCAAATTTTTAAGATTTTCTTTTTTTGTAAATCCGTTTAATCATGAAAAACATAGTTTTTTAAATCCTCTTTAAGTTCTTTAATCTTAAAATATCTTTATTATTTGTAAATTAGTTTTATTCTTATTTAATCTAATATTTAATATTTTTTCTCTCTGCTCAGAAACACCGTCCCACCCACCGTAGGAACTCTGCGTTCGGTGGCTCTGAGGGCCGCCAACCAGATCGGCAGATACCGCGGCACCCGCTACACCACCGGAACCTCGGCCTCCATATTGTACGAGGCCTCCGGCAGTTTGGACGACTTTGCCTATGGCAACCTGGGAATTCCACTGTCCTACACGCTCGAGCTGCCCGGTGATGAGTTCCACGTGCCCGCCCACGACATCATCCACGTCTGCAAGGAGACATTCGCCGGCTTCATCGAGTTCATCCGGCATGTCAGCCTCTACTAGTAAACTTTCCTAAACTTTTTAAGCAACTGAATTTATTGTTTGTTAAAATTAAAATAATTAGTGACCTCGTTGTTAAGCATTAAAGTGAAGAATTTTGAACAAAAAATGTTCATTAAAATATTTTATGTTTTTTTTAACTTATGGGAAAAGAAAATTCGTTGGATTGGAAACCGATTTTCCGGTTAATGAAAGTTTGTGCTGCAAAAAAGCAGAAAAATAAAGTTAATAAAATATTGACCTAGTTTTTTGTGGTTTCATATCTTTGATTGAATTTCTTTTTGTTTTTTATATTTTAAACATAAATGGGAAACAGATTTCCCCAATTAATAGTTATCATCAGGTCTTAATTTTATTTTCGTGAACGGGAACTAGTTTCCTTAAAAACATTTACCGAACCCTGAGAGCCAGCCTGGCATATATCATAAACGGAAGCATATAAACGATCCAACTTTTTGGTATCGTAAGCAGGCGGCAGCGTCTCCAATAAAGTGATAAAAACGGGTAATGCGATTAGCCACCAACACCTGTTTAAGCCCAGTTAATATCGGACTTTTGGACAATGATGTCTTCAACGCTCTTGGGTTTACTCACTCTACTGCTTATTCAGTTCTTGGTAACTTTTGCCTGGCAGGATTTCAAGGACTATAAGGTGTATGACCTAAAGCTTCGATAATCTTATAAGAAAGTGGTCAGTGGAAAATCCAATTTGGGATTTTCTAGGACCAAATCGGAATGATGGGTCCCGTAAGGTGATGATACCACATCAAGAAGTTGATAATTTAGTTGCAACTTTAAAAAAACATCAATTGGAATATAAAGTTACGATCGAAGATATGTCACCATTGGTGCACGCCCAGCGAGCTGTTCAACTACCCCACATCGATGCCCTGGCTGCTTTCTATACCCACTCGGAAATTAATGATTACCTGGATAGTCTTCCTGAAATATTTCACAAGAGAGTTCAGGTGAAGCTATTTGGCTGGAGCTATGAAAGGCGACCCCTTAAGGTCTTAACCATTACAAATGGAGATGGAAAGCGGAATAAGCCAGTGATCCTCATAGATGGATGCCAGGGAATGGATATCCCCATCGATGGTCCTCTATATCATCCAGCAGCTATTGGATAACTATGATGAAAACCAGGAGCTATTGGAGGATTATGACTGGGTTATCATGCCAGTGGTTAATGCAGATGGTTATGAGTACACGCATACGGATTCTCGTTACTGGCGAAAGACTCGCCAACCCACTAGCAATCCCGAATGTGTAGGCACCGATATCAATCGGAATTTTGGTTATGAATGGGGCCACGATGAGGGTTCCTCTTCAGATCCCTGCGAGGATATTTATCGCGGCGAGCGACCATTTGATCAACCAGAGTCGCAGGTTTTGCGAGATGTGATGCTTCATTATAGGGGTAGACTTAACTTTTATTTATCACTTCATTCGTATGGAAACTATATGCTTCTGCCTTGGGGTTATACCAGGTAGGTTTTAAGATATATGCATGTCTGTATGTACATATACATATATAGTATAGAATAACATAAAAACTAACAAACAAACTATTTTTTTAGTAATTGATTGAAAACTAGACTTAAGTAGTCAAGGAAACCATTTACCTTACTACTAGTTATAGTCTAGTTACTAGTTATCTTTTTACGTACTTTTTAACTTCTTGAGTTAGACAACTAAAATAGTATAATAAATTAAGTTAGCCTTGTAACAGATAGCGTAGTAATTTATAGAAGACAATCTTCTACAGAAAAGACAGACTATCTGGACAGAAAGTAATCTATGTATGTATAAACTGACAGCTATTAGTCAGCTAGCCATCTAGGAAAAACCGAGTCGCTTTTATTTTTTTTCCTTCTAAAAGAATGAACTTAAGATCTGATTTAGAATCTGTGGTAGGACAAGTAATAATAATAATTAGCACTAGGTATACATAGGTTTAAGACCCGCTGCAAGATAAATTAAGAAACAACTTAACTGTAAATATTATCCATATATACTGTCATTTCGTTCTATCATGTAAGTTAGCTTTAAGAGATCGTTTTGTATGTATATGTCCATCTCGCTCACAAACAAGCGAGCGAGGATGAACAAGAATTGAAAAGACATTTGGTTTAAACTTAAAAACTTATTTCAGTGAATTTCCGGATCACTACCAGGACATGATGTCTGTAGCAGATGCTGGCGCCATGGCCACCGTTCACTCTACAAATGGGATATATAGCTACGGAAGCACCTACTATGTGCTATATCCGACATCTGGCGATACTACAGACTTTGCTTTGGGAGTTGTAAACGCCAATGTGGCCATGACAATGGGAGTTGCCGGCTGCTGGTTCCTTGGGTTTCAATCCCTGGATTTCCCACATCGAGCGATTGGTCACGGAAAGTTGGGTGGGAGTGCGGGCCATGGCCGCGGAGGTGATAAGGCGCTATCGGGGCTTAATCGGGCTGTAAATAAAGAGACATTAGCGTCGAATTGCGCCAGCTCTGATTTGCGGGTGACCCGTGCGGGAGTTTTGGAGTGGTTTTGATTATTTATTGATCCATTTGCCGATTAGATATGTGGCCGTATGACTTTGTCTGGCTATTTAAGTGGCACGGAGCAGCCACGCGGTTGCTTAGTCTGTGCGAAGATGAAGTTCTCCCTGGGTTTGCTAGTGCTCTTCTTGGGCGCCGCTCTTGTGGCTGCCGATCAGGATTACGAGGGGTAAGGAATGGAATCGGATTGGAACTGCATCTGAAAATAGTTTCTTAAAATGTTACAATAACTTACATGATTTTACAAATCTAAAACCATTTTCAGTTACCAAATTTATGAGGTGATTCCCTCCAATGCCGACCAGGCTCAAAAGTTACATCAGCTCAGCCTGCAGGGATTTGATTTCATCGGCGAGAGCCGCCTGTTGGGACATCCTTCCCGAGTGATTGTGAGTCCTCAACAGCAAGAACAGTTCCAGCAATTGGTTGATGGTGAGAAGATCACACATAGTCTGGTGAATTCCAATCTGGGTGCTTCTATTGCCGAGGAGTTTGCCCAGCGGCAGATGCAGCGTCTCATGAATCCCATCACTGGCAAGGGTCGTCTGAGCACAGAGCGGTACTACACCCACGAGGAGATCATCAACTATATCGATGATCTGGCCGTGCGTTTCCCCAGTCGAGTCTTCGTTAGGACCGTTGGTTGGTCCTACGAGAAGAGAGTCCTGAAGACCATCACCATCACGAATGGCGATGGCAAGGCCAACAAGAAGCTGATCTTCATGGATGGTGGCTTCCATGCTAGGGAATGGATTTCCCCAGCGGCCGTTCTGTATGTCATCGATCAGTTGGTGGAGCAGTTCGAGGAGAATGCTTATCTTCTGAAGGATTACGATTGGGTTATCCTTCCTCTGGTCAATGCCGATGGTTATGAGCACACCCAGACCGGAACTCTGGCCCGCATGTGGCGCAAAACGCGTCAGCCGTATGTTTATGCTGGACAGACATGCTATGGAGCTGATCCCAACAGGAACTTTGACTTCCACTGGAATGAGGAGGGTGCCTCCTCCAACCCATGCGCGGATACCTATGCCGGCCCAACTGCCTTCTCCGAACCGGAGACGATCGTCGTCCGGGATCTGATGCACTCGCTGGCGGACAGGGGCATTATGTATCTTACCCTCCACTCCTACGGCAACTATCTGCTGTATCCTTGGGGATGGACTTCGTAAGTTTATGGGGTTAATCATTTTTTATAAGATATATTGATATATTTTTATGATTCCATAGCGACTTGCCCGACAACTGGGAAGACCTTGATGCAGTAGCCAGCACTGGAGCTAAGGCTATCGAAGACGCCACTGGTACGATTTACACCTACGGATCCTCCACCAATGTCCTGTACATTGCTGCTGGAGCAAGTGATGATTATGGTTACTATGCCGGTTTCAATGTGTCCATCACCATGGAGTTGCCAGGAGCTGGCAGCATTGGCTTCAATCCTCCAGTTACCAGGATCGATGAGTTCGTCACCGAAACCTGGATTGGTATCCGTGCCATGGCCGAGAAACTGATCGAGATGTACTAAAAAGGGTCATAAACTTGCAATAAATTGTCATTGGAAGTACTTCTTCTTCTTCTTATTTTTTATTTAAACAAAATCAGTTTTATTTGATTAGAAGTAGAAGTAATGCTTATCAAGAGTTGTTATAAAGTTAAACCGTTGGAGGTTAGTAAATAGCACTTCAGTTTTACGATTTGCGGTAATCACTTTAAGATGTGTAAGCATTGACATTTTGGTGATTATATAAAAGAAAATTAATCATTATAAAGTGAGAAAAATATTATATATACTTATTTTCATTCAACAGTTTTTTATAGGAATAAAAAATAACATTCAATCAAAAGCGAATAAAGTTCACTTAAACTTGAAGAGTTTTCGGGTGAAAACGCAATTGGGAACCGAACTGATAAATGCTTGTTATTATTATTATTGGCGGCAATCATTTCTCTTGATTTTACAACCATCTATATAGTTCGATTTGTTGATAACGATATAAGATTGTCGACCGAAGAAGTTTCTTCAAATAGCTTGGAATTCGTGTTGCTCAAATAGATTGCGACTTGGAAAGATGACAGTTTGGTGGCTTTTGCTGGCTCTCAGCAGCCTGAGTTTCTCTGCTGGTTTCCCAAAATCCAATAAATACGATGGGTAGGACATAAAAAGATCTTCTATAAAACTGAATTTTAACTTCTATATCTTTTGTAGTTACAAATTATACGAGGTCTCTGGAAAAGCTCGTTCGGGGGCATTTGCAGAGACATTCTCCGAGTTGGTCAAGAACGCGTATTACTACCAGCTATTCTCGGACTATAAAGGTGGCAGTTCAGCCAAGCTGATGGTCCATCCGGACGAACAGATTAACTTCGTTAAGCTGATGGAAGAGAATAATGTGGACTATGACATTCTCAATCGGAATGTGGGCCTCACTCTGAGTCGGCAATTCGAAACGAATCGCATGTTGCGCGAGAGCGTTCCGTACAATGGAAGGTTGGGCACGGAGAGATACTACACCCATGATGAAATCAACCAGTATTTGGAAGATCTGGCTAAGTCATATCCTCGACTGGTTTTCCTCAAAACTGTTGGCAAGAGTTACGAGGGACGTTGGCTGAAAACCATCACCATAACCAATGGAGATGCTAGGCGTAACAAGAACGTGATCCTCGTTGATGGCGGTTTCCATGCTCGCGAGTGGATCTCTCCAGCAGCTGCGATCCATCTAATCAATGAGCTTGTGGAGAATCTCGAGGATAATGCAGATCTTCTCCTGGACTTCGATTGGGTTATTCTACCCGTGGTTAATCCCGATGGTTATGAGTACACTCAGCTGTCAGCGGATACTCGACTATGGCGGAAGACTAGGAAGCCCAGCAGCGCCGATTGCATCGGAACCGATCCCAACCGGAATTTCGATTTCCATTGGAATGAGGAGGGTGCTTCGGAGGATCCTTGTGATAATACCTATGCCGGAGCGAAGGCTTTCTCGGAACCAGAGGCTTTAGTGGTTAGCGATCTTATCCATAGCTATGTGGATCGTGGACAAATGTACTTGACTCTGCATTCCTATGGCTCACTTATTTTGTACCCTTGGGGTTGGACAGCGTATGTATTATTACCTCCCTTTTAATCATCTCTAAATATATCCATAATAATTCCAGAGCTGTTCCTGACACTGAAGAGGACCTGCATGAGGTAGCTGCCGAAGGTCAGAAGGCAATTCAGGAGGCCACAGGCACTATTTATAAGATTGGACCATCAACGACCACTATCAATTATGCAGCTGCTGGGGCTAGTGATGATTATGCCTTTAATGCAGGTTTCCCAATTTCTTTCACCATGGAATTACCTTTTGGTGGCGAAGGATTTGATCCCCCGGCCTCGGACATCGATCATTTAGTGAAGGAGACCTGGGTGGGCATTGCTGCCATGGCACGAAAAGTAATACAAAAGTATCCCCTTGTTCAAAAGTAAATATTTTTTTAAAATTTTTCTAAATTTGAGCATTATGATTAAACTGATACAAGCATTTTTGTAAAGAAATCATTTTGTGGTTTGAATTTTTACTTTTAAGTTACTTACTTACCAAGAGTTTTCATTTGCTCTTTCTAGATAAAATTCCTACAGGGACTAATGGAACATTTAAAGATTTTTGTAATCAGTTGTTTATCAAACAGCTCTCTTGCTGCCCAATTTCGAAATATGTATTTTTGTTTTCTAATCTCGAGTTGCGTACGATGACGTCAATTCAAGATCAGAGGCTTAGGCATGTTCCTATGGAGAGGGGTCTTTAAGTACAAGTTTTCTGTCGTCTGCGATTGGTCGAGATTGTATTCTCCATGGAATATAAGGCAAATGACTGGCGTTCATGTTGAAAATCAGTGACTTTCCAGACTCTATATATATCTAGAAGTAAGTTTATAAACAGCCAGTCTGAGTTTTACTCTCCGCATGTCGTGTTCCTAGGTTAAAGATGCAGGCTTGGAAAATGTTTTGTGTTTTTGTTTTCATATTGATCTTAAATAAATCATTTGGGCTATTATCTGAATGTAATTACTTCGATACAATAGATATTACCAATGCCTTACTAGTGGAAAATGAATATGTGTATCAAGACATCTTTAAACCTGTCAATCAGACCGCAGAGTATGACTTCAAAGTACTGCTGAACGGAAGCAAAGTGAAAGTGAAACCTCATAGAAGAGCCTGTATCTGTAATCTGGAGAAATGTGTTCGGTTATGTTGCCCCCTCAATAATATATTACCCAATGATGAATGTAAAGATGAGGTTAACGAATCTATCTTGTCAATTCTCATACCGCAAACGAATCCCAGAGAAGTGGTCATCGTAAGAGATTATCCGTGCGAAGAGCTTCCTGATCGCGGGCAGATATATTATAAGGTTTGTTTTTTGGTTTTCCCTGTGCCTTCCAGTCTGATTTTCAGTGATTTCTTTCTTAGACAGACACTTTTCAAATTCATTTCTACAAATTGAAAATCTTGAATTACGAAATTGAAATATTTAAGCATTCATTGATAGTTCAGCCGAAATTGCCACCAGCGGTGCGAGAGAGTGAGTAAATATAATAAATAGTTTTTGTCAAATTACAATAATAATTCAAAAATAATTTATCCTTTTTAGTCGCTGTTATTTCGCTGATATGCTATGTCCTAACTATAGCTGTTTATCTATATGTAAGGAAACTCCAGAATCTGGTTGGGAAGTGCTTTATATTTAGCTTACTCTGCATGTTTATGAAATGCCTAATATGGGTTCTGAATGCTTGGAATTTGTTAGATGGAGTTATTACTCTAGTTGGTAAGCCTTTATCCTAATTTAACTACCTTGTTTACCAATTCTGATAAATTTTTAATATTATTCAGGCTATTTGGATTACTTCTTCTGGATGGCTTCTTTTCTTTGGTTTTTTGTCCTAAACCATGTATTCTGGGACAGTTTTGGTAGCGACCAAGCTAAGCCACACCGTTTCAGTTTTCTGACCTACTTCATTTTTGTTTGGGACAATGCGGCTGTCCTCACTGTATTTTGTTATGTCATAAATTACTTTTGGGGTACCGAAATATTTCACAATACTCAGTATTTTATTCCAACCAAAATGCCAGCAATAATATTCTACTGCTATGGAACGATGTTAATTACGGGCATGATTAACTTGATTTTTAGTGTTCAGACGGGAAGGATTCTTAGAAAGAAAATGCTAGTTATGAATAAAGGGAACGTCCTGCACAAGTTCGCAATGTAAGGCTTTTATACTTCCGAATTTCATTGAAAAGAATCTTATTAACTTTTCATCTTGATCATAGAGACGTTATATGGCTGCGTTTATTTACGATCTTGGGAGTTACTTGGACCTTGGACTTAGTTCTTTGCATAATCCAGACTTTGGGTATTTGGCCACAGGTCTTTTGGTTGGCCGACTACTTCCATGCGGCCTTTGGAATACCCGTTTTTGTGCTGTTGGTACTTAAGGAAAGTACTCTTGAATGGCTTAAGGCGGAGTAAGTACTAAGTTTTTAAGTTACATTTTAAATTAAACTAATTTTTTGGTTGTTACAGGAGTCTGGATAAAAACAGGCAACGTCGACCCAGCTTCCAGATGGCAGAAGATTCTTGTTAAGTAAGAAAAAGAGAGAAATTTGTTTAATAAAAATCAGAAGTCTTATAAAAGGTGATTTCATTTCATTTTTTATATATTATTATATCAATTTACTCACAAAAATATGAGTTTTGAGTGGTTTGTTTCTAATAATTTCCATTTTTTTTATTTTTATATATTATATAATCAATTTAGTTGTTGAGCAACTAATTGCAATTTTAATTGCTGTAGAATAAATAAACCGGGGCAGTCCCATTTCCAAATTGTATTCCAAATTCAATTAAAAACCAAATCAACTCCGCTACAAAACCACGCCGCCGAATTGCCAGAAGTACAGCTTAACAACAAAAGCTTCGAGCTACAGCAGTTCTACCAAAATCTCCCAAAGGCGCATGCGCCACAAAATAACAGTAAAACGCATGCGAAACTGGAAGAACCAAAACAAAATAGAAACTGCTGATAAACCCGCCGCTGCTCATCCGTCAGTGACCAGTAGTTATGTTTTTTCATTTGTTTTTATGATTTAGTAACTGTTTTTTATGAAAAAGTTCTCTGATATAAGCTGAATATTATCAAGAAGAGTTTTACATTCTAGCAACATTTTAATTTAGGTTTTCCAAACTATAAGATAAGAAATCTTTTTCCTGGTATGCTGAACCTGTCGACTAACGGCCAACCCCCAAAAACTTCCACCAACATTTCTCCGACTTAAAACCATTTCTTCCAATTCAGCAATTAACCGTGATAATCTAGACCAGCACTTGAAATCCGTCGCACTTGATGAACTCAATTAATAGACCGCGATAAGTCCGTAGAATCCCGAGTCGAGTGCCCCGCCCAATTAGCCCAGTGTGTCAATGCCAGAACTAGAGTGATATGGCCCCCTCCCGATGGGACGCCCGCCTATCTGGCCAAGCATGAAGAGGCCAAGAACGGGAATAGAATTCCAAATTAGTTAGAAGACGTTGCGATTACGAAATATCGATGACGTTTATTGCACTCGCCTAGTACTTTTCGGCCACCTTCTGGGCCATGGCCTTGATGCCAACCCAGGTCTCAGAGACGAATCCCTCGATCTGGCTGGTGGTGGGATTGAAGCCAGTACCGCCAGCTGGCAGTTCCATGGTGATGGACACTGGGAAGTTGGCCACTCCGAAAGCGTAGTCATCGCTACCGCCAGCAGCGGCATACAGAACATTGGTGGAGCTACCCACGGTGTACTTTGTACCGGTGGCACTCTTGATGGCATCGGCTCCAGCCTGGGCAACCTCGTCGTTGTCGCGCCAGCTGGTGGGAAGGGCACTGCAAGGAGATTCAGTGGATTAGAAAGGAAAAGGGCATTAAAAGGAAGTACTTACGAGGTCCATCCCCAAGGATACAGCAGGTAGTTGCCATATGAGTGCAGGGTCAGGTAGAACTTGCCACGTCCGCTCAGGCTGAGCAGGAGATCGCGAATCAGCTGAGTCTCCGGCTCGGAGAAGGCAGTCTCACCCTTGAAGGTATCGGAGCAGGAGTAGCTGGAGGCACCAACCTCTCCCCAGTGGAAATCGAAGTTACGGTTGGCATCGGTTCCATAGCAGGCACTGCTGATTGGCTTCCTGGTCTTGCGCCACATACGGGTAGTAGTGTGACTGTATTCATAACCATCAGGATTCACCACTGGCAGGATGATCCAGTCGAAGTTCTTCAGCAGCTCAGAGTTGACAGCGAAGTTCTCCACCAGCTGGTAGATCACATACAAGGCTTCGGAGTGGGCGATCCATTCACGGGCATGGATGCCAGCATCCAGGAAGATCACATTCTTTCCAGTCTTGCCATCGCCATTGGTTATGGTAATGGTCTTGATATCACGGTTCTCATAAGACTTGCCAGCAACTTGGACGGTAACACGACTGGGATAGGCGGCAGCCAGTTCATCCAAGTAGGCATTGATCTCGGCATGGCGATGGAAGGCCTTGAAACTAATGCTGCGTCCAGCGGAACGCAGGTTCATCAATCTCTGGTTCTGGTTCTCCTCGTGCTCCTGACGCAGTGTCACTCCGAAATCCTCATTGACCACCAAGAAGTTCAGGTTGTACTTCTCCAGCAGGTGCTCGAATCCCTCCTGATCTTCGGGCTTCACCATGACGCGGCTTGGAGCGTCCAGGGAGCGGGGCAGATCAAAGAAGTCGTAATCCTCATTACCGGACATACGAAGAAGCACCTGCTTCTCGAAGGCATTGCGAGCAGTGACGTCGTAGATCTTGTAGCTAATGAAGTGATTAATTATTAATTAATTTTATTTTAATTTGTAATTTGAATATGTTAGTTTCACTTTATTGATTTCAGTGGTCTTAATCTTAAATAGTCACTAGAAAATTGCTGTCACTTCATTAGAAAACTATTCAGAGATGGCTAACTGCGCGTGGAGGCACTCCTCCGCCGGACTGCCTGATCACTCACCCATCGTAGCTGGTGGCTGCCAAGGCCACGCCGCTGAACAGCAGCACTACAGCGATTAGTTTCAACATTTTTTTCAGTTTAGTCAGCTCCGTTCCGTTGGGGCCCAGGGCTTCTAATGAGGCTCAAACCGTTGTATACTGGCTTTTATAGCCCACTGACGACTCACCGATCATTCACAAACCACCACCCACTTCTCGGAGTCTTATCAGAGGAGAACTCTATCAAAGGAAAAGAGCAGTTATCAGTACTATCAGTAGCCAAATGATGGGCGATGTTCGATTTGATTTGATTTGTTGTTGTGTCTTCGCCGAGCAATGGGGCAATTCTGGAGAAAATCTCTCTTAATTTATTGGCTTTGACAAGAGGGTGACAGACAGGTTCGTAGTAAAAGTTTTTCACTCGGACTCATGACTAGGGGCTTTAAGACTTCGTCTTGTGACGTTAATGGTTGGCAAACTAAGTGAATGAATGTTTACAACGCATTAAGTGGTTAATTTAATTTTTAAAATGAAATCTTAGAAAGGTAATAATAACGTAAGATACTTCTGTCTAATAAAGTAACACCGTTTGATGATAACAACTTATTTTAGCACTACAACTTACTTTCCTACTTAAACATATTTAGAATTTAGTTACTTTTAAATAACAAAACTAATTGCAGACAGTCCTAAATCATATTTATATTTGTCATCGTCCACAGATATCTGCTATTTTCGGTCGCCTTTCGAGCAAATCGTAAATTTGGTCTTCTGACTTTACGCAATCAACCTTTGATTTATAGGCTACTTCTAACCTTAGACTTTGTCGATTCTTGGAGTGTGCCAGCCCGCAGTCTCTATCTCTCTCTCTTAACTTTTTTTTTTTTGGTATTTGAATTTGTTTGCAAAACGTGGCTTTATCAGTTTGTTCTGTGCACTGCACCAAGAAAAAACTTTGCAGTTTTAAAACAATGAAGTCTATACGAGGCTGGCAAAAAATAAAACCAAAAACTAACCTGCATACGCAGAAAATAAAAAATAAAAGTAGAAAAAATCAAAAACAGAGAAACTAAAAACTCTGCTGCCGCGCACACAAAATATATTTGAAAATTTATTGCATTTCATGAGTTTTTCCATATTTGTCTGCATTTGTAGGCAGAGTTTTGGTCACAAAACTTTCGACTGCTGCTGCTGCTGCTACTGGAAAACCAAAAAAAAAAAGAAAAACAACGAGGAAGTTGCTTACTTAAAACTGACAATGAGCGCATGGAAATGACAAAAAACACTGCGGAAACTGTTGGCTCGTAATTTTGAATGGCCCATTGGAAGCGACAGCCAAAAAACCTCTCCCTCTAAGCCACATTCTGAAAATTTGGTACGTTCCCAGGGGATAATTGGGTATCTAAGGCTATAGATGAGAACAAAATTTTACTTAATATGCTTGGACTATTAAAACTTAAGATAAAAGAGATTTTTGTAAAAGAGAAACTACAAATTTTCCTCAATTAAACATGAAATTGAAAATGAACACTCCCAGAAGCGCATTAAGTATTCGACCTGTTGACAGGCATTTCCTGTACATATTGTATTTTTTGTGGACTGTATGTGACTGGCTGTAAAATTTTGGTATGAGTGAGTGTGTGATTGCTCGGCTGTATTTGTTTTCCTTTGTATTTACTTTTTTTTTCGTTTCAAAAAACTTTGGCCAAAGACTTCCAACTGCCTTTATTCGCCTGGACAAAGCGGCATTGTTTGTCACGCAGCCCATTTTAAAGGGAAATTATGCCAAATTATTCACTATTAAGCAAACTATTTGCTTAGTCAATGAGAGCTTTAAGTTCTTTAATTGAAATGAATGACTGAGATCGAGAGGGTTTCGAGTAAAGGCTTGTAAGTAGTTTTGGGGAATTCATTAGTCTGTCATTTGCATTAAAAACTTTTACATAGCGGATCTTTAATTTTCATTTTGCATAAATTACGATGACTAAGTCTGGCATGAACTTGCGGCTTTTATGGCTCTATTACAAAGGGGCAGGGCTGATTTCGGGGGGTGTTGAAAAGGCGTTGAGTGTCAAAAACTTGGCCACAAAGGGGTGACGGTAGCCGGAGGCTAGGGCGGGGGTTGGATTTTAATTAAAATTCATCTTCACATTTAATCAAATCATGGCAACCCCTTTGGCTGGCTGCCTTCGCCTTCGCCTGCCTCTGACATCGACACTGGCTTCTAATTAAGTGCGAAAAATCGTTAAATGTAAAATCAAATCGTGCAAAAAGTGCTCGTAATTGGTAGAAGCAGAACTTGGTTGGGTAGCAGTTTAACCGAAGTAAATTGTTGGCATTGTTTTGCGTTCAGATTAAGGCCATATCCAAGTTTGGGGTTGGGGTTAAGTGGGGGTGGCAGGTGTCAAATATTTACAATCCATTATGTACTCGTTGCCAGACCACCACCCCAACGTTGTGTTGGCCAATTTTCTTAATTGCCAGCCGGAAATCCACATTGAATACAATTTCCACTTAAATTTAGAGCTTAAACACGGCCCGAAGTTGTGCTTTGTTCGGCTGCTTAATCGCTCGTATAAAAGAGCGATTCGCCTTTCAATTGCCAGTTACTTGCCCGTTCGATCTGCCTCAAGATGAAACGACTTTTTGTGGTGCTCTGTTTGATCTTGCTGCTGCCACTTTTTCTGGCCGTAAATCCACCAGCAAATGTTCCTGCTGCAAGTCGGGGCAATGAGCCAAAGACGGTGCCTCCAAATGCTGCAAGGGTGGGATCTCGGACCCTGGAAAGTCTCAAGGGGTTGGGATAGGCAAAGCATGGATTATTTTAGAAGTTGATTTTTGATAAATTTTAAAATGTATAATAAAAGATTTATAGTTTAATCCTCTAAGCTGATGAAAATTCAAACAACTTAAGTTGTCTTTTATAGATTTTGTGCAAATGCTGGACTGACACTTCGAGTGTTTTCCCCCTTCGAGGACTTTGTTTTGCATATGACATAGATTGCAGGTCCTGACACTTTGCATACTTCTATGAATATTCCAAGGGGGTTTTCTGCGGCTTTTGCATATTTATACTGCCAGTGGCACCCAGTCCTACGACAACCGGAAAGAAGTTGCGGAATGAATAACCCCTTTCAAAACTGAACAAATCGGACCGGATTGTATTGCATCGTTCATTGACAGTCGTGGAGGTGATATTAATTGCCTGATGTTTTGTTATTGTTTTTTTATATCCGGTTTTCTTGACTTTATCAACTTCCCGGAGAGAGACTCTCCGTCTCGTTGGCAAAACTCAATTAGCTATTTTAAGCTCATTTGAAGGGGAAAATTTTATTTGGCAAATGTTGCTTTAATTAAGCCAAAGCACTCAGGTAAACCGAATGAAAGCAGAATCCGTAAAATCATTACAAATCAAGTGAGAATGTTTAGGGAGTCTTGAGACTATTACTTGCTCATTAATTATATATTTAGTTTATTAGTTTATTTAAATTTTAGTTACTTTTAGTATACTTTCACTTTGTGATCTTTCTTATCAATAAATAATATGATTAATCTATATAAAGTAAATGACAAACGGATAGATTTATTTTAATTCCTTAATCCTTAAGATCAAGAATATGTCTCTGTGGAAGCTATATACTCTACCAGAACCTGTTAAAAAACAGCGAAAAAGTACAATGGGTGAAAAAAGCCAGAAAAGAGGCTAAAATGAAAACAACCTGTGAATGGGAGAAAAAAAGCGACAAGAAAAACGAGAGAACGAGAGCAACCAAATGCCAAACAAACGGCACACGTCGTTCTGCTTTTCCCCTCCGCTCCCCTTGTCACAACGGCGCCTGCAACAAAGCCAAGTAAGTCGTATTAAATTTAATTGGATTTGAGTGTTTACCAGCGTCCCAAGCCGACGGCAAAGCCACAGGCAGCACCAACAATCAGCTAAACCTGCTGGCAAAAATGCGTTCCACTTTTGCTTTTTTTGTATTTGTACATTGGTAGAAAAAGTGTTTTAAAAATCTATTTATTTTGTTAAGAAATAAATATATTTTAATAAACTTTATTAAACAAATGAAACACCTTTAACAGATATTACTTTATTTTAGATTGATCTGATGTAAAGTAATTTATGTTTTAATGTTAAAAACTTTTCTGTGCATATTAACTGAGTATAATGAAATAAAAATACATGTAACTGTTTATGTATCTGCTTTAAATAGATTTTAAACAATTTGTTTTTCCTTTGTGTACTTGTGCGTGTTTCTGAGCTGCATTGTCGCTGGCATATATCCCTACATACATATATAGTATGTGTCTGTGTGTGGGTTGCTGAGTGGCTGCAAACATTTCCTGCATTTCGCAGGTAGCAAGCGGCTTAAGTTGGATTTTATAGACATACAGTCGTTGTGGAGAAACTCTCACACAGACACACACACACACACTGCCCCGAAGAAAGTGCAATAAAAAACTACAAATATTGCGTATACGCCCAGGAGCACGCGGCTGTTGCCAGCGCAACGCTTTCATTTGCAGGGAGCAAAAGACCAATTAGCGGGCTACATATATGTATATATATGTATAACTTTAACACACATAGACATCTGCAGCTGTATGGTGTCATCTGTTCAGATGCATAGCATACTTTCCGGTGGCCAGTGTCAGGATGAAGTTTTAGGTGGGTGCAAGTTTTAATTAATAAAAGGGTTTAGGTTTTATTATTTAAGCTTCATAGTACACAGTTAGTTATATTTCTATGTCTATTAATCTTTAAGTATACTATGAAGTTAGAGATTCTCAAAGAACATAAGGAAAGCTTCGTTATCATTTTGGATATCCCATTTTAAAGACATTTCCCTGCTATAAAACACAATCCTTAAACAGAATTTCTAGATTGAAAGGGTTAAATTTAATTATGGCATGCAGCTAATTCCCAGACACATTCGCTGGCTGGCTTCAAGAGCAGACCCGCCGTTGGCTGGCTTAAATGTTAGCATGCAAATATGATAAATCACCGCCATTATTGGGCCATCAATCAAAATTATGCGTCCCTTGTAGTCAGTGCTCTTCCCTTTGCCCTCTACTCTTCTCCATTCGCTGTTTGTGTGCCAAGTGTCTAATTGAATAACGAAGCGTGCAAATTGAGGCACCTCCCTGCCACGCCTCCTCTCCTTTCTGTCTAAGAGGAGGAAAAACCCAGAGTAGAGTGATTCAGGAGCCCGGCGGCAGTTAACAACACATCCGTAGAGATTTATAGAGACAGACAGCCAGCCAGCCGGGCAGACGAACGGCGGAGGGTGACACTTTCAATGTCTGCGGTTTGTCCCGCCGGCGGACTCACAGCTGGTCCTCCTCACGCCAGGAACTTGCTTGCGCCAACTCTTGCCTCAATCCCATATCCTCAATCCCGGATAGCTCACACATTAACATAGTTTTTTAGCATCAGGTATGCAAATGCCGCCGGAGTTTTGCCAGGTTGCACCCCAGTACTACTATCCACTTGGATATTCCCCACAATCCAATCCTTTAACCAGTCTGACAAGCCGCCGCAGCTGAGAATTTACTACACTGAAAGAAATGAGATGTATTTTTCAGATTTATCTTTCAATTTCTAGGAACTGTTTGGTTATATCTACTTTGTGGTAAGTAAAATGATAAATGATTTTAGTTTACAGAAGATATCCCTTTAAAGCTTAATTTAAGTTATTTTTCTGAGTGGAATATCCAAAGGTGATATCGCCGTAACAAGTTACACGTTGGTTTTTAATCCCCTTGCATTTGATTGTATGCAGTTGTTGCAAAAAGTAATTTAGTTCGGCAAGCGTCTTTCTCGCTCCTTTCCGTACTATCCTCCTTCCGTTCGTTGTCCTTTTCTTGCTCCTGTTTAATTTGCAGCATGTCAAAAAAGTAACTGTGAAAGTAACACTGGCTGTTGTTTGTGTCTTTGTGTGCATATAATTATTGCATTTCTCGCACGTTCCGGAAAACTACGTAGCCACTATATATACGAATATATATATCCTTCTGGATGGGACCCCGAGTCTGTTTGTTATGCAGTTGGCAAATGGCACATTTTCCGCTTTTCCCACTGCCTTTCATTATGCTCTGCTTCTTCGCTCTCTTTGTTTGGCTGTAAGTATTTTTTAATGATACATAAACTAAAAAGATACACACACTCGCTGGCTGTGCTGGCAACTCGTCTAAATTATTTACACATCCGTTTTGCATTTTCCGAGTGTGTTTGCACCACGCATGGCCTGCACTCGAAGCATTTCCACTTGGCATTTTCTTTTTTTATTTTTCCTTTCCTCCTCCTCCTCTTTTTTTCCTCTCTTTTTTGCCCCGCTTTTGGCCGCATTGTTGCCTCATTTGCAGCTCAACACTTTCTGTGTCATCGTGGTGGCTGTCTGTGGTGGGTGGTTTTCCGTTTGGTGGGTTAATGGGTGGTTGTGCCCCAAGCACTAACCTTCTTTTCCACAGTCAAATAATTAATGCGTTTCTACGCATTTGTCTTTGTGGGACATTGAGTGGGTTTTTAGATGAGTATAGATGAGGTCTAGATTATAAAAAAAGTTTAAGTTTTATTATTCCTTGCAGTTTTCCATATTTCTAGTCTCTACTTCCTCAATTAAACAATGCAATTTCCGCCTAAGCCAAAGCCTAAAACCAGATTTTCCTCACTCGATTAGAGTTTTTTCTTTCGACGAGTGCTTGACTAATTAAAACCGCAAACGAAGGGCAAAAATCCAAACCAAGCCAAAAATACAAACCAAAAAACGGAAAGAGAATGGCCCAGGGCTAAGGAACTTGGCCAAGAAGAACAAATTGTTTTCGCTGTCGTATTTCAACTGTTTTGGGTTCTAATCCTGTTCCTGTTTTCCTTTGGCCATTATTGTTGTTGTTTCAGCGGTTTGTTGCAGATAAAAATGCCAGGCAATTGTTACGTTAGGCGCACAAAACTAACTAACGGCCACACCAGCTCAGACAATGGCTTTAATTTAACTGTCGGAAGTGAGGAACAATGCAAAATACGAGTTGAACTTACAAGCAATTTGCCTTATGCACGGCGACCAGGGAAAGGGGCGAAAACGGAGTTTTGGCCTGGACTGGGCAACGCCCATTTCTCACTCAAACTGAAGACGACTGTTATATAGAGAAAATACAGTGAAAAGCGGTTAAATTAAATATATATTTATATATATTTGATGATTTTCATTTCTCAGATGAACTTTAAACGAGGGCAATCTTTGGTTTGCATTTCAAAGTCAAAATTTACATTTTTTGTTACTTTTTATAAAATGATGAAGTTTTATGATTTTTCCTCCTTTTGTATAAATATCTCTTGTTATTATACTTATCGTTTTCAATAGTTTTTACTGTACCTATATGCATTTTGTGCCCATAAATCTAAGCCAACAAAAACTTGGCTGAATCGCAGCTCCGTTGCACGCACAAGCGAAAATCTGAATGGGTGGGGGATTAGGAGCTGGCGTTGGCGGATCAGAAGGAGCTATAACTGCAGTTGTGCTGAGTTGCTTGTTGGCATTACTTTTTTTTCGCCATTCGAGTTTGCCTTTGGTATGTTCATTATTTTTATCTCTCTTGCAATGAATGCAAAACTACCAAACGAAACAAAAACAGCAACAAAACGGCAAACTAAGGACGCCGGAGCACGGACTGCGGACTACAGACCATGGACTATGGACTTTAGACTCTGGACTACAGACCCAGGATCAGGCACACAAATATGCAAAACAGTTGGAGGATTCATGGCGTTCAAAATCTAGGCGTAAAGTGTGAATAACGCGTGGAAAATGTGAATGAGCCGAAGGCGCTTTTCAGCTGGGAACCCAAAGAAAATCCCGTCAAGAGTGGGCAATGCAATCAGCGGAATTGT